CAATTAAAAATCTTAATTAAATTATATATATTACTGAGTATACCCGCTGAAGTCTAGCTAATATTAGTATTATATCCAGTATAATAACAGAGACTGAATAAGATATACTGGAAATTATATATTCTTACTATTAATATATAAATAATATAAGACCAAGGCACGAGCATCTAAATAATAATTAATATTATAAGAAATATTTTCTGTTATATTAAAATTACCGCTTGTAATATATAAATAATATATATAATATAAATAATATATCTTAATAAACTAATCCTGTAGCACGCAGATCTTCTTAGAAAACATTTTCAGAATCCAATATAAAGAATATAATATAATACTAAATAAAATATAAAAAGAACAAAAAAAGAGACTTAATTATTAATTAATAAATAAATAATAAAAAAAATAATAAAAACTATATAAAATAATTATAAAAAATAGATAAAGTGACTATAAAATACTAAAAAAATAATAATCCCAAAGTAAAAGAAGAAGAAAAAAAGAAATAATATAAAAAATTCTTTTATTTATATTTTTTTATTATAAATCTATCTATGCAAATATAATTAAACACTAGTAAAGCTATACAGAAACAGTATATAATCTTATTTATATTAAGTATCCTGTGGATTCTTTACTTCGCGTTATCAGATCCCCGCCATTCTGAATTAGAAATATATAAGATTATTTCTAATACCCGAGCCAGATGGCTCGTCCCAGTAAAAAAAGATACCATTTATAATAAAATAATCCAGTTATTATAGTGAAGGTCATCAAAATAACGTATTATAGCAGTTATAGAAGTTATAAGATTATTAATAGCAGTTCTACATTACTCTGATATCTATAAGGTGCTGATCCCTTTACAGAGGATTACTGATTCCTCAAGAATCAGTCTATTTTGTGGATATAGGCTACCTTTGTTATTATTAGACAAATCTATGGTATTTAGTGGCTGATTCCTTACCTAGTCGACAGGCCTTCTACCCTGACAAGTAGATCCTATCACACTTTTCTATACTAGACCACCTATCCTTTTCAGCCTAGTGCCCCTGCAGCTACCTGACCATTATCAGCTCCAGATTTACCTCTGGATCCCGACAGCTAATCTTCAGCTGGAGTATAGAAATAGACTCTTTTCTTTGATAATTTTAATATTTATATTTGTTTGTTCATCAGAATGTTAGAGTTATTTTATAACTTTTTAAAGATATAAAGTAGGCTGCTCTGGTTATAACCAGAGAAGAGTCTAAAGATTTCTGAGGCGGGGAGGTGACCGTTTGGAAGAAGAAGGAAAAAAAGCAGCTGTTTATAACTATGATTTAGTCCTAGGAAGGCTCTAGGATTTGTATATAGCACTGTCTCTCTAGATATATCCTAGTAAGCTCTTAGGTCTTATGAATTCTAGCTTGCTGGATTTTTATGTATCAAGTTCCTGCCTTGCTAGGTTACAGGAGGTATTATTTATAATTAGCTGGGTGGGGACCATAATAGTATAAATATCTTAAAGGATAGCTGTGGGAAGATTAGGTACTATATCTATTATTATAGCCCTTCTTAGTATATTAAATAGAGCTGCAAAGTTGGTACCAGGGGTGGCGAGCACAGGATCTAGTATTAGGCTACTTCCAGTAACAGTTATACTGTATTACTTTTGTCCTTCTTGCTAACGTAATCAACGGTCGGGCGGGACACATGGTCAGGCGGGACACCCCTTCGAAAACACTATCTTGAATCTCTTACCTGAGGCTTTTCAATCATTATAAATGCCACCAAAAGCATCTATCCCATCAAAATCACAGGTGGAGCAGGAGGGCAGGATTCTTCTTACTATTGAAGCTATTCAGAAAGGCCAAATTACTGGTATACATAAAGTAGTGTATATTTATAATATTCCTTGAACTATTCTTTATGCTCGACTATCTGGACGTGTTTTTGTTAAAGATATGGCCAACACATGTTAAAAATTATTAAATAACAAAGAGGAATCACTTGTTAAATAAATTTTATTTCTAGATAAGTGAGGAGCAAGTCCCCGGCTGCTTGATATTAGAGATATAGCTAATTTAATAATCTTTAAACAAGGTTATTTAACTAATAAATAAGTAGGCATCAACTGGGTCTACAGCTTTATTAAACACCATGAATCCCTATAAACTCGATTTGCTAGACAACTTAACTATTAAAGAACTAAAATGGAGGATCCTGAAGTTATAAAAAACTAGTTTAATCATGTATAAGAAATTATTCAAGAGTACGGAATCTTATCAGATAATATATACAACTTTAATGAAACAGGATTTGCTATGGGAATGATTACTATATATAAAGTAGTAACTAGTTCCCAGAGAGCAGGTCGGCCATCATTAATTTAACCAGAGAACCGGGAATGGATTACTGTAATTAAATATATTTAATCTAATGGAGAGGTTTTACCTTCGATCCTGATCTTTAAAGATAAAATATATCTAAAAGCTTAGTATAAAGATTAATTCATTCCCTTTATCTGGAGGATTGAAGTCAGTGATAATAATTAGATTATTAATATAATTAGACTTTAATGGCTTCAAAAACACTTCATTCCATTGATTAGAAACAGATTAGTAGGTAAATATAGTCTTCTAGTTCTTGATAGCCATGGTAGTTATTTGACACCTGAATTCAACCAATCCTGTACTGAAAATAATATTATACTTATTTATATACTTGTTTATTTATTCCATCTGCTTCAGCCTCTTGATGTTGGTTGTTTTAGCGTGCTCAAATGCACGTACGGAGGCATGGTTTAAAAGCAAATATAATACAGCTATAATTATATTAACAAGCTTGATTTTCTTGAAGTCTAATTTAAAGCCTACCAGTGTATTTTATCAGAGTTAAATATAATCAGTGATTTTAGAGTAATAGATCTTATTTCTCTAGATCCTGATTAAGTGCTTTCTTAGCTTAATATTCGCTTGAAAACACTACCAACTCTGGACAGCCAGTTAAGTGGCTCAGTGCTTTAAATACTATATAATATGAAGTATTTTTTGAAGCATTAAAATATAGTAGAATATTTATTTTGAGAACAGCAAGCAAGTCTAACTTTATCTATATATTCTATACTATATCAGCTTCTTAAAGGGTGTGAGCTAGTAATAATAAACTTAATCATACTAGCTAAGAAGAATACGGATTTACGTGCTAGCCATAAAAAGCAGTTATAAAAGAGGAAGTATTCAAGGAAGCAGGTAATTTATACAGAAGATACTACTGTTGAAGATACTTAGAGAGTAATCTAATAAGAATAGAAGATATAAAATCATGAAGATATTGAGATTAAATCTCAATCTCTAGCTATGGAGACTTCCTCGTGCGCGCCTCCATACTGCACCAATTGCTTCATTATTGGTCACTGATGTACGCAGTGTTCAAAACCACCTAGTTTTTAATTATATAGCATTTTTATAAGTGTTTGCGTTGAATTAAAGGCTTCATTTTGAAGATATCGAGCGATTCGGGCAGGGGGGTGTCCCGCCTGACCGTGTGTCCCGCCCGACCGTTGATTACGTTAGTAGTTGAGTATTAGTAATCATACCAAATAAGAAGAGTTGTATAGAAAGATTAGCCTTGCTATTCTCCGGGTAATTAATAAACTAGCTGGATAAGATAGTATTAGGGTTAGTAGTACTTATAGCAGTCTTAATAATTAGGATTAGGTTAAGGCCTATAATTTCGGTAATCTCTGAAGACAAGATTTCAGGGGTGACAGGGGTCATGGAGTAATGGCTGCTGGTGAGTTAGCTAATCTTCCTGGGTATATTAGTTACTTAATAAGAGATCCAGTGAGAGCTCCGTTTAATCTAGCAGTTTTTAAAAAAAGCAGTTATGGCTTCCTTCTAGGTCTTCAAGACTGGAAGGCTTTAGTAGAGACTGGCAGAAGAGTAAGTCCAGTTTTGATAGATTGGATATTCTTAAGAAGCTTTCTTTTGGTATCCAGATGGGATCACAGGCTAGTATGTATAATAAATGCATTAAGATTCTTTGCAAGATAGTTCTCCGGGAGGTATACAAAAAGTTGGTTATCAGGTGGCGGCTTTGAAGCTGTTCTATTAGTCTTAATATTACTGTAGGTTTGCTTCGTGGCAGCATTGTTCTTGGCTAGAGAATTTTGGATAATAGTCACGTATGTGGACTGGGCAAGACTGGAGAAGGGGCGAGTAAAGAAAGATAAAAAAGGAATAGAAGCAGGGGTAGGGGCAGGAACTGGGATAAAGAAGGAATTATTTAAGGATACACCGCTAATATAGGTATTAAAATGTTGTTGGGCTATGTTGGCTAGGTTATTGCTAAGGGCCGTGAGCGCTTCTAGCTGGCAGGGCGTGAGGCTAGTGTTATGGTGTCAGTAATTATTCAGGAAGGCTGCTATAGGGCTAAATACTTTCTGGTCCTCGAGGATTCTAGCAGTGGCTGAGGTAGTTGTCTCCTGTAGTATAGTCTATAGAGGGCCACCAGGTTGGTTGTTACGTCGTGCCATGTTATTGGCGCGTTGAGACGCGTGGTGGTTGCCGGGCAGGTGTCAGGCAGCGCGCGGAGGGGGAGCTGTCCCTTATCCTAGGCAGGGCGCCTGGGTTGAGAGTCTAATTTGAGGTTTCAATAGAATATGGCCTTCCAGGGTGAGAAGGCTTGTGGACATGCTCAAAGTAATGTGTTGACTATTTTTATTCCCTCGTGTCAATATTGCCCGGGTGAGTCACGTGTGATGCATTTGATGGGCTTTCGCCAATGGAATATTGTCTCTAGCCGCGTTGCTGTGTTGTCCTTTCAGCTGGGGAGGGGCAACGGCTGCGGAGGGCTACGCTGATGACGAGCTGCTCCCAGCCTGCCATGTCATGAGGCTCTGCTCTTGTTGACATCGAGCTGACAACTTATCAACCGTTTCCACCATATTCAGCGTTGTTCAACAATCCATATCACTGAGCCCTTATTCCAACAAAGCACGCTAGCTCCTCAACATGCCTAGCCCTCCACGAGATGCTTTCCAGATCGGCTGGATCTGCGCCCTCCCAGTCGAGGCTGCTGCTGCTGCGGAAATGCTGGACGAGGATTTTGGGATCCTTCAGGAGCAAGATGAAGCGGACACAAATACCTACGTGCTGGGCCGAAGTGGCAGACACTACGTCGTGATCGCCTGCCTTCCCGGTGGGCAATACGGAACTACCTCGGCGACTACTGTCGCTAACAATTTACTTCGCACTTTTTCCAAGTCTCTTCGAATCGGATTGATGGTTGGAATCGGGGGCGGAATCCCCTCAGCTGCTCATGATATTCGCCTCGGCGACGTGGTGATTAGTTACCCTCAAGGCACCTGCGGTGGCGTGATTCAATATGACATGGGGAGAATTATAGCAGAGGGAGAGTTTGAACGAACCGGCTCGTTGAACAGTCCTCCGAGGGCATTGTTAACCGCAGTCGCCATGATGAGAGCTAATGTCCTGAGGGATGACCCCTGCTACCTGGAATATCTCCACAGTGCGATTGGGAGGACCGCTCGAACTCGGAAGAACTTCGGCCAACCTGCTGCACAGTACGATCGATTATTCAAGGCAAAGCATGATCATCCTGCGAATGCGAGTAGCTGCGATAGTTGCCCTGCGGAATGGGAGGAGACAAGAAGTGGGCGCGAGGATAGCGGCCCGCAAACCCATTATGGAATCATCGCATCCGGAAACTCTGTTATAAAACATGGAAATACGAGAGAACAGCTGAGGTCGAAGACAGGCGCGTTATGTTTTGAGATGGAAGCGGCCGGTCTGATGCTGGACTTTCCTTGCATAGTTATTCGCGGTATTTCCGACTATGCGGATTCACATAAGAATAAGCAGTGGCAAGGATACGCGGCCTTGGCAGCAGCCGCGTATACCAAAGAGCTCCTGGGATACCTTCCTGTTGGCCATGTGTCGCAGGAGGCATTAGTGGTGGATGTGTGTAGTAAGGACCGCTTATCCTAATTCAGTTTCGGGAAGCTTTATGGGCTAATGCGGTAGTCGTAGCTGAGTTGAGAGAAGTTAGAGAAGGAGTCAGCGGCATTAATCAGCGTTTAGATGGAATTAGAAGTCAACAAGACCGGCACCATCGCGAGAACATTAAAATTGCCTCGACAGAAGAACAACAACGTTGTCATCAGACTTTCAAGGTGGCCAACTACACGGAGCAAAAGAACATCAATCCACGCAGAGTTGAAGGAACCTGCTTATGGGCTCTGCAAAGCCCTGAATACACTCGGTGGTCGGAGAGCACTTGTCACGATCTCCTCTGGGTGTCAGCTGATCCAGGTTGCGGGAAGTCTGTACTGGCCAGGTCGATTATTGATGGTTACATGGAAGCTCCTCACAAACAAGTAACAGTATGCTACTTTTTCTTCAAGGACAACGAAGAACAGGACCACCTTGCTGCCGCAATGTGCTCGGTTCTTCATCAGTTCTTCAGTCAGCGGCCCGATCTACTGCGTTATGCTATTCCGTCCTGGGAAGAAAATGGGGAGAAGCTCCGAGGAGAGGCTGAAGAGCTTTGGCGTATCTTCGTGACGGCCGCATCAGCTGAAGGATCACGCGAGACAATTTGTATACTCGATGCGCTTGATGAGTGTCGGGAGGCTGATCAGGGTCGATTGATCGAGATGCTTGATCTATTCCAGCGTCAGTCATATTCATCAACGCAAGATGCCTATTTGAAATTCTTGGTCACCAGTCGCCCCTACTACCATATCCAGAACTACTTCAGAGGGATAACAGAGACCTTCCCACACCTACATCTTAAGGGAGAGGAGGATAATTACCAAATCCGCAAAGAGATTGATATTGTTGTTAAAATAAGAGTCAAGGAGCTATCCGAGACTGCACGACTGTCACAGGATGTGACGCAACGACTCGAGCAACAGCTCATTCAAATGGAACACCGCACTTATTTATGGCTACATCTAGCTATGGATGATATTCGATCTACGTTCGAGGATAGCCTTCGGCCTGCCGACGAATCAATTCGCATGATACCCCCTTCAATCAATGAGGCATACGAACGGATTCTTAGTCGAGTTCCGTCCGGTCAAGTGGATATAGTGGGGAAGGTCTTGCAGATTATTGTTGCTGCACGCCGTCCTTTGACAACAGTCGAAATGGCCATGGCGTTGGGTATAGCTATCTCGCCACAGTCACGAACCGCAGCGAAAGCTGGACTTGATTCATCGCTGATAAGCAAGAAGCTCCGTCATTTATGTGGACTTTTTGTCTTTATCAATAACTCCAAAATCTACCTCATCCATCAGACTGCAAGAGAATTTCTTATCGCGAAGAGAAGCTCGCACCAAGCCGGCCTCGCATACTCATGGAGATTGAACGATGCTGAGCACCAGATGGCTCGAGTATGTTTGCGATACTTGCTAATGGAAGATCTTGTGTGTGATGATGACAGGCATCGCTCCAACACCGAGGATTTCTTGGGGTATGCAGCAGTACATTGGCCCGACCACGTAAGGAAAATGAATCTAGCTTCGGACAAAGAAGCCGTCGAGCAAGTGCATCAATTATATGACGTGAGTGGAAAGCTGTTCCCACTGTGGTTTCCAGTCTTTCAGGAGGCAGCAAGGCCTTACGAGGCGAGTCTCTCTGCAATGAAAGCGCTGCATCTAGCAGTCTTCAACGGCCATGACCTGGAGGTTCAATATCTACTTGGTGTTGATCCCAGCGATGTTAATATACCTGATGGCACAAACACATACGCCATCGTACGGGCGTCCTTGAATGGATACAGAAAGGTCGTGCAGATATTGCTTGATTATGGAGCCAATGTCAATGCCCAGAGTTGTCTCTACGGCAACGCCCTTCAGGCGGCTTGCTCTAATGGGCACGAGAAAGTCGTGCAGATTCTGCTTAAGTACGGAGCCAATGTCAATGCCGATGGTGGTCGCTATGGAAATGCCCTGCATATAGCTTGTTCTGATGGGCATGAAAGAATTGTGCAGCTGCTGCTTGAGTACGGAGCCAATGTCAACGCTGAGGGTGGTCGCTATGGAAATGCCCTGCATATAGCTTGTTCTGATGGGCATGAAAGAATTGTGCAGCTGCTGCTTGAGTACGGAGCCAATGTCAACGCTGAGGGTGGTCGCTACAGAAATGCCCTTCATGCATCTTGCTCTAATGGGTATATAAACATCATGCAGATTCTACTCAAGCACGGAGCCAATGTCAACGCCCAGGGTAGTTATTATATACGAAATGCCCTGCAGGTAGCTTGCTCTGGTGGACATGAAAAGATTGTGCAGTTGCTGCTCAAGTACGGAGCCAATGTCAATGCCGATGGTGGTCGCTATGGAAATGCCCTGCATATAGCTTGTTCTGATGGGCATGAAAAAATTGTGAAGTTGCTGCTTGACTATGGAGCTGATGTTAATGCCCAGGGCAATGTTGATCGAAATGCCCTGCAGATGGCTTGTTCTGATAGACATGACAAGATTATGCAGTTGATGCTCGAGTACAGTGTTGAAGTTAATGCCCAGAGCAGTGTTAAGCGAAATGCTCTGCAGATATCTTGTTTTAATGGGCATAAAAAGATTGTCCAGTTACTACTTGAGTACGGAGCTGATGTTAACGCCCAGTGTAGTATTGATGGAAATGTCCTACAGATAGCTTGCTCTGATGGACATGAAAAAATGGTGCAGTTGCTGCTTGAGTACGGAGCCGATGTCAATGCCTATGGCGGTCTGTACGGAAACGCCCTTCAGGCGGCTTGCTCTAATGGGCACGAAACAATTGTGCAGATTCTGCTCGATCACGGAGCCAATGTCAATGCCCAGGGTAATTACTATGAAAACGCCTTGCAGGCGGCTTCCTATTATGGGCATAAAAAGGTCGTGCAAATTCTGCTTAAGCATGGAGCTGATGTTAACGCCCAGGGCAATGTTGACGGAAATGCTCTACAGATAGCTTGTTCTAATGGGCATGAAAATATTACAGAATTACTGATTGAGTATGGAGCAGATATTAATGCCCAAGGTGGTCTCTTCGGAATCGCCCTTCAGGCGGCCTGTTCTAATGGGCATGAAAAGATTGTGCAGTTGCTGCTCAAGTATGGAGCTGATGTTAACGCCCAGGGTAGTTACTATGGAAATGCCCTGCAGGTCGCTTGTTCTGCTAGACTTGAAAAGATTGTGAAAATGCTGCTTGAGCACGGAGCTGATGTCAATGCCCAAGGTGGCCTCTATGGAAACGCCCTTCAGGCGGCTTGTTCTAATGGACACGAAAAAATTGTGCAGTTGCTGCTGGAGCACAGTGCCGATGTCAACACTCAAGGCGGTCTCTACGGAAACGCCCTTCAGGCAGCTTGTTCTAAAGGATATGATGAGATTGTGCTGATGCTGCTCGAGCGCGGAGCGAAGATATCCAAGCAGGGTCAAGCGATCATCTTTAACGACAACATACTAGCGCTACGGGTAATTCGAAACCTGCTTGGTAAATTAGTTCAGCGAATTATTCGAGCCACGCTGCAGGTAGCCTCCGGAATGAAGGCATGAGGGATCCTGATTCACCTCCAATGGGCTCCAGGACATTGACATTGTGACGACCCCTGTGAACGATGAGGTCCACCGGCTTGCCAGAGAATAAGTAGGCTCAAAGAAAATGCAAATGTTCTTGGCACCTTTCGCATAAAAAGGGTTTTATCCGGACTGTCCAAGTCTTAAGACCCAGGCTTGCGACATGAGTTACGGAGGTGATGCAGAAACGCGTTCACGTAGAAGGAAGAAGATAATATACAAGATAATGAGCAAGACAGTAAGGTTTTAGGTTCCGTAGTGGGTTTCGAAGAAGTATCCCAATGCATTGGAAACCCTCCGCAAAAGAGAACACTAGGCAAGTAGGCCAACACTGGCCTTGATGAGAACCCAGCTTCGTTAGAGGTTCACTACATGTAAGGAAATATACAATACATAGACAGACAGGGTCAGGGAGAACTTGCATATCGCTAAAGGCGAGGATCAGCGTATTAATACTACTACAACAGTACTGCTGCTACTATGTACGTAAGAATATGTTCTTCTTCTTGCTGACACCAAACTGAGGTAGACAGGGAAACAGGTATAGAAATACAGATTAAGAGGAATCTAGTAGGCAAATCTTCATAACAGGACAACAGTGAAACAATGTCTGACAAGTTCAAGATTAGCATTATTTGATAGCTCTAGAAATAAGGAATATAATAATATAATTTTCAGTCTTTTATAATTATTCTGTGGAGTTATAAATATTTAAAGATAATAGTATTCACTTTCAGGTATAATTGACATATATAACAGAAATTTAATCAGATTAGTATATATAATGGAAATTTAAATTAGGTTAATACCTTTTTTTCAGAGATACTAAGCCTAATTAAATCTATTAAATATTATAATAATAAATAATATCATAAAAAGTATTACCTCAATAAGTATTATAATGATAAGTATTATATAAAATAATATATTAATATTTTTAATATAAATTCTAAATTCTCAGAGTCTTATCTATCCTATATACTAGAAAACTTAAATTATATATATTTATTATTTAGTATTATTTATTATATCTAAGTTATATATTTTCAAGAAATATTATTTATTATAAAAATATTAATATATAGCAATCTGTGCACTCTAGTAGGCAAATCTCCACAACGGGACAACAGTAAAATAATGTCTGATAAGTTCAAGATTAGTATAAGGGTGAATATGATGAGATAGTGTGAAGAGTATATCTTATTCGCGAATATGAAATATAAGGTTGATTTCCTTAAAGTATTGTTGCTAACTATCCTCCCTCTATCCGCGAATAGTGAGATATTCGCGGGTAGCCTATGGGTCACGTGCGAGCACTAACCAGGCCTCGCGACGGGGACTGCTATCATTATGGATATTCCTCGCGATAATAAGTATCGCGAGGGTTATAAGGATTTAGGTCCTTACAATAAAAAAAAAAAAAAGTAGTATATTATATTATTATTAATAATTATCAAATACTAAGTTAATATAAAACTCTTAAAAAATAAACATTAATGAAAGAATTACATTTCTTATATATTATAAATAAGAATAAAAACCTGATATATAATTTTAAATCTAGAAATAATAATTAGAGTATACTGGAAATAGTTTACTTAATGAGTTAATAACTTATAATATCTATTTTAATATAATTATCAAGATCTGTGAAGGTTTTAAGATTATTTTAAATATAAATAAAAATATAAAAATAATAAGTAGTCTTTATTATAAATAAAGAAATTAAAATTATGAAAATTATTTTTATTTTTCTACTTTTTTGTCTGATTCTGATAAAAATAAATAAATTTTAATAAATAAAATTTTTTTATTCTTAATAAAATAATAATTAACAAGGTATCAAGTATTTTTATATATAGAATAATATAATTAGTTATTATTAAATTTTGAATAGAATTTTTTTTGGTTCAGAATATTATCTTTAACTAATTTATAATTATAGTTTTAAGATTTTTTTCATAAATTATAATTAATAAAATAATTATGTTTTATACTTTTCTTTATTATTCTAGAATTTATAATAATAAGTAATAATAGCTACTATTTTCTTTTATTTTTTTAGTTACATACAGAATATACTTTTAAATATAATATTTTAAATCTAGAAAAAACTTAATAAAGTAAAATTAAATTTTTTATTTAATTTAATAAGAAAATCATTATTTTAAAATATTAAAATAAATATAAAACTCTTTCAAATTTTAATTAAATTGTTAATATACTTATTTAAGCTAGACTATAATATCTGACTAGAATATTATAATATTCCTGATTAGAGTAAAAATCTAATCTTTAAATTAAGATTATAATTTCTTAAATAATTATTCTTTATTTAAAATCTTATTATTAATAAAATAGTATTATCTCTGTCTGTATATTAAATCTATATAGCTAATAACAGTAATAATCTTATATTTCTTTGATAAATATTTCTTAGAGACTTTTTAAAATATATATTTTCAATAATAATCTATTTCTGATACTTCTAAAGATTAAAGTTTAGTATAAAATAAAAAATATTAATAAATTTAATTTCTTTTTTTTCTTTATCTGATTCAGAGAAGGATTATGAATATTTTAATAATAATTTATTAAAAAAACTATTCTTTATTATTAATTTATTCTAATTAATAAATATAGTTCTTAAGTTATTAAATCTCTTTAATAATAGAAATAGTATTTAATAATAATTTTATATTAATTTAGTCGCTAATTAATTCTAATTTTTTATTATTCTAACATGGTAGCATCTTTCTTAGATAATTAAACGTAAAGAATCAGAATATAATAAAATTTATATATTAGAATAAAAAGCCTGTCGACTAGATAAGAAATTAATTATTAAATATTATAGATTTATCTAATAATAACAAAGGTAGTCTATATTCATAAAATAAACTGATTCTTAAGAGATTAGTAATTCGTTATAGTAGAATCAATATCTTATAGGTATCAGAATAATATAGAACTGCTATTAATGACCTTATGACTCCCATAACCACTATAATATGTCATCCTGATAACCATACTCCCGATAGCTAGGTTATTCTATCACACACAAGGAGGGGGCAAACTTATTTAAATGAATATTAAAAAAAATAAATTAAATTGAAAGAAACTATATATATATCTAATAATAAATATAAATATATTAAATAAAATATATATTTTACCTATTTACTTCACCACTTACTTTAGAAAGAAGAGTGAATAGTAAATATTTATATAAATTAAATATTTAATATAGAATATAATAAATTTATATTCTATATGCATAGCATATATAGTTAAATATTAGATAATAATAGCTATAACTGAGTGGGTTCTTATAGCACATGCATGGTATATAATTGGTTAAAGTTGGTCGTGGTCTAGTATGCTCATCGTGGTCTAAATCTCTTAATACAAGGGGGTTCAGACTATGCCGAGCTATGCTAAGAATAGCTTGGCGTGGTCTGAACAGGGCGATGAGATGACTGGCAGAATATTAGACCACGCTCACCTTTTTTCAGACCATGATGAGCTGCGACCCGGGCGGCTCGTTATCCCGGCGGTTCGTTGTCCAATTACGTTATATTAGCATCTAGCTCAGTTGCAAGTGGGGCCTGCCAAGCTGAAACGTTCAAAAATTTCATTATTTCCCCTCAGCAGGTTCAGCTGCGGCCTGAACACACATGCATGCCGATTGGCTTGAACTTTGCCACACTCATGCCCCATCCTGGATCGGTGAACGCCCGAGCAATGTAGACGGCAAAAAAAAAAAAAAAAAAAAAAAAAAAAAAAAAAAAAATTTTCCGGCACGGTCAAGGCCTCAGTTCCGATACTGATGCTTAAAGGAAGTCATCTCTAATACACGGCCAATGTCCAATCACGACCATGCTGTATAGTGATCTTGTTTCCACAAGAAACCTGACTACTAGACTAGACACCGTCATCAGAAAGCATTACAGTATCGAAAAATCATGGGTACTCCAATTCTCGTTCATTAGTGCTAATTAATATAAGCCGATAACAGCTCCCTTCTGAGTTCTACCCGGTGTGTCTTTACTAGTGGCCCAGCTGGCAGGGATTTACGGGGGCCATTAGCGGCAATCGGGCAAATGCGTTGTACAGGGGTCCGTAACACTAGCACCTACTACTAACTACGTATACGTGTCAGTAGCTATCTCATGGCAAAAGTGCTACAATGGAGTCAGTGGTACCAACGCCGATCAAGAAGACTAGCCACCAATGCAGTCTGTGCCTCAATCACCGATAGGGTGGGGTAGACTCGCTCGGAACAACAGGCCATCCTTACAAACACCACCTTATCATTATCATATCACAGGCCGAGTTTGAATAAGTTGTCGTCAATCTATTAGCGTCTTCGGGATTTGGTTGTCGTTGGAGTTACAGCGATGCTGCGCGCTAAAATTCGGAGACTTGCAATGACTTGCAAGGAGACCTGTACGGAGATACCCTGTGTTAAGCACTCGGTGGGGCCCGGCATCACACTATACCTACCTAGATTCTAGCTATAAAAAAAGTACGCAATATGAATACATTTGTGTACGTTCTCTGTTTACTTCGCTTCCCTCTAGTCACACATAATAAAACTAATAGTTCCCCTGCCCATTCCTATCCAACTCGGGATATATCTCCGAGCTGATATGCAACCCAGAAAATAGTATGATAGAACCGACCAGCCGGTTCCTTACAGCTATCGATTTCTGGTCTCGGAGAGACCGACAGATTGTCAAACACTAGGATCGCTTCCCTGTCCCAGTTAGCTTAGCCCCGTTGGTATACGTACCGTCGAACTACGTCGAGGAGGTATCGACTGATGACTATCTGAGAGACAACCCGGTCGTGGACAAGAGAAGAGAAGTAAGGCCGAATAGTGCCGCGCAGCTATTCATAAGTAAGTGCAGACGAGTGTTATGTAGCTAAGCTTCCAAACATATAGTTACTTTAAGACAGTTGTATTGAATACGAAGAACAGAACTAGCTAAGTACATGAGAGAGTATCCTTATATATCCTATTATTTGCATACCATATCATATACCATTCAGGGTAGATCGGTGGTCGACCCTGGGATTCCCATATACCCTGAGTATACCTTCGATGGTAGGTTCGATGGTAGATGGTCACGTGATGCGTGGCTGTTCTGGGCGGCGTAATGGCAATCAGAAATTATACTGTATATATTATCTATATAATATTAAATTACTTCATGTTAAATTAATTATTATATCTTAGTAGGCAGGCCATGTTTTTGTTATGCCATGATTCTAGAGTGTGGGTATAAGGAGAATATTATTGCAGTATTAATAGGCGATGGCCCGTAATCAAAGAAATATAGATCTTGATGTTGGAAAGCTAGTGTTACTTGAGAGGGATAGGATTATCTTGCGGTGGAAACGAAACTATATACTCTTCCACGATGGCTATGAGAGACCATCCTATGGAGGGTACAGCTACTCGTCCTTCTTGGGCCCCTGTGGTAATAATGTGGCAGCACATGATTAGGAGTGTAATCCACGATAAGTTTGCATATCTAGCTTGCATGTGTATGATGGGTCATCTGTATATGAACGAGTCCGTCCTTCTGTTAATCACAGATTGGTTCAGGATTTGGCATCACTGCATGCATAAATAGTCATTTCCGCACTTTCCAGAGGTGTCTATTGACTTGAATGCAGTGTAACCATATGCAGTCCAATCTTAGATGGTCAGCTGGCCTGACTAATGGTGGTAGATCCACAGAAGCAGGTCATAACTACATATTATGTAGCGCTAGTTCAATTCTTTTTTTCCCACACTTAACTGGTGAACAAGCTCACATCTAGTGTCACAAATGCCGAGTATATAGATATACTAGGGGTTGTCAGTTATCAATTCCATTAGGACTTATATAACAAGACCACGACTAGGACTGAACATTCAGTCAACTACAAAAGTAGATCGAGAATATTGTTAGCATCCAGTCATGCAGTGTCTCCCAGTAGCCTGATTGGCTCTGATTCCGGGCTGTTCCGTTCTTTTCAATCAAAATGACTGTGCGGGAAACAAATCGAATTAGTGCCACAAAATATGTACGGATTGGTAGTAATGACCTGCTTCTGTGGGTCTGCCGCCATGATAAAAGATAGGAAGGAACGGGCAGGCACCAGGGATGGGCCGAGACCAACTAGAAGAGGTAGAGACGGTCGGCCGTGGGATTAAGCAGACGCCCGAAGATAAATATCGAGGCCTTATTCGTATCCGTAGATAGCATTTGTAAATGTAACCTCATGTAATATGGACATGCATCCACCGAATAGCACGGCAGCATCGCGCAATACATGATGTAATTGCGCAGCGGATCAGGTTTGGCTCTACGTGTAGATTTCGCGTCCTGGTAAGATTCCATTCATGTTGTTCTTATAACCTTTTCCATCGTCAATATCGCTTCAATCCATCTGTAAAGTACCCGACGGAGTAACTCGGGTTTATTTTTTTCTTGATATTATCCTGAATAGGGGTGATACATGGTGCATTAAAGCGGGGCTCAGCGTCGCGAGCTGAAGGGAGGCCCCAGCGCCCATGATAGCCGCGAGTTCCGATTTGGAGGAAGTTAGGACAAATCTCTATGTCACCCTCTGCACAGTCACTGGGTTCTGAACGATTAATAGTCCATGTAGTATGCAGTGTTCTGCTAGCCAGATTTGGGCGGCCCCGCTATGGTTGTACCATATCAACTTATCCATTGGCAACTGACCGGGTCCCACTGTCGAATACAGAGTAGAACTTTGTTTATGCCAGTCACTCGATTGCCATCATGGCCGATATTCTTTGGCTTAGCATTCAGCCCCATCCACAAATTCAAACGTATCACGTGCATTGTATCTCCATATATGCGGTTTCTCTGAGGTGGGAGAGATAGAGCCCGTCGACTAGGCAATAATTATGTTGGACAAACACTCTACGCAGCAAGTGGGAGAAAGTTAATGGTATATAGCTAAGAAGCGGGGGCCTGCATATTGCCCCAGCTATGTGGCGAGAACACTGAGTCAGTTTATATGCATTTTCTCGCCCTTACCGGGACATCCCTGTCACTCTCAGCCGTATATGGGAAATCATGTTGTCAAGAAAAAGACAGTCCTACGTGCTGGTTTTGGACACCTAATGCAAATATAGCTGAAATAAAGTGATTAAATGAGGGAAACTGAAAGACACGTAATATTTAGTTACCGGACACTGCCAGCTCATCGCATGAGTTAGTATGGGAAGTGGGGGTTAGAGTTGCCCCTCATCTAGCAACAAAGCAGGCCGTCGTCATACAAGAACGTCTGCCTGTCTATCACCCTGATTGGCCCTCCATGGCATGCAACATAATATAGAAACGCGGTTGTCCGAGTCAAAACTGTTGTGCTTGTATCGCTTAAAATTTCAATAAACAAATGTTGTTGGTATGAATTTGTATATAGATACTAGGTACCAATATCAAAAGTCTAGATTTATTTCTTCATAGTAAGTACTACGCCATGTTACAACGTTGCCCGAACAGAGCGCTCTATCTGAATGAGGTTGGTGACGTGGTGGATAGTATTTAATATGGTGATTGTTTTTGCGTTGGGAGTAAGCAAGTCATTCTCTCTTACTCTAGTACGCTGACATGCAAAAACGGTGCCTGGGTGCTGTACTCTCTTAATTTTATGGGTCCGCTAGTCCACATATAGTTAGCATTTTCAATTTACACCAATGAGTTCGATTAAGAGTGGATTACTGATGGTAATCCTATCCATTTATAGTCTAGAGAACCCACAAAATTAAAAGAGTACAGTACTCGGGCACCGTTTGTGCAAGTCAGTGTAGCTCTCACTTGTGAGGGGAGACTTTTCTTTTTTTTTGTTTTTTTTGGAATCAATTCCAGAGCAGCTCTCCGTCACTAGGGAATATCAATGGAAATCCCCCGTGAAAACCATTATAAGTAGACAACAGAACAGGTCCAAGGGCGTTCTCTCCAACAATCTCGTTATCTTATGGAGGGGATTGATGGTAGTGACTATTGAAAGATCGATCATGCATACCTCATCTATAATTATAATAGTTTTTCGTGACCACAGTCTGCGTATTCTCGCCCCCATTGTTAGTTGTCAGGAACGGTAGAGGAATTCCAAGAGGAGTATAGTAAGTGTTTTCCCCAAATGGTATTAATGGCTGCCCTTGTTAATGCCATGAGGATGACTTTATACTTGTTAGTGGATGAAATTTATACCGGCAGAAATCATTTATTTCTCCTCGTAGCTTTCCTTATGGGATATTTTATTGGCGGGGATCTGGCGACGATTGGTAGCTGAGATGCGGCAGGGTTGAATGCAAAACTAAACATACCTATCAACCATTATTATCAATCAGTCACCACCGTAGATTGGCAGCCTGATCATCACCATCGGCCACGATTACGCGATAAATCATCTCCATGATATCGCATCAGTTAGTGATCATTTTATCATTAGATCGGAAATCAGACCTCATAATTCCTTCATTGTAACCCATGAAATTCAGCGGCAGAATACTGAGTAATAAAGTAGGAGGTCAGAGCGGATGGAAATTACGCATCCATCTTTCAGCCAGCCAGGTGTCCGATTTGACTGTCTTACGACTCGTGCTAGAGCGACTAAGTTAGCTGACCTATCTGAAGCTGGCAGGCTTGGCATATTGTGCCGCGGAGCTCCATCTCTACACTTCTATGAATGACAGTGGCGACTATAAGATGTTCAATACGTAGTTAAAGTCACTGTGTGGCGATTGTCTAATTTACCTAGTAGTAGGACTGACTTATATCTGCGTGGAAAGAAGGCAATAAGCTGCAATGGCCTGAATTGCAGCTCATCGCTGTTTCAGCAGGGGCATCCACTTCATTTTTACAAAATGAAAAGGTAAAAAAATAATAATTAAAGTTAAAATAGAAATAGTTATACTTAAAGAACTAGATAAAGCAAATTTTGAATCAAAGTAAATTTTATTAATAACTTTATCTTTTTGTAAAACAAGGTGAACTCGAATCCCTTTATTTCAATTTGCAATCAAAACGCAGAACCCTCTGCATTATTTTTAATATAGTAGTTAATAACAATATTAAAGAAATATACGAGAAATATTTTTATAATATCTTAAATTATTATTCCAGAAGGATGATAGTTAACCAGCAAAATACGCATCCATCATTAGAGTCGAGGCCATCAAGCATGGAATTATCAGCTAGCGCTGACGGCTATTTGCACAGTTTATTCAACCAGAGCTTATGGTGTGTAATTTATGGAGCATGCAGTGTTTGTGTCGCCCTAGCAATGACTGCAGAAAAGACAGCTGGAGATAAGGGGCTGTGTGGAACTCATATAGAATGTGGCGAAAACGGCAAGGGGGGCCTCAAAATATTCCACCAATGTACGGCCAAGAGGCGGAGTGGTAAGTATTCTGATTTTCGGGCTTCAGCTGTCTGCTTTCATGACTTATATGTCATTTCCCCAGGAAAGAAAAGGATAATAAAGGATAGGGAAAAATTTCCTGCACGAGAACCACTTTTGAATTGACAACATAGCTTGGGCGTCAGCATCTATCACTATGCTTCATGAATTAATTGGTTATTCCACCTTCAGCGGAACATGCCTAGTGGTCTTCATTATCACCCTAGGTGCGACGGCAATTGCGACCCTACGTTCATCTGAACAGATATCTAAATGGCCACTGATCAACAACCGAAGGATTTATGAATTAACCCTGGCACAAGCAAAGAGGCGATTTTACTATAATCTTGATCAATTGTGTCAACTTGGATTCCAGAAGGTAGTAACTCCGCATGACTTGAAAAGCTTTTTGTTTTCATTTACTTGTCCTAACCTCCCGCAAGTCCCGAGACGGATTCCGTCTAGTGACCGATAGTGGGACTCATCTGGTGCTAGCCCCAAAATACCTACACGATATTCGTGTTCAACCAAACCTGGTATTTGGACCGGTAGTCAATCACGTACGGAAGGTGCCGTTCCTATTTTGATGGGAGTCTTTGATGGTTGACTATTTTCAAGGAGTTCAATGGCCATATCCGAGGGTTCGAGCCATTTGGAAAGTCTGCGGTTGCGGGGCCCATATTCCAGAACTTACTGAAGAAGAAGATGGTAATCGCACTTGGTAAGACTTTTTTTTAAAGAATAGTATCACAATGGGCAGGGTCTAACGCAGACTTTAAACGCAACAGGGGATATCATCGAGCCCTTAGTCGAAGCGGCTGGGCCAGCCATTTCGAAGGGTTTTGCTGACAGACGAGGTACAATCCTTACCAGCTATATATTGGTGGTTATGTATACTGACAGTTTTTCAGAGTGGCATACAATTACCCTGCTTGGGCCTTTGCGCAAGATTATTACTCAATGCTCTTCAAGAATATTTGTCAGTGAGGAGCTCTGGCAAGACCCTGCCTGGGTAGATGTGGTGGCGGACTACACAGCCACCGCGTCGAGAACCGCTGATGCTCTACGTCAATGGCCGCCATTCATACGTCCTCTAGCGGCTCACTTCATTCCGGGGGTTTGGAAGATGCGCGCTCAAATTAAGAAGGCGCGAGGAATGATGAATCCCGTCTATGAGAAGAGACGAGAAGAGAATGCCAGGTTGGCCACTCAAGGCAAAGAGGTCCCGAGAAGAGCATCAGATGTCATGGATTGGTTTGAAGAGTGCTCAAGGGGTCAGGAGTACGATATGACTGCTGCACATTTGGGCCTTGACTTCGTGGCGATTTCGAGTACGGCGGACATGATCACCCAGTTGATCTATGATCTTTGTGGCCAAGAACGTCTACTAAACGACTTGCGTCAGGAGATAATATCTGTGCTCGGAGATAATGGATGGAATAAGGCATCCCTATACAAACTTAGGCTTCTGGATAGTGTTATGAAGGAGAGTCTGCGGCTGAAGCCTAGTATTACTGGTGAGTACCTCTGCTAGCTCCCTTTTTCATGTACCCAGCCTTCAAATTAAAACTAAACCTGTCAGGTCTTCGTCGATATGCCCAAACAGATGTCGTCCTCTCTGACGGGACCAAAGTATCGAAAGGTACCTTGGTAATTGTCTCCGGCCACCATATGTTAGAGACTGAGTCGGGTATATATCCTCAGGCCGATGTATTTGACGGCTACCGGTTCTATCGCTTGCGACAGGTGTCTGATCAAGATACCTGGAAACAGTTCGCGTCCGCGAGTGAGAAGCACATAGGGTTTGGCTACGGTCAGCATGCGTGCCCGGGGAGATTTTTCGCGTCTCATCAGGTCAAGATTTTGATGTGCCATATTCTTCTCAGATACGACTTCCAACTTCCAGGGGGCGAACCGCCAAGGCCGTACTTGAGAGGATTCAATTTCAACGCTGACCCATCCACGGAAGTCCTGATCAGACGGAGACAAGAGGAGATCACACTTTGAGTAATCCCACTGCCTGCATTCACTGGTTCCTGGCTCCGCCATCCTTTACTCTGTATATTAGGGCTAAGTTCCCAGTGACAGATTGATTAGGGGCTAGAGAAGCAGAAGTAGACATCCATGATGTAGCTTATTACGAGGATGTTCGAAGAAATCAAACGCGACGAGAAAAAGAAAAAAAAAAAAAAAAAAAAAAAAAAAGAACCGATTTATGGGATGATTGTAGTCATTGTATTTTGTAGTTCACCATATACAGCCTTATTCGCGTGGTAAACCCGACTGTTTCGAGATAGCAGAGATGTCTGAGGACACTAGCGCGTTGCCGCGGCACGTCAAGAAACCTCAATTATTTCAACCATCTACCATTATAAAAATGAGTGCTTTTGGAACTGAAGTTGGTGGAAATCAAAGGCCTAATGCAGAGCCTTTATCTGAGACTCACTCAGTTATTTTATCAACACTAGAAAACAAGACATCGCCGACTCAATTAGCTCAGCGATTAGGCGTCAGTCCCAACACAATCTATTCAACAAAAGAACGCTTTCAATACAACCACACCTTGCTGTCTCTTTCTGGAGAAGACAGACATAAAAGGCTTGTCCATTCTACTAGGTGTTATGTCTATCGACTGGCTCACCAGAGGCCTAAACCTAGCTAGAGTTCGATGTGCAAGCAGCGATTCTGGGATCTTTGTCTCAACAATTAGGCGGGTCCTCAACCGATTTCCTGTGAAAAAAAAAAGGAAAGGAAAGAAAGAAAGAAAGACAATGGAAAAGTAAACTCTTTTGCCTGGGATAGCTAAATAGAGGCTTCAAATCGCGCGTACATGGCTCAAATATCCCGATTGGAAAGATATCGAGCATGCTGACGAATGTTCGGTGCGGAGAAAGTTCTATTTCCTTCTACTCAGCACGTCTTTCGTTTTCCAAACGAGACCTACAGGTGTGACCTAGTGAACCTAATAAACAATAAAAGACATCCCCCAAATGGTCTGGGTGCTATATGGCTGGGTGACCGATCTGATTTGGTCATTATAGAGCAAGACGAATTATCTCAACAAAGCAGCTATTCAACGAAATCGTACACTTTTAGTAAAACGTGATTTCAATGGGCCTAATAGATACTGCTAAAGTGGTTACTATGTCTGATGTGCCAGGCAAGCCATTTTGTTGCAGCCAGGGAGTCAAGAATGGGTGACTTCCATAGAATGTATTGATTTATGTAGTGACGCTTGCAGATGAGGACTGATGTAGTATTTCTCACATCGTACTGGTCATGTACAGGCATTCAACCAGGACGTACTGAGATGGAACGAAATCAGGGCAGGAGCAAGGACAGCCTCGCTATTACTACTGCTGTGCCAGAGATCAGTCGGCCATGGCAGGCAAGCCAAAGAGCCGTGTGGCGTTTCCAGCAGCAATAGCCATTCGGGTGCTTTCATTGAGTTCAAGTCCATCGAACCAATCTGCTGCATCCTCATTGCTCTCATAAGGATAATCCACGCTGAACATCACTCGTGATTCGCCAAGCTCTTCGATTGTGTTTTTCATTGTGCTGTAGCGACGAACACCGGCCAATGTGGCATAGAAATGATTCTGGAAGTAGTACATCAAAGAATGTTTATGTGCACCATTACCACCTGGAGTGCCGATTTTCATTCGCTGATTCGCTCGATGAATAATGAAGGGAAGTGCTTCGGCACAGTGACCCAGTATAATCGTTACAGGATACTTGTCAAGGATTCCAGAGCACATGATTCTCAGAGCATGGCCTGCGCACTCCACACCAAAGCCATAAGATGCGGAGACAAGATTGGGATATTGGCTGTACAGAACTTGCTGATGAATTGGAGGCAATCGTGGATGGATATAAAGTGGAACTTGAAGTTGATGAAGCATTTTCCAGAACGGTTCGCACTCTGGCGCATCAAGATACCGTAGTTTGTCGTCGCGGTCGTCCAAGTTGGTAAAACCATTGATCAGAGCGCCTTTAGCGCCTAATTGTGACACAGCTCTTTGAAGCTCTTTGGCAGCTTCCCCTGGATCATGCATTGCAACGCACGCAAAAAAACCAAAGCGGTCCGGATAAGGTCGCACGTATTTATTATAGATTGCGTTGTTGGTCTCGCGAGCAAAGTAGATGGCTGTTTCCGTATCACTGACTCCTTCAATCCCAGGTGATGTCAGACTAAGAATGGCGTACTGCACGCCGCTTTGGTCCATGGACTTGAGCCGAAGCTCGACATCATCTAATCTGCTCTCGACATCTGCAAGGAATTCGGTACTAAACGGCAGTCCATCCAGATCTTTGATTACCGGACGAGGTGGATAATTCTGATGTGCGGCGAACAGAGGACTTCCCACAGCTTCCTCCAGGGCAATCTTTCCGGTCCGCCGAACAACCGGAATGCTTTGGGTGGTCTCACGATTCATAGCCATTTCCAAGGGGATCGGACAGTCATTCAATGGGAGAGGAAGGGGGTTGAAAGATGACGTGTGAATTAGAGGGGGAAAAAAGCCTGCAGTTGGTTGGGTTAGTTCATGAAGCATGCGCCAATGGATGTCTCTTATCATTTTTCCTTCCCGTCAATGTCCGGGGATTTCAAAGAATATAACGCATATACATGGAGAAGGTGGGGAAGCAGTTTCATGCGGGGACGACTTCTCATAATGTGGGGAAGTATCTGCCCCGCGTCTTCGGCAGGGCGGATTAAGCGAGGGAATGACTGGAGCTATTTGACCTCGGTGTTTGTCAGTGCCTCACATTCTTGGTCGTAGTCGACAAGCCGGCACTCGGCGGAATCGCTTCATGAGGTCACAAATCTTGCGGGGATGAGTTCCAAAGGTTTGTGGGGAAGGTAGCCGGAAACATCCGTATTCTGGTGTTCCTTGGCGAAGGTTCACTCGGCTTGGCCACGTTCTAATCGTGACGCAGAACTGCATATCAAAGTATTTTGGGTTGATCATCGACAACCTTGATCTTCTCAGAAGTGAAACATTTCCTGTTCTGAATCCCGTCACTGGAGCGGAACTACACTCGGATTCATCTGCTCCGCTTGGCAGCCTTATTAGTGCCATCGCAGCTACTCGCGTTCAGAATCTTCTCCAGAATGCAGTCCAACATGGTGCCACCGTATCCGCCGGACGGGTCTCGGTTTCTGGAGCAATTGTACAGCCCGTTGCTCTTTCAGGCATAACAAAGGAAATGGATTTATATCATCAAGAATCATTTGGTCCTGTTGTAACCCTGTTCGAGTTCGATACAATCGACCAAGCTGTCAAACTGGCTAATGATACAGAGTATGGTCTAGTTTCATCTGTCTTTAGCACTGACATTTTGATGGCCTTGAAGGTCGCAAGACGGATAAAGAGTGGCTTTTGCCACATCAATGGACCAATGATTCACGATGAACCTCACTTGCCGCTGGGAGGCCAAAAGGCGAGCGGGTACGGGAAGTTTGGGGGTACCGCGTGTATCAACGAATTCACTGAAGATAGAGTGGTCACTATTGTTGGCGAAAGGGAGCATCGATTCCCGATCTAAATACTAGATTTGCCTTGTACGAAGGCCTAGAAAAGAACGGACGACGTACATAATTTGTTAGTGGAAAATCTTACAGAGCTTGAAAAACAGTTTGATCCAATTATATCTGTATCACATTCTCCATTGATGTAAGCCGCGGAGCAAATCCATTGCAAGAACCAAATGCATGAAGCTTAGGGTATGATATCTATAGATCCTACGCTTTTAGCATTGAGCCTTGCGTACAAGCACGCCGCGCTGCAGCAATTGCCATATTCGTGTACATAAGCTATCGTAATGTCCTCGTCGAGTCTCTAGCTATATGAAATACTTTTGCTATTCAAGGCACTAGTATCTTGCACTGCCGACAGGTATTCGAGTAAGGTACGCAGCCCGCTTACCGGTTACCTTATAGTGGCCTATTACGACTACTGACTCCTCAGCTTTACGACTGCCGAAGGGTGCCAAGACCTAAACACACGAAACTGGGTCTGCATGCTATCAAAAAGACTACATCGAGTATCCAAAGCTGACATTTGAAAATACGCTATTTGTGGCTCATACTAATCAGCCTTGAGACTTGACTTTGATGCCTATCTAGATTTCCCAATGCTTCTTATCTCTAAGCCTTCCTAACTAGCTTAGGACGACCAGATTTCCTGTCAAAAGGAATCTCATTCAGGGATGCCCAATGAACCTAAACGTTTCAGTTCTTTACCTTCCAATTATTCAGGTTTCCAATTGGAACCGCTGGGCATACCTCAGCCAGCATTGAAGTGAGCGCAATTCCAATATGTTTGACTGGTTATGACTCCAGACAACAGCATCAATGGTCATAGGGTGAACATCTCCTTTTAAGAGAATCTAGTCGATATCCCTAGCGATGCGCATGCCCTAAACCCCTCTTAACTCGATGGCATGAACAACACTGGGAGGAAGATTCCACCAATATTTCCGCGCTTCCAGATCAAACAAGATCTCCTTCCGCAGCGCTGATGATGAATATAGATTGCAAAAGTAGGAAGACTCAAGTAGTCATGGCCCTCAATTTGAGGCAGAACCATAGAAGAGGGAACAACAACAAGATCACATGTGGTGTTGATAAGAGATGTCACATATGTCAGAGACACGAGGGATATTCAAAGACAGTGCCTCAAAGACCTTGCAAGTAATCAGCCTGTTCGACATGTTGCATGTTTCAAACAATCAATAGAATCTGACTGACGCAAATTCGAGACGGATGACCTAATATTCAAGGCTATAGATAATGAGGACTTATCTGCATTTCGGCTTCTGCCTCCAGCATATGACGGTGAGAAATTATACCCCTTTTTTTTTTTTTTTTTTTTTTTTTTTTTTTGGGAAAGATAATATCCCGTTTACTGAACACATACGGAAATTTGATGGCAAAATACAGTTAGGTATACTGATTTCGGTGATAGTTATCATAAGCCCGATTAACTCCGAGATCTTAGTGGAGGATGTCCGGTTTGGGCATAGCATCAGCCTTCTCCACGACAGCTGCCCCGCGAAGTTGGCACTGGTGAGATGGGTCCCATGTGGGGAAGACAGGCAAGACAGCTTTGACCACGCTATGAAATAAGTGAATAGAAGGAGAGAGTCCCACTCAGTCTCGCTTAGAGAAAGTACCGAACACCGAGAAAAAGGGACGAGCAGGGCTGATTATCCCCGGGCTTCCTATTACGCATGCTCTAGAACGTTTACAAATCTGTCTGAGTTTGATTGGACTAGCAGATTGGCAGATATGCAACACAGCAGTGTCCCCTTAACAATTTCCATTTTTCTTTTACCTCCGCCAGAGCAGGCTATGAAAGTGCACCCTGTTAATATTAAACCTTAATTTTTTGGAAGGGAAATCATCTATCACACTGAACTTTTATCCTCGTCAATACAACGGGAATTCATCCATTTCGCGCTACAGTGTTGAACTTTCTCAACTACCACTGTATGACAAGTTCCTCGCCCTCATTATCTATCAATTTGAAGTATACCAAATCCCTGGGGGCTTCCCAGCTATCTTGAATATAGCCGTGCAGGAAAGCAGTGCTCCCGTTCGCTATCCCTTCAATGCGCAGTCTGCTATGCTTACCAACGTCGTGGCCACCTATGGGCTCTATCTCCCCGTGATCTTCTTTCACGCAGTCGTCTGGCTTGGACTGTCCTCTGTTCTTTTCGGCTTGGCTCAAGCGTGGATCCATGGTATCATGATCAACATGAAACTTGGTAGCATTTACAACCCTGGGCTTACAGCAGTGGTACTAAAAATTGTTCTTATCGGCCACAAGTATATGCAATAGATGCAAGAAAGGGCTTGATCACATAAAGAGACAGGGTACTCGGCACCTTGCTGCACTTTTGTTTGGTTACAGACTCCTCAAAAGCACATTTGGCTGGCTCCCTGATTACGAAATCGTGTATCCTTTCACACAGGCCGAGATGTAGAGATGGAGTGCCAGGTTTGAAGAATTAGATTAGCATGTTAGAGGAGGAAAGAAGATCATTGCATTGATTCTAGAGTTGTGGTTCGCTACTGCGGAGATATTTGCACCTCAAGAATTCCTCAAGTTCACCATAGGAGAATTTATTAAAATCTGTCTGCTCGGTACAAGTTACTGTTGCTAATGGATACTAAAAATAATAATAAAACCCTAATAATAAATCATAGCTACCTTCACCAACAGCACATATGCGTCAGCGTTATGATAGTCGTAGATGTTACGGGATGTGTAAGATAACCTTGGTTCGCAGGCTCTGCTAATGACCAACTACTTGAATTAAACACTGACGTTGATGGAAAATAGTGCTTAGTCGCGCAGAATATTACCACGATTGTGTCTTTAAAAAAAACCTAGAAAGCATCGCGAACGATATATTCCTCCCTGTGCCTTCAAATGCCACAATCAGATAGCGCACGTCACCGGGCCTCTCAAGCGACGGTTCAATATTAATATAGCTCGTATCTCTGATTCACATGGCGTAGAGGAAGGGGCTGCGGTGATCATATATTATTTTATTAGAATAATTCCTAGTGAGCTGCGCACCCATCCGCATTTAACATTTGCAAGTTCAATATGATCAAGTAGACATCGTTATGTTCAAAATAACTGGCTACTAGGGTGAGTGAAACTTTTTGACCATTATTTAAGTGAGCCCAGTGAGCCGGGTGAGCAGGATATGGACTTAGACCAAGTATGAATCCCCTTTTATGGCTGGACTATAAGTCTATATGAATCCAATTTCTAGAGCTAGACGAGGGCTATATCCTGTACTGCGATATTCTTCCAGAATTTCGTGCCGCCAAGCCCTCGATCCTCAGTGTACCATAAGCCAAGCCGTTCATAGTCCCCCTCTGTCCCGGCCACCGGCCGAACAAGGATACCCAGCATTACCTCTTGGCTAGTAATATCATAGCTCGGGAATATGGAATGTTGGTCGAGACTAGTACTGGCGATCAGCAGCATCGCCATTTCAGCCAAAGGGCCCTGGGCATTGCCGTCTGCATCAGCACCCCCGGAATTATAGTCCCAATCCAAGTGAAGATTGGCGATGTATTCATCTGTTTCCGACCATAGCGTATAACTGAATGTAATCCCGAGAAATTTTCGAGGGCCATTGTTCTGGACTCGGGGGTTTCCGTTCTTGCCAACTGGCAGTTTGACTACTTTGCCAGAAATGAACAGTCATACCTGAGATACGCGGCCATAAGGATTAAACTTCTCGGACTTGACGTCCGCCTTTTGGAGTGTGACTTCCGATGATATCGAGACGGTTGGATTAGTCGGGCCTTTCACCCAGTCGAGTACCACTGGACGGCAGGCCCAGCTCCAGGAGGGTGCCGTATACCCATTCGTTGATTGAAGTTTGTGGTAATCATCAAACTTCTTAAACGAGACTGTTGTCCAAAGAAGCCCCCGGTGTAAGTCCGACTCCCATAGGCCCGCCAAGTACCTCTGTTCCGGGAACCTTTCGTTAATGATCCTGGCCAGCGCGGCGATGGCTGGTAACCGATCTTGCTCATATGTGAGCAGCTTCTTAGAATAGAGCTGAGCCAACTGATACCAGGAACACAGTGTCTCACGAAGCGAATCCTTCCTCTCGAAGTAGGTTTCGTGCTCGAAGCCAGAATGGTCGGCACTTTTGCGAAGGGTTCCACTGATCATGTGGAACATCGAATCTCCAAAAAAAACAATTTGCGGGGCGAGACCAAATTCTCCTGGAAGGTCCACGCTCGTTTGCACCAGTTCGCTTCAGAAAAATCAAGGTTTCCAGGTACTTCCTGGTTACATACCAGTCTTCCAGAACGGTCACCTGATTTGATCAGCGTCGAGCAAGGCGAGCAAAGCATTCGCAGGTGTAGATGACCGGAGATAGTACTACACAGTCGCGACTGAAATGGAATTTTCACCGTCAGTGGATTATGTTTTGGTTTCAAGAAGCCGCTGGAGCAGGAGTCTCCTCGAAGGATGCATAAAGTGATAAAGCTGTGAGAGTAGACCTGTGACATGCTGAGTGCCTCCTTAGCCCAATCCTCTTTGTCATCCTGAATGATGCATAGAGCATCTACCCAAAGAAATCGGATCCCTAGGGCACGACACAACTGAATGGCATCTGCAATTGTTTGTGGGATCTTTCCGAGCTTGATACTCGACAAGTGCTCAACATGGGTGTCGGAAACCGTCTTAAGTTGGCGTTTCGCCTGATCAATCGAACCCCAGCTATAGCTCAAAGTAGCGTACCTCCTCTGGGAAGGCTTCAGTGAGAGGAACTCTGGGTTCACCGTCGGAAGAACCAGTCTCAAGGCTGAGCAACCTCTTGACGACAGATCCAGCAGGCGTGTGGGTAGAAATTCACCGCTGTCATCTGTCTCTAGGGGTGTTTCCTGCACTGAAAGTGCGATCAATTGTTGCAGGCGACCCAGGGACGCTGGAGACATCGGATTGTTCCCTACAGGCTGACGGCCCAGGCTGAACCATGAAGCACATGGATCTAGCATCTCTCGTATCAGGATTGTCTCAAATTTCTGAAGAAGTCATTGCGCACATACCATCCGCGTCAGTGTAGAGATTGTAATGCGAGGAGTATTCTGTTACCCCCTGCTGCTGATTGATGGTGAAAAACACATACAGGGTATCGAGCCAGACCTTCGGGTCATTCGCAGGACGGTGGGGGTCAATGCCAAATTGTCCGAATTTATATTAAACCTCCGTAATAATCAATTCTGCTTCCGCTGGCTGCGTCCCTTCCTTTAAGGCGATGTCCCCCCAGATTGTGAGTAAATCTTGCCGAAGGACATGACAGAAAGAACACCCTCCTGATGCCGTCATAGTGATGCCCGACAAAGATGGAAGCACATCGGTTCGCTTGAAATCCAGCTTCAGCGTTGTTCTCAAAACTACTTCTGGATCAACAAAGCGAGCAAACCACTCTGGATTCACGTAGGACAGCGCCCTTGCTGCAGCTACCGCGGTTGGCCCTACCTCTGCTATTTTGTTCTCCACGGTCATTACCTCTGTTCCAAAGTCGACGTAAGCCTTTCCATCTGCTGCCACTTCGATGCGTCCTCCGTGCTGTATATCATCCAGTTTCAGCACTCGACAGTATGTGCAAGGTCGATCAAGAGTAAGCGAATCGGTAACTTCTGCTATTTCTGCCATGTCTCAGTCCGTAGATAAGATGCTTTCCTTTCGCTTTTGCCATAAATGGGAGTTTCTCTCGTTAAATAAGGCGAGCAATGGGAGAAAAGAAATAGTAGGAAACTTGGCTTTCTTATAAGCAAGGATACCCTTGTCGGTTTGGCTGCGTGACCACTTCTTCATCCTCCTGAGACGTGGTCTTCTCCACACCACACATCTCGGCTTGACAATCTGAGCCACGTAGTTGGCTTCTGCTAGGTTATGGGCCTGGGTTAGCTCTCTAAGCATCTTACGATTACCCCGATTGATCCCGGTAAGCTTGTTAGTATTGTCGAGCGTTGTAGAGATTCCAATCCTTTCAATTGTGCCACTCAGATAGATTCCAGTGCTTTCTATAACCACTTTCACACCTATAGCTGTTAATATTTGTTGAAACGACGTTTTAGGTCAATATTAAAGCCGTAAGAAACGCTTCATTCTTACCATCTAGGCGCGCTCGGAGCGGTTGAGGTTACAGAGTTTACGGGTCACGTGACCCCTACTATTGGTAATCTACTGAGATTACGTTCCAACAATATTTTTATTGAGCAATCCAAAGCAGCTGTTAAGACCAACTGGTCGTTCGGTTTAAAGATGAGTTTGGACTATGCCAATTACGCTAAACCATTTCTGCAACAGATCCGGAATAGCCTGTGTTCAAGATATCGTAGCGTAACGTATTCATTTTAGCCAAGCTCTGGGCCCTGTTCATTACACGTCAGGCTTAGTTTTACTGCCAGGTAGCTTTAAGAATCTCACAAATTTATATAAAGAAGAACCTTAGAAATCCACTTACGGATATTACCCGCTCCAATATCTCAAATTGAGTTTTGCGGGCCTGTCATCCTTCTGTATGCTTTAACGGAGGCCTTAACACTGTTTAAGAGAGGCAGAAGTACATGAGCCTTTATATCTTAATTCTTTCTGCTGCATTTCGATGAAGTAATCATCTTTCCAAAAGAGCGACCAATTAATTTATTTTCGATGCAGATTGATATTTCTGGAATGGCAATTGGGCAGCTATCTAACCGGAAAAAGCAAAGCCAACAAACTTCTACACTATCTTGCACAACCCCCTTGCCCACACCGGACTTTTCCCGACTTTCTCCCAGACCTAACACACATATATTTGTCTGAATATGGCTAGCCTATAAATTCAGATTCTTGGCATGTACCGCTCTGTCTTGTAATGTCCGCCGGAATTGCACCGAGTCTTACAGAAGACGTAAAGCCCATGCAGATGGCGGGGGGCTCCGGTCACGGGTGACTCGGGCACCTGCCCACCCGGATGAGGTAGTGTAACAACATAAGCACGTCCCTCCACTCAGCCTTGTCTGATAAATATATCGCAGCTGAACTGGTCTGACTTCTGTTATCTGCGATCCCAAGGCATCGTTCACTCGTTTACGAAGGTCCTCCGGCATAAGGACTAAATGGATACAGAGTTGAAGATATTTACCTAATAAACTCTTTCCTTTTTTTACTTTGGATCTTCAATGCAGCACAGCTACTAGTATCTGGTTCGAATATTGAGCAGATAGCTATCCGAAATCCTAATCTACAGCTTCTACAAGGAAAACAGGATAGACCCCACTTTTTCTTAAATTTCTTATCTTTTATCTTTAACATCAGCTGATTGTAGATATTACCTTCTACGTAGTAACTGGCAAGGATCAGGCAAATATGGCCATCACGAGATCCAGAACCCCACAAAGAAACCTTTGCAAAATTGGTCGAAAACCTGAAATTCGGTCAATCCGACTTTTGGCAATCGAGCTATTTTGACAGCCACTAAGGGGTTCAAGTGGCCTGATTAGGTATAGTGGTATAACTTTCGGCGACACTAGTCCCCCGCTAGCACTTAAATCAGGCTAGAGGATATCGCTTAGTCCTTCAGAATACGAAGCAAGAGTCAATCGGATGCTTCCGTCTGACCGCGATGCATTGTTATTCAAACTGGCTCTAGACTGGGACCCTGGCCCCAAACCTACCGAGATGAAAGGACTTCTTGTCGTATATGAAGGCGCTGGCCACTCTATCTGTTCCTCTTATCATCTTTCCAAAATTTCCATTCCTGTCGCTCGTTTAACTATATACCCCGGCATTTCCAATAGAAAATGCGTATCCACTCTTTTGCCCTTTTGGCCGGTGCCACTATTGCCATCGCTACCCAGACAGTCTCTCTTTTCCTAATTGGCTTCGATGAGCAACAACTTGAGGGCAAGATCATTGGCACTGTAAGCACAACCATCCCTCTATCAATCTACCTCAACAACCTAACTATTATCATCCCAGACCGGTTCCATGACCGAATATCTTATCAAGTGTGCTGCTGACGTTGACTCTACCGAATGCGGTCTTCCCCCTAATGGCATGACCGTAGCCCAAGGCTCTTCCACCGTCAGCCTGGCATACAGTACGGGTCGTATGTGAGTATATCCAGCCCTATAAGGATCCCACTTCTACCCCACAAGTCATAGCTGATCGTTTCCTGAAACAGAACCATTGCTGAGAACTGCAACTACGATTCCATAAGCGTGACCTGCGCCGCAAGCCTTGACGAGGAAGGCATAACCACCACCTTCACCTCCGCCGTCGCCCTCACTGAAATTCCCGGTGGCGGCTCTTTGCTGCCTGTCACTATCACCGGAACTGCAACAGAGAAAGCCGCCGCCACTACTGGGGCCTCCGTATCGGCTTTCACCGCTGCGTCGACTAGCGGCGCTACTTTGACTACCTCCGCTTCGACTACCGGTGGTACCAGCGCTGGTACCAGCACCAGCGCCTCCTCGGATAGCAGGAGTGCTGCTGCGACCAGCCAGACTGAATCTGGTAACGCTGCTATGCCTATGATTACTGGAGACGCGCGCTGGGCTGCTGCCGGCGGTGCTGCCGCTGTATTGGCGCTTGCCGTTCTTTGATCATCTGATCATTTTTATTTTGGATGAGATTGGAGGTGTTCAGTCGTGGCTCCACCAATGCCTTTCTGCCTTGACAAAAAAGATATGGACATCCTCATGTATCAGCTACAACTGAATCATTCTCCGTCACTCTACCTACCGCCCTGCGGTTAATTATAAGCTTCCGCTCGATTGTGCCATAGACATACTCTCGGAGACTTCTCATCGTATTCGCCACCTTCTTCCCATTCGGCAAATGGTAGAAAAAACTGAGTTGATCCGACTATGGCTGTGGCACGATACTGGGCGGAAAAGGTGAGTATGCTTGTATTCATGAAGAGAAATACATTCCCAGGTATCATTACGACGTTTATAAAAAAAACCTGTATTTTATATGGAATCTAAATTGGCTTTAGCATGTCACGCGATTAGGGAGTGAAAGAGGGTCTCTCAAACTTGGAAGGCAATAACAATTCGCACCGTGTTATTCCGACTGTACTGTCGCACTATAACTGTAGGGCTGTACCTTCACACTTGAGAGTGACTGGAGACGCTGTGGTTATTACCCGATAATGTAAAACTGCAGCATTGTGCGCGGAGCATGAACTTTACCCCTGAGTCTAACTGATGGCGGACCCACACCGCGGGAGGGCCCCAGACCCCTTCTCCAAAGTCCAAAGATAGTTACCAATTACCACCGCCAGCTCTACGGAGGACGCGACCCTCGAAGTACACACTTTGACAGATGTTTTGACAACCAGACCCCGCTGCTGTATCTCCAAGACTGTATCCACGCATTGGACGGAAAAATAGTGTAATATGGCTCAAGGGTTGAAACAGGATAACCGTGATGGCGAATGGACCAAAACGTCATCTCGGGCGCAATGTGAGGTCATCGACTACGCTACGCGGAGTTATCCACACCCTATCGCGCTTCAAAAGACCTGAGGTGCTCGCACTCTGCTGCAATATCAGAAGGCAGTACAGCATTTATCATATCACTTGAAGATTTCAAGATGTCTGGCAGTTCTGGTAAGCTTAGCTCCTACGGTCATGCTGTCCCTGGGGTATTCGAGTTGAAGCTTACTCTCCCCCACTCGGCAAGACTTGCCGAAGTACCCCTTTGCTCGTTCCCCAAGATCTTATAATCCTCCCGCGGAGCTAGGAGAGCTTCGACGCCAAGGTCCCACGGAACGAGTTCAGCTCTTCGATGGGAAGCCTGCATGGATCATTACGAGACACAAAGAGGTCTGTGAGATGCTGAATAGTGATAGATTGTCCAATGTATATGCTGCCCCCCTCAGTTCCCGCTATCTGAGAGTCGCCGTACTTTATGCTCACCAATCATTTAGGAACGATACAACCGCGACGGATATCCCGAAATCCATAGCGGTACGAAGAAGGAAGGCGTCAGGCCGACATTCGTCCACATGGACGCTCCAAAACACGAAAGGCACAGGTAAGAGAGGCACAACAACCTCATTGTTGAAGATACGGAAGCGTCTATTAACTGACTCAGAGCCATGACGGAGAGCTTTTTGCCCCTGAAGCGACTGAAGCACTCAAGCCACAAATCCAGGAAATTGTGGACGGGCTGATTGACTTGATCAAAGATCGGGGTTGTAAAGATGGACCTATTGACCTGGTCATTGAGTTTGCTGCCATGGTGAATCCAAAGGCGATTCTACTACTGATCTTCAAAGTCCCTGAAAAGGAGACTAACAAGATCATCCAAGCGAGCTCCGCGCTCAGCGGCACAAGCGGCACAGCATCTGAGTCGGGTCATACGGATTTGCACGATTTACTAAGTCAGCTAGTCGACGAACGGATCAAGAAGCCTGGCAGTCCGCAAGAAGACTTGATCAGCAAGCTCGTGATTGAACAGTATAGGCTGGGAAGCCTCGACCGCGACGACCTTATCATCCTCGTCTATATGATCCTTGTCGCTGGGAATTCGGCGATTGAGAGTTCCATTGCCTTAGGCGTTACTACCTTACTGCAGAACCAGGATCAGCTTAGAGAGCTTAGGGATAAACCTGAACTGGCAGGGCAAATTGTTGAGGAGATATTGAGGTACCATACTCCGTCTGCATTGAACAGCAGACGTGTCGCGATGGCTGATCTCAGGCTGGGTGGGAAGGTAGAAACGCAATCTTTCGACGTCTATCTGCATAGCTCTGACTGTTACCAGGAGATCACTGCCGGCACAAGTGTCATTGGCTTCGTTCGATCCGCCAACCGCGACGAAAGGTTGTATTCCGATGCAGACAAGTTTGACATCCACCGTCACGTCGACCCGCACCAGAATCTGGCCTTCGGATACGGCCCGCATAATTGTCAGGGTCAGTGGCTGTCGCGGCTGGAGCTACAGGTCGTTTTTAGTAAGTGATAGCGCGCCGGTTCCTCCACCTGTGTACAAGGCTAATAGATGAAACCGTTCCAGGCACCCTATTCCGCAGACTTCCGAATCTAAAGCTTGCCATTGAGCCCTCGGAACTGGAGTATACACCGCCAACACAGAATGTGGGGGTTGTCCATCTTCCTGTGGTATTCTAATGAAACATTTGTTGTCAGAAATAAGAGAATAATAGTATACAAATATTCAAGAGCAATCTTTTTGATAGATAACTAAAATGATAATTCCCACTTGGTGATAGGGCAATTAGAGTTAAGGTTTGCGAGCCAACATTACCGAGTACTTGTGAAAAACTGATGTCATCTCTTCCTTTCTCCGCGGAAGTCTCAGGCCGTTTTATTTAAGCATGGGTAGTTAAATGGAGGAAAGCGGGTCGGAGACTGCAGCCGAGGGTCATTCTGTATCAAATTAGTAAGGCAGTGAACCTATGCCTGGTAAAATGCAAATCTACCAACTGGCCCAGCACCCTGGGTCTTCACAAAAGGAGATTGAAAGTGAACCGGACTGGACTCTTCACTTCCACGAGAACCAGCTGGGCTTCCGGAATGCCAGTGGCCGGTATGCAGGGATCACACATATTGGCGATGAACTCGCTGAAGACCCCGAGGAGGTGCGAGAGGCTCGTGAGCAGATTGGCGAGCTGAAACAAAAGGTCGAGAAGGGAGAGCTGGTCAATTTCCGAGACCTGATAGAGGACCAGAAAGATAGGGAGGTACGTGTGTATGCATGCAAGGCAGAAAGAGAGCGTCAGTAATGGTAATTTGATACTGACGGTTGGTGCAAAGGCATTTCATCTTCGACATCCCGCGAAACGACCCCCCGGCTGGTGATATGTGCCTGATTACACAGAGCAATGGGTGAAGATGGCTCAGGATTGGCCGGCAAATGTCCGGCGGCGGCAGAAACAGGAAGAGAGCCAGAGGAACGAGCAGCAGGAAAAAAAGGACGAAGAGAGCCAGGAAGATGGGGGCAAGCAAGCGAACGGAACCAAACAACATAAGAAGGACCAATATGAAGATGCCAGCACCCAAAAAGCAAAGCCAGAGCAGGACACGCAAAAGTCGGAGGCCGATGGAGGCGCAAGGGACGATAAAACCCAGGAAACTAGTCCGGAGGGACTTGCATTGATCCGCGCGTTACAACACGAGAAGGAAACTATGAGCAGCCTGAAGCAGAACAATGGCAAAGCAAGGTCACCAGCGCCCGGAAACCCTTACGTCACCATTGACGAAGCAGATCAATTTACCGCAGATAATTGGGTGCCTCGATCCCCTGATCTAGTCCGGCTGACTGGGAAGCTGCCATTGAACGCCGAACCGCACTTATCAAAGCTCTTCAACGCCGGGCTCATAACCCCAAATGAGCTCCATTATGTGCGGAACCATGGCCCAGTACCGAAACTGGTTTGGGAGTTTCATGAGATAGAGATAGAAGGTGGTCGGGTGAGAATTAGTATGGAGGAGTTGACGAATAACTTCACGGCTATAAATATTCCTATCCTCCTGGCCTGTGATTACACGCGGCGCAGGGAGTTGAACATGGTTAAGCGTACAACAGGATTCAACTGGGGTCCTGGGGGCGTGAGCTGTGCTTACTGGAAGGGTCCACTGCTTCGGGATGTTTTAATTGCTGCCGGGGTGCCAGAACGCATGCCTGACCAGGACAACCAACGGTATTGGATCCATTTTGAGGGAGCTGATGAGCCGAGCGAGGCCAAATATGCCACCTCTATCCCTTTTGACCATGTTATGGACCCTAGAAATGACGTTATTCTCGCATACGAGATGAATGATCGACCTTTGCCACCAGACCATGGTTTCCCTGTCCGAGTGATGATCCCCGGGTATGTGGGAGGACGCTGTGTGAAATGGCTTAGCAAAATTTGGACGAGCAAGAAAGAGAATGACTCGTACTATCATCTGCATGACAACCGAACGCTGCCTAGTTCTGTCACGGATGCGGAAAGCGAAGTTGCCAAGCTGTTCTTCAGTCACCCAGATACCGCGTGCTACGAACAGACTCTCAACTCAGTGATTGCGAGGCCTGCACAAGGGGAGAGAATTCGACTTAGTGAAGCTCGGAAAGGGAAGACGTATCGCATCGCAGGGTTTGCCTACAGTGGCAGCGGCCTTCCGGTTCGTCGAGTCGAGGTATCTCTAAACGGTGGCAAGACATGGCTCTACTGTATTCGCGAATTTCCCGAGCGCCCCATACGTCATGGGGATAAATTCTGGACCTGGGTACATTGGCACGTTGACGTCGAGATTCTCCAGCTGGCCCAGGCAGAGAGCATTACAGTTGCATGCGTCGATGGGGCTCATAACACGCAGCCAGAGCAGCCGCGCTGGAATATATCAGGGACATTAAATAACTGTCGGTATTCTGTAAAGCCAGAGATGGTCTACGATAACGATGATGACCAGTCAGGTACTCCCTACATATTATTTCGCCATCCAGTGGAGCCAGGAACAGGAGATGGGGGCTGGATGCAGCCAAGCGTGGACGTACAGGTACAAAAAGCTAAGCAAAGCGCGGGTGCGCCTCAGAAACAATTTACACGCGAGGAAATTGAGAAACACAGCAGTGAAGATGACTGCTGGATTGTCATTGATGGCAAAGTCTACGATGCAACGCGGGTGCTGTCTTGGCATCCTGGTGGGAAAGCGCCCATCCTTGCGCATGCTGGCAAGGTTCACCATGAGACTACCGAGGAGTACGCAAGCATCCATGATGATTATGCAACACAGAAGCTCCAAGGTTAGTAAATTTGTGTATTATATTCTGAGAAGTGACTGACAGGGCTGCAGAGTGTATTCAGGGAGTCGTGACGGAAAAGGCGCTGATATACATCGAGAAAAATGCTGAGAGGGCGAAGAAGGAAAAGCAGCAAGCTGCCCAGGCCACCGACCAGGCGCTACAGAAACATCGCTGGGTACCCGTCAAATTGATGGATCGCAAGGCTATTAGCAAAGACACTCGGGAATATACATTCAAACTGCCCGAGGGCAAACCTACCCTAGGCATCGGGGCTTGCCAACACGTCGAAGTAGCCTTTCATATGAAGGACCGAATGCTTGTACGTCCTTATACACCGACTCAGCCGCTTCTTCCCCCGGAGAAATCATCCTCAAAGGATTGTCGTGGGAATGAGAAGTCTCAGTTCATCAGTAAAGTTAGAGACGGAAAGGGTACCTTCACATTGACCATCAAGACCTACTTTCCTAATGACGACCAGCCTGGAGGCGCAATGTCGAACGTCTTAGACTGTTTACCGCTAGGTGAGGATGTTGACATCCGAGGCCCGACAGGGGATCTCGTATACGAAGGATACGGAAATTTCACAATCGCAGGAGAGAACAAGCAATTCCAACGAGTGTCTCTGGTGATCGGAGGCAGCGGTATAACCCCTGCTTATGCACTCATAGCTCGAATACTACTCACAGATGGAGATAAGACGGAGATCCGCGTTATCGATGCGAATAAAACGACAAGTGACATTCTGCTACGAGATCAGCTAGATAAGTTTGTGAAAGATAGTGCTGGACAGCTCCAGGTTGCACATGTCATCTCAAAACCAGATGATGACTGGAAAGGGCTTACGGGACATGTCAACGAGGAAATAATCCAAAAGCACATATTTGAACCTTCTGACGAAAATGTGGCCATTCTGTGCGGACCACCGGCAATGATCGAAAAGGCAGTGCTGCCTGCTCTTGACGGTATATTAATAAATTCTTTTCTGAGCCTGGCTGCGTTGCTGACAAGTGATAGATTGGGGATATGTGCGCGACGAGAATGTCTTCGGTCTTTGATGCTCTGTCGGTCGAGAAAGACCGTCAGGGGAAATCTATGAATACGATATATCGTTCCAAGCATCATTAATGAGGAAGCTTCACAGAGAAGCCATATATATATATAGTATACCAGGATAGTGGCTTCTGATTCAGCCAGAGCATTTGGCCAAAGGATATCCTGATATACTATCAACTTAAACAACGAGTGAGGTCGTCCAAAGGGAAGAGAACAATGTGAATTATACTCATCATGAACTTTGCAAGAAACATTACTATCTTCCAACAATGTATGCAGAGAAGGCACATGACCAATAGGCAGACAGCAGAGTACGTGAACGGTTCCTATAGCGAGTGTATCACCATTCCTTTTATGGCTATCTTGAGAGCATAATTACCTACAGATCTGTGCGGAGCTCGTCGCGTCCCTACTTCTTTCCGCCCTTCTGGTCATTAAGAATGTTTTTGGTAATCTTCTCGGCGGACATAACCGCACTACGTTAGTACTCCCAAGTTTCGTTGGTGTCTAGTGCAGATGTAGAAGGGCAAACTACAGACAGGGATAAAAGGCAGAACGGAGGCAGGACTGGGAACGCCGAAGGATCCACGACTTGAAGAGAAGTAGATAGATCAGCCAAACATTCCCGTTTGGAGATATCGATGAAGGAAGTAAAGACATTAATCCACCATTATCTAAACCCATGGTTAAAACCCGACTATCCATGACAGCATGGGTCGTCCGCGCGACCCATGCGCAGGATAGTCACTGGATAATGTATCAAGCGGAAGCTGTTCTTCAGGGCATGCTTGATTTCAGTCCAAATAGCAGCTTTGGGGCCCGGAGTAAACTTACCACTGATAATAATAGGCGCCATGGCCGGGTTTCCGAAGAGTCGATACATGTATACAATTAATACTTCTAGGTCGGTCGTACTGGTGAGCCAGTTCAGGTACATATTAGACTTGTCGCTCATTATTTTGAAGTTGAGAGTGATACTGCCCTTAGATATAGAAGTCATCGGAACGCCTAATAGGGTGGCATAGTTGTAGCCATCATCTTAAAAGTCATGGCCGAGCGGGAAGGAAATGGCAATAATTTCGGGCTAGTCATTGGGCAATGAAACCAGGTCTTTGTAAAGTCGCGTCAGTAAACTCATAATTATAATATCAAATAGACAGAATTTAGCACGTACCTGCTTTAGTCAATAGCGAGAAATTCCGCAGGTCGCTGGGAATATCCGCAATACTACCAGAGTCGGGATCAAGATTAGTCATTATGCCTGTAATGTTCTCTCCGAACAGATCTTTTTCATGCCAGCGTGACAACACTATTCAATATCACCATTACCTTATCCGCCTCCAGTTAAGCTGCTCCCCCAGTCCCTGTCTGAAATCTAATTTGAACAGTTGTTCCACAACTTCCCTATCATCCAGCCGGGGGTTCTTTGGGACTTCTCAGTGGCAGGGCTCTCTTGCTGGAATACAGGATAAAAGAGCCAGCGGGCCACGGACGATTCTTGGTCTGTGTAATGAAATACTTTTAGGCTCTGGCCATTCAACAGGCTCATAACTTATTAGGAATATCATTGTACATAATATCTGTCACTGATTATTACTACAGTGTGCTGCATGAAATAGACATAGTATCCAAATTTTTTTTCTATATTCTCTCTATAATATATTCTTCGTATCAAATTTGGTCCTTATAAACAAAAGCTATCCCTGTGTCTATTTTCAGATCATGTCCAAAAGAAAGTTACTCTACCGGCGCGATGCGTTCAACGGCGAAGCAACCAGATTGCGCAATAGGCGACGAGGTGAGCCCGTATCTAGAACACTTGAATGGTCTACTACTTCATAGTATTTCCGGACTTCTACAGAATATATTTATATAGGATGATCTAATCATTATATAACATGGATAAAATACAAGTAGTTTATTTTACTAAGAGGAGTTTTGGAATTATCCTGAAGATACGTGATGGAATTCAAGTCTATATATGAGAAACCGGGTCTCCTAGACTTCTGGTGGCTGGGATATCTGGATTTGAAAAGGAGCTTTTGTATAGTATTACAGGGTGTACTATTGATTGTTTTATGCCAGACAACTTGCTAATTATGGATTGGTCATTCAGTGGGATGGCTGACTCGATCGCTACTTGTCTAACTGACTTAATTTAACCTCGTTAAGGTGACCCAAGGATACAATGTCTCTGTTGAAGGATACAAGGGAAACGTTGACACCTGCAACCTTACATATAAGTGCTTATGCTGACTACCACATATAATTGGTAAATGGACTTTTTTTAGAGCAAGAATAGATAAAGAATAGAGCCAGAATCTAGGAAGGTTCACGGACAATATGAAACGTTGCTTATCAGTAAAGTTTATAATTTCCCGCCTCTGGTCTTATTCACTCCCTGCTCATACTGCGGAACGATGTGTTTGTTTCTGACTTGATCGTTGGCGTTAGGGTAAAGCCCCGCCCATACCGTTCCTTAAACTCAGGCGTCTGGCCTTCCGCCGCGTCGGTTGTATCTGACCTAAAGCTGGTCTTTGAGCGAGGCTCATCACCTCTCAGAGAAATAGGATGCTGAACTGTGAGATCTCGAGACAGCTGCTGGATTGTGCTGTTGCTCATATAGCCTCCTACTTGTCTGCTCCTCCAGCCCAAGCCTCGGTTTTTCCCATGGAGAACCTTCCCATTCGCGGAAACCATGAACTGAAGAGCGTCCCCAGTGCCATGGTTTTCAATAACGCTGACGGACTCCTTGAAGTGGCTATCCGCATGAGAGCAAATATCCAGACACTGCCGAGCAGCTTCCCATTCATCACGTAGCCGCGATAAGACTTGGGCATCTTCGTCCGAGGAGATTCTATTTTTTGACTTGGCGAGAAGCTGATCCATGACCTCCTGCATATGCTTTTCTAGCTTGGCTGTTGTCGCAATTAGGCTCCTTTTACATTCCTGCAAGCCTCTGTTCGTAACAGTCTCGGGCGACGAATCACCCATCTCAGATCCTCCAGCTGGACTCGTGTCGTCGGATAGCAACTGGATCTGATCGATATGGTTTGACAACTGGGCGCAAATCTGAAGGCATTTCTCTGTACTCCGGCGCTCCTCCCTCAGAGAGTGCAATTCGGCTGCATCCGGATTGGATAGGGGTTCATCCTTCTCAGTCAGCTGCTCCAACTTTCGATCTATACTTTCGAGTCGGGCTCCCAAGTCCTCTTTTGCATCCTGTATCAGAGCCTCGTAGTTCTCAATGCTTTCGACCGCGACCGCAGATTTGCGCCTGGGGCGGGATCAGTAACCATGACCAAGGAAAGGGAAGTTGGATAACAAGAGCCGGTGTTTGTTGAGGTTGGGTGCTTACAGAGTTGCATCAGTCAGGGCAATATTAATTGTGACTTTGTACCCTGCCAGCAGGTTCCGAAAATCATCGATATCATCCCCCATGTATGTGAGTCTTGCCCAGTCACGGAAGCTGGCCCTATTATTACTCGATCTTGCCGCGCACCGAACCAACTCCTGCTGGAATTCCTTGCAAGCATTCCCGCAGCGAAGCAATGGCAGATCTAGGGCTGAGAGGTCTGTATCGGAGTTTGACTCAACTAGTTCAATGAGGGGCGCCAACACAGCCTTCAGAGCTTCTAGCTCGTCGACAAGGTCGCGCACACGCTTCGGGTGCGAACGGAAGCTGTTCACCGTCTCATAAAGCGAGACCGTGCCTTGGAATGCGAACGTCGCCAAGGCCAGTATTCCAGAGGCGAGTCCGATTGCTTCCGCCATGGTTATCGGTGTGCAGTGGTATTGCTTTACTGTACGAAGCACCCAGACAAATGGTGTAGCTTGTACAGAGGGACCAGGCCAGATCAGAAGTTCAGACAGAGGCAGTCCAGGTAGAAACGTTATGTTGACTGGGGATTTGCCTGGGCAGCCGGGGCCGGGGGGGGGCGGCTCTAGAAGGGTTCTTATCACTCAATGCAGCATCACCTGGTCAGGCTGTAAGCGCCGTGTTCACCTACCTACCACCTACCACAGAAGGCAAAGGTTTCAAGGCGGTCCGGTCGGGGTGGGGCGGCGGCTGCTCAAACGCAAATAACCTAGTGTCATGGGGAGGCAGTGTGCATTGGCCCGATGGCTGTTACGTATTACCCGCAGGACTAGTGCGGGCGCGTACATCAGATTTCGAAAGGGGACGGCCGGTCACATGGCTAGCCGCCTGTCGAGACCGGCGACAACGGTTCACTTCATGGCTTCCAAAACAGCTGGTAGGGGTAATAGTAAGCTACCGTAAGATGTCTAAGCACAGCTGATCATCCTCCACGCTAGTGAGGGCAGACTTCAAAGACCAGCTCGAGAAAGACCCGCCAACCTTCCAACTACAATTCCGGACACGGCAGCAGCTGTTACGGACGCTGACGAGAACTGGTATGCGTTTCAATAACTGACAACATAGCTAAGTGTTGTGAATCTCACGACCGCTACAACTACACGGCCAGCAATCATCCCTGCGAGTGCAAAGCAGAGGGCAGCAACTAGCAGTCATGGCATCGATCCTTCCAGGATACGCTTCCTGAACTGCTTTCCCAGCGCCATGAGGCGATATCAGAATTAGCTTCGATGCCGTTATGGAATATTAAATATCCTCAGCCACTGCCGGCTCAGACGGCGGAAGAGTTGGGCAGCAATACTAGTTTAGTCGTAGATCAGGCCCCGATACGATCGCGGGCGACAAGGCTGGGAGCGAGCCATGGCACGAGCTATTGTTGACTTACCCGTTGCCTATCGTCACTGGATTCAGTATTCAGTATTTATGCTTGCTAGCAATTAGCACTACAGATTGATTTTCTCGAGCATCTGATGGCGCGTATCTTTGAGGCAAGTTGCAGGGCATTGGTTTGCATTATTTAGAGTTGGGGGTTCCCTCTGGTGTACGTAGCTTGCCGATGACGAGATTCCGGTCCGTTGGTTTTCGTCACGTCAATACACCCGGGGTATCGCAAGGTGTACTGTCTTCACGTGACTTTAATGCTAATATATGGCTTGTGGGAACGATTGGCCCCTGAAACCCCTCCAACATTGAGTGGTGTCGCAAGATTCTTGAGATATTATAAACACCTGGGAAATAGAACTTGATTTCGATACTCTTCATCCAGCTATACAATTAAGCGCCCGCCAGCTTATATCAACAATATTATCTCTAAATCCTTGATCAATAATCTCTAACATTCATGAATATCCACCTGAGGCTCTTATTAAGAATTCTATAATCTACTCAGTAAACTTCATGAGCACTAAATATTTTAAATATCTAGCATATAATATACTGTATCAATCTAACTAATATCATAAAAGAGCATGTAATATCTCTCTTATTTTATATGAGATTTTTATTATCTTCAGCTTGAATCCCTTGCCTTACTATCCTAAGGATAGATCAGGGAAAAATTAAATAAAAGATAATATATAATCATGGGCGGAGAACTGAATTTATAAGTTGAGCGCCAGCCTCGCAGCCTCCGCAGGTGGGGGGTGGAGTGGATCGAACTTCTATTGTCTGGTCAACATATAGAAGGACTCAGTTGTTTCGCCAGGGTCGTGGTTATTTCAATCAATCCCCAGGCGATTTCTATCCTCGTTTAGGAGTCGGGTTCTGGCTCTGTTAAAAATTTGCCTTCTGCATCCTACATTACTTTCCGGCAGATATGGCCTGTCCGAATAGAACGATGTACACCCCACAGCAAAGGCGCCTTTTTAAGGAGTCAGAGACTTCCCACTTGATAATTTAGGTGTTACACCCGTAGTTAAACATCCTGGTGACTGGAAAGTAATACGTAGAAATGCTCTAGTAGTATTTTTCCAACAGGGAGCATTCACTACCAAGATGATAAAAAACTTAAGCCGTTCATGTCTCATTTACACCTAAAACCTTCTATCTACAAGTCAGGAAAGTTCCCGATGTGTGATGGTAACGCGGTAGGATAAGACATAAGCAATTCCGAATAGATTTTCGTCCAACGCAATAGTCACGAATGATATACCTGCTACGATCATTTGAGTTGGCACAAAACGGGCAGCAACTGATATTCCCTCGCTCACCATCGCCAGACGCCATATTAAACTTTAACCATGACAGCGGTACTCTGTGGGCTTTGGATCTATGTCCTCTTCTTGGGCTAAGTCTTGAGCAATATTAGCGGCAAAGCTTACTGTGTCTTCCAGGAAAGTTTTCAGGTTGTTGTTGTTTTATTAATTGGGCAGTATGCTCATATGATATCTTGATGAGGGGATTCGAAGGCTTTGATCATCTTTCCCTATACATTCATACACTTCTGCAGTGGCTGTGGATAGGGTTGTCTATTTGTCAGCACGCCATACGAAGGTCTTGAATTTTTGTTTTGCTCATTGTTTTACTAATTGATCTCGATGTGGAGTTGCATATTTGTTAGTGATTTGGTAGACAGAGACATTGAACAGGATTAGGGAAGTAGGGCCGTGCTTGATACCACTGCTGTTGTAGTTCGATCTGCAGATAAAATCAACTATTGCCTCTATGGCACGTGGCTCACCTCTCACGAGATGTATGATATTGTCAACCGGTTTCTGCACGCATTAGTGACCAAATTGGTGGTACATATGCGAGCTTACCATCCAATATCCTTATAAATATTACTATTAAAACTTCACAACTGGGTCTATATTATACTAAAAAGTCAAAGTCTAGAAGCAGTTTTTGTGGTGCAATTAGTACCCGTATTTTCCTCCATAATGTTATAAATTAGATCACCCCTAGCTGATTTTCCATCGTTCAGTTCTGGTAGCAAAAACACTGCTAGTGCTAGCATTTTCGTGCCTAGAGCCGAGACGTTATCCCTAGGGTCGTCTGCAGTGTCCGTAGGGCCGATATCAATGGTACAGAGTGTTAACTCTATCGATCTCAGGAGAGCCTGTCGGCCCTGGGAGCCTTGTTGCTCCTGGGGCCTCCATGACAGTTCCCAACGTACGTTCTTTCGCTTAGAACAGCGAGCTTGCGATTTCGAATCGCGAAGTGTGTCCCTCGAGAAGTTTGGCTGCGCCGGCAAGCGGATCTACTGGTGAAAAGTTGAATCCCATAATCCCTCAAGATAAAATAATAGGTGTCAATTGCCCGGAGAGGCCGATATTATGTCTAGATTCACGTCCTTCTTTTCCACAGGTCAAGCAAAGACCGCTAAGCAAAAGGGGATGGAGAATCTGTCTTGGTGGCAGGACAAATGAACGAAGTTTGACGAGCGGAGATTGGCTAATGGCAGGCCCCGTCCCTTGCCGTTTCATCGAAGTGCTGTAATAGGTATCGAGGTTGATACACGTACAGAAAAGCGGGTCTACTTCAAGTTTTGGTACCCTGGCAAAGAGCAAAACAACCTGTGACAGAATGTGTACACGTCAAATGTATATGAGAAGCGTGAATCTTGTATCTAGGCAGAACATATTGTACTCTTTGTTATTGAGTTGCTACTCAGGTGTCTATGCATGTCTTTGCCAACAGCAAAACCTGGAATACACACGGAGCAGCGAGAAACCTAGTATACGCCTGCGCCCATGTATCTAGGTAGCCTCTTTCCACTATTAGGTTGCCACAGTATGATTCCAACCACGCATAGGACCAGTGCAGTACGCATTTCCTGGAACGAGGAGTCTCGTACAGTTTGCAGACTGCAGGGAAGGATTAACCTGCAAGAACAAATTGCTTGTGATTTTGTCTTGGACACAAATCTGTGTACAAGAATCCCCAGTAGTGGCTGTATGCCATTTCCCACAAAGCTCTGAACTTAGTTGTCCCTTGCAATAATTTCCCTCGTGAGAAACTTGGAAGAATGTTGTGATTATCACTGAGATTGTATCTAGAATTAATAATACTAGGCAGGTACTCATTTTGGCGCCAAGGAGAAGTGCCGGTCAGGGGCTTCAACTAGACAAACTTACTAGCTCTTTATTTGGGTTAAGCGAGCGGAGGAGTATGAGTCGGTCTGAAATTTCTGTACATTTTCATTTGGCCCATTAACGACGCTAATAAGATTGCTATGTTACATCGACTAATGTTTTTGATCGCGTTCAACTTCTTCTAGAGCTAACTTGGCAGTAGTGGGACCATGCATAGCAAAATTCCGCTACAGATGGCAAGGTACTCCGTACAGCGCTGCCACTTCTGAAGCTAACTGCGTGGTTTCTACGCTAGCTAACTACTCGCACGTTTCTGTTCAATCCCGAAAAAGCATCGAAGCTAAGATGAAAATAAAAATAACGACCATGTCTTAGTACACAGTGGTTCGCTTAAGCTAGTCTTTCTTAGAACTTACAAATGGTACCAGTAGTCCTGGAAAGATAACTTAGGGATGCCTTTCGTCGTTTACCATTAGTATAGTCCCCATTATATCTTGGAAGCTCATCAAGAGTTGGTTTTAGGAGCCATTTGGTGCTTCTATGTCTGCTCTGGGAACCATGGGCTTCCTTTTACGCCCCCGGCTGGTGTATCTTTTATTTTTCCTGTGCTTCCTCATTGCTCAGACAGCAGGACAGAACTGTAGCAAAGAGAACCCCTGTGCAACTGGATGCTGTTCGAAGCATGGTTACTGCGGCACTGGTGATGAGTTCTGTGGTGCAGACTGTGTTGATACCTGCGACTATAAGCTGGGTTGTGATGCTAACAACCCATGTGCACAAGGCTGTTGTAACAAATTTGGATTCTGTGGACTTGGACCAGACTGTAAGTACTCAATGAGAAGTTTTTGGATCGGTACATTTTTGGTTTTCAATATCTAACAAAAACACTTTCTTAGTCTGCGGAGATGACTGTGTTGCTAGCTGTGAAAGAAAAGCAGAATGTGACCCGGGCTTTGGGTTAGATTGGTCTGAAAAATCATCTTGTCCTCTGAACGTATGCTGCTCAAAGTTTGGCTTCTGTGGAACAACGTCAGAATTCTGTGGTAAGAAAACAGTGAAACAGCCCTCTTGCAATAATTCAACGCACACATTAGAGCGTGTAGTTGGATACTATGAGACTTGGAGCACTCGGCGTCGATGCAAACAATTCTGGCCGGAGCAAATTCCTTTGGGAGTTTATACCCATATCAATGTGGCCTTTGCAGTCATTGACCCGGATACATTCGGGGTTCGACCTTCTTTGACTGCAGACATTGAGCTTTTCAAGCGAGTTGCCCGCCTCAAGCAAGAAGATCCTGATCTCAAAGTGTATATCGCTATCGGAGGTTGGAGCTATAATGACCCTGGCCCAACTGCAACGACATTTTCCGACCTAGCCGCATCGACATCCAATCAAGTTAAGTTCTTCAATTCTCTCACAAAGTTCATGTCCACATATGACTTGGATGGCGTAGACATCGACTGGGAATATCCAGCAGCGGACGATCGAAGTGGTCGTCCAGAAGACTTTGACAACTTCCCCAAGTTCTTAAAGAATCTCAAAGCGGCACTCAAAAGAACTGGCGGTCGAGATGGTCTTAGTATAACTCTGCCTGCCTCTTTCTGGTACTTGCAACACTTTGACATCGGAAATATGAAGAAAAGTGTGGACTTCTTCAATATCATGACCTACGATCTTCATGGAACTTGGGACAAAGGAAACAAATGGACTGGTGAATTCCTCGACGCGCATACCAATCTCACTGAGATTAAAGCTTCTCTGGACCTACTATGGCGAAACAGTATTCCATCGGATCAGGTAGTTCTTGGAATAGCATTTTACGGCAGAGCATATACGATTGCAGACCCATCATGTACTAAGCCTGGCTGCCTTTTTGCGTCCGGGGCGGAGGCTGGAGACTGCAGTCATGAGGTTGGGATTCTGATGAACTCCGAGATTGACGAGATTATCGCGGGAAAACGCCCCAGAATCACATATGATAAAGATGCTGCAGTGAAGATGATCACATGGGATGATAATCAATGGGTATCCTATGATGATATCGACACCTTCAAGCTCAAAGCCGACTTTGCCCGAGGGAAATGCCTAGGTGGCCTTATGGTATGGGCAGTAAGCCATGACCATACCAATGGGACTTACTCCCTTGCCCTGGGAGAAGCAGCCCAACGCAAGTTTAAAGCTCTGCCCGACACAATCAAAACAGACGACACAATCAAAATCAAACATAATCAGTGCAAATGGACAAACTGTGGAGACCTCTGCCCAGATGGATGGGTTCTGCTCCGCCGTCATGACGATGATAGACATCATGATGGTGAGTGGATGCTTGATGATGGAGGCTGTATCTTCAAAAATCAGGACCATCGCCTGTGCTGTCCTCCTGATCAAGATGCTCCGACTTGCGGCTGGTACACTTTCAACAACGGTGACTGTGAAGGCAAGTGTCCAGATGGTAGTTTTGAAATTGGCGGAACCGACCGTGGATGTTCAACTGCATTTGGTAATTACCAAGCTGCCTGCTGTACGAGTGGTCAAAAGAGTACTGCGCTCTATGAGAAATGCGAATGGGGTGCTTCATTCGAATGCGACTCATGGAAATGCCCAGCAGAAAAGACCGATGTTCTCCTTAAGTCATGCAATGGCAATGGAGGATCGGCTTGCGGTGGCGACTGGAGAACCCACCTGAATGAGGAGCGCAAATATTGCTGTGACAGCTCTGATGAAAACATGACTTTCGACGACTGCGAGTGGCTTGACGACTATAGCGAAACAGGATACCAAGTCATTCCTACCGATGGTGGTAGTGGAAGTGGTGGGAGTGGCTACTGCTTCTCAAGCTGTCCTAAGGACAAAGTACGGGTAGCTATGGAGCACTACAATACTTGTAACAAAAAGACTGTCTCCCGTGCAAAGTGCTGTTCTCCCAACTACACCACGACCCAAAAAAAGGTAGACCCTATGGTGGAGCTTTGGACGGCTGATCTTAAAGACTGGTTGTAAAATCCTACATGCTCTACCGGCTATGGGTACGGCTACGATGATACCTTTGGTGTGGGCTACGATAAAAGAGGCTTCACAGACATGTTGCCTATAGAATATACACCTCGGTATGCCGGCACCTCGGGAACATCTTTGGAGAAACGTCAAGATCAACAGTCATTCTTCACAAGCAATTCAATTCTAATTGTTGCGACTGATGTCATCTACACCTATCGCATGACGAGCAGGACAAACAAAGCCGTCAAGGAAATCAAGGTGTGGAACGACGTAATTGCCGCTTGGTTCACTTATCTAGCGACTTCCACCCTTATACCATTCTTGAGAGATGTTACAGGTGAACTGTTTTCTGTAGTTGCAGAGGATCTTGCAGGTCGCATCATTTGCAACCTAGAGTACTGGAACCAGATGATCAAAGATTGTACAGCTCCCAGTACTTTAGATGAAGTCTGCGCTATCAGCGATCTTGACGGTTTTGATGATGAATACTCTATTGACCCCGATACCTACGGAACGAATGGTGCATCAACCAAACGAGCTTTTAACAGTCTGGACAAACGTGATGGAGCTCCCAGGGATTTCACCGTTGATTGCGGTACTGACCCAATTACTGGACAGCAGCGAATCATGATTATTACATCAGAGGCCTATCCAAATGGTGGCAATGGTGTCAATCTTGCAAATGCCAATGGACTAACAGTGCGATTTGCGGTCGCAAATCAACATGTATGCACTGATACCTCTATTGATCCTAACGCGCCCAACAATCTTTGGACGTGGGTCAGTAAGTGCTCCCAAATCATGATACATTGAATTATTCCCATGGGGCGATATGGTACATGTATTAACCCTTCTAATTCTTTCATAGCTGAGCATATTTTCGAGCTTCAATTGATTCCTCGCTCAATTGAATTTATGGTTACTGGAACTTTACCTGCTGTGCAGGGCTTGCCAGACTTCAGCACTGGGAGCAAACGTATGCCCTGGGACATTGCACAACTACTGAATCAGGATTATTCGACATGGGCTAGCGGCCACACCACAGCAACTGGAACTCCAATTATTAGGATATTTGACAGTCTCGGCTCAAAGATTAACCCCGCTCGATTAGTTAATACTGAAACTCACTTGAACTCGATGAAAGGGAGGGTATGTTACTATGATAAGCCTTCTCTTTGTAATTTTGATGCAGAAAAGAGAAATTCGCTAAATGGTTGATTATAGCTGTTCGCAGGGAAGCAGCCGATTGGTGATGATACTTGGAGGAATCTAAACGTGGCAGATGAGAGAGCTGGACGGGCTGGGATCAATGAAATACGAATGGTACGCGAAGCCTCCTTCAATTATTCATTTATGTGCTAACTTCATTCGTTAAATTCAGATTATATCTGTGTTCGAGTACTTGAACCAGCAGCTTGTGAACCGTCACCTTGTTGATACATATGGCGCTGCTAATAACGAATTGCGTGTGTTCCAAAATGCAGTCAACAGTGTGTTCGGGCAAAGAGACTTCAGTGCGCCTAATCTGTTCAGAACTTTCATGACAAATTTCATGTCACGAATGGCTGAGTGGGCCTCCAATTGGCTTAATTCGCGTATTGATGAGCTACTTGTCACATGGCAAGCGGTGCAAAATGCAGACCCCGGGATCGCACGCATATCAGGTCGCAGCAAACTACACGGGTGATCTGAGGCAGCTCAGAGAGGTGGTTCGATCAAGAGTGATTTTTGACAATTCAATCTTCATTTATATGCTGGCATCAGGTAGCTAGTTGCTTCAAGTTGGCTTTTAGCTGACAAAGAGGAGGAGATTGGAGTATTTTGCAATGATATGACCAGAAAAGATGGGCGGAAGGAAGAATACATTTTGTACGGATGATCACACATTTTCAATGTTTATATGATGCTCACTATCTAGTACTATGTACATAAAAATCATCAAGGACACACATACATCAAATCAGTTGTACGGCCATTTGGATTTCTCAAGTCGGGTAAAGGCCCAGGAAATTGGCTCCCGAAAACAGCTTGGGTACAACTTGTTAGCATTGACGTAATGGAAATCCTGCCAAACTTCTTTGAGCGAGTAACAATCTGACATGAATTCGTAAAAACGGTAAAAGATCTGGGTGATGCTGATTTTGAGGCGGCCATCATAGCCATCCTCATCTGGCCCGGCCAGAGGCCAGTCCGGATCAATTGCCCATATCCATCCATAGTACATATCTGGGCCATATGTGCCACAAGCTGAACGAGCCTCGTCTGTCAACAAGAAGAACACATTTTTGAGAACACCGGGCTTTAAGTCACCCCTCTCGCGGCGATCACGAAAGTCTCTGGCTGGTTGTTAGCAATGTCTTTAATATTATGTAGGAAAACTCACTGCTGTAAATGGCTGATGTTACTCTCATCGGCCTCAAATGGGACAAATTGAGCGAATTTGTGATCGTGTATCTCTTCATATCCCTTGAAACCGAAAGACATCTCAAGGACCTCGGCAAATAGCGCCCTAAACTCATCCAGTCTGGCCATTCCTTTCTGATGGTAAAAGACATAGCCCCAGCTCTTATCATCTTCTCGAACGACAATCCTTCGAACCCAGTCTTGCAGATCTGGGAATGGTTCTTGTTTTCGCTTTTCATGCCTTGCCTCCAAGTCATCATACTGTTTCTGAGGAATTACCTCATTCACAGCTTGAACGGCCTGAAGCTCCATTGGTGAAAGAGCTGCTTCTTGTGCCTGTTTCAGTTTATCGTAAAGATCAGGACGCATCTGCGGCCACGCGAATCGATCACCCTTGTCAAGGGTTGGCGTAATGCGGAAATGATCGTGAATCAGACGACATTCCGCGTATGTGAGGGATTGACGGTCCGTAGCTGCCTTTTGAAGCAAGTTTTCAACTGACATACCCAAGTATTTGGTTGTGTTGGCCTGCATCTCTTCTAAAGGCGGCCATTGCATCAGCTGGTGTTTTTCATCAGGTGAAATTTCCGCTTGATGCTGGATTGCTTTGTCCCAGAGAGGCTCTAATTGAGCAAACTCTTCTAGTGTTTTGGCCATGGTGGGCAGAAAGGGATAGCTTTGCCAACGTCTCCAAAGTTGTTGTTCACGTCCACGGCTGGATTTCCGAGGTTGATCCTATGAAACCAAAGCGTGGATCATATGCGGATGCGACCGGTCTTTATACCCATGCATGGTTTTCAAGCTATTGGTCCTAGTACAACCTTGGAATACGCGACAAACGCAGGTCTCACAGGGTCCACGGGCGTTTTTGCGGAAACGCCAAGGTTTCCAAAAAAATACACAGGAGGGTAATTTACATGAATCTTTACACAACCCGCACGGGACGTATGATATCCGCAGTTTATCTCAGATGTTCAACCTTGGAAGCTTAAAATTATCAATGATTTTTCTGTCAGTAGCAGTCGAAAATACTTTGGGATGGTCTCCTTTATATCATCGGTGCTACCGTTTGGAGAACGGAGGGTAGAAGCTAGACATAATTGGCTATATAAGGCCGTCCTCCTCGCTGAGAATGGAGGTATTCATTGGAAAATTCTTGTCGGAAGGCTGTATGTATCTGTCTAAGCCCTGGTAGTTAGATTAAGGCTCCTTGGCTATACGACCAGTCCTCATTCTGGCCGGGTATGACGAGGACATCAATCGTCTTATGGCATCGAACCCCGGCCTCACCAGTCGTTTCTCGGAGACAGTCACGTTCAAGAAACCGACTCCCTCTCAATGCTGGTTACTCTTGCGGGACAGTCTGGGACAGGTCCGCCAAGTAGATCACGCTGTTATTCGGCAACCTGATGGCCAGTTTCACGCATGGATCTTGACGTCCTTTAAACACCTATCTACTCTTCCTGGCTGGGGGAACGGTCGGGATGTGAAAACCATCTCGGACACCATTATTAGGAGAGTCTTTTCGTGCCCTTTAGATGAAGGCCAGACACAGATGGTGATCACTGAAGGATTGGTCAGTGCAGTTCTCCAGTCCACAATTCAGAAGCGGCAGTTACGTGCGACGGCGACCGTCCCGAATCTGCCGACTTCCCCGGCTGCCATGCCAGCGATGGCTGGACCGCCCCACACGGCACCCTCCTTCACAGCTGCTTCCTGGGCAAAACAACAAGATAACCCGTCGACACCACCAGACACTGACTCAGATGGCGCAAATCTAACAGAGGCTGACCTGAATGGGCCTCGCGATCCAGGGGTATCTAACGAGGTTTGGGACCAACTGCAAGCTGATCGAAAACAACACGACGCGCAAATCAAGCATGATGCGGAGATCATTAATGAGGAAAAGGCTTTGCGAAAGAAACTGGACAACAACTCAGAGATGCCAGACGATGACGAGCGATGTCAATATAAAGAACATGTTAGGAGTCTTGTTCGGCAAACGGTTGAGATCGAGGAGCGAAAGAAGGAAGAAGAAGCACAGAGGAAACTGCGGGAAATGGGTGTCTGTCCTATGGGATATCGTTGGATTTCATAGGCCACAGGCTACCGGTGTGCAGGTGGGAGTCATTTTGTCTCTTCGGCACAGCTGGGCTTGTAATTCCATACGGGTCGCCAGAATATCTGTGATTTGGAAGGCGAGCAATGAGAATGCCTTTCCCTTGATGAGGCGGGGCTTAGACACGATAAGTTTCTGGTGGCTCGCGCCCAGAATAGCGTATACAACAGGATGTACTGCCACGGTCTCGTCGTACGCAACTATTCCAATATAAATGAAACTGTAGGACATTGTTTGATTGCGTTCGCGATAAATTATATTTGCCGCTATTGTCATCACAGCGTTCCCACTGGTAAGCTTACCAGCTGGCACGTAACCGGAATATGGCCGCCTCACGATATCGGCTAATTGCTCCTGATCAACAAGACAACCTAAATAGGGATTTTTCTGTTTGGTTCTGGGTACTTCCACAACGACATATTCATTTGAAGGGCCCACAGATGTGGATGTTCTACGCTCGTACAGTCCCGCTTGGGTCTCTCCAGTGTGTCTCTCGGGTCCGATCTCAGCACGCACTCATCAGGGTAGTCTTTACTACTAAAGACTTACTCCACTGAGCTACATCCGTTAGTGCCATCTCCCAGAACAACTTTAATGCAGTCATACAGGAAGACAAATGAGACTTTGATAATCAGAGCGGCTCTCTACCACATAGAAACTGCTTCGTGATTTTTGAGTTATCGGTAGTAAGCGTATGTTGCTACTTGTATTATTGATGTTGGGCTTCAGGGAATGTGTCGTACTACTGAACACGTAGGTGCTGGCTGGAGGCTTGCTGAATGTCAAGCTAGAGCCCATTTTAAGAGGTTGAGGCTCTTTGAAGCGCCTGTTGTGGTCGGACATGTGACAGTGGTATGTGGCCGACCGGGTGGAGCGGGATGTCAAGATTACTAACATGGGCGAGTACTCCAACTCGTAGCTGTACTCCAACTGTTGTACCCCAACGGAAGCTATGCTATACTAACTTACCCCAATAGCATAAAGTCATGATGTAAATTGTGCTACCATTGCTATGATAGCTTTGGCAGAGCTCTACCTATAAAGCCATAGTTAACAGACAATAGTACTACATCATGGCACTTCTTTGACGCTATACTATACCTACTCCAATAGCATGGAGTCGCGCTGAAAACAGGTACTACTATTACTCTGACACCTCGATAAACCCTTCTCTTCATCAATCCTCATAGTATCAAACCATAATACAAATGTAACTCCACTACATCATTATGATACTCTGAATCTATACTACCCTTCCTCCAACAGCATGGAGTCATGATGAAAACAATCGCTATGGCTACTACGACGCCGAAGTTTGCTAGTAGACAGCTTTCGATATATAAATATCATCTACGATCGAGGCAAACCCCCGCATTGGCCGGTTTATTTTACTACCATAATTAAGTCCCTGCTACTACATACTCAGAGACGAGCTTCCTTCTGAAAAAAAACAAAATCATATTCTCATATCCTCCCTCTTCGTGGCTCCATCGACATGTCTTCAACAAATATTCTAGGCAACCTCAACCAGGTATGCATTGCCACACCAGATTTTTATAAGACCCTCGACGAGCTACGTTCAGTCGGCTTGGGACCTTTTCAAGTATACCGCTTCAACTCCGATACCGTTTCGGATCAGAAATACTACGAGGAGACAGGTGACGATTTATATGAGATGGATGTGGCCTTTGCGTATAATCCCGATTCAACGGCGCCAGTTATCGAGGTCATGCACCCCAAAAAGGGAAAGTCTGTTATACAAGATTATTTGGATAACCACGGCAACAAAGAGGGAGTGCAGAGCATTGCTTATGATATGAGCACCTTGACAATGGATGAGCGCATAGAAGCGATGAAGGATAAAGGCTACAAGCCTGCTACGTCGGGCTACTTCATTGGCAAAAAGGGGGGAACGAAATTCTGCTTCTTTGATACCGCCGACAATGACCGCGTTCCAACGTGCTTCGAGACGATCGAGTGGTCGAGTGATTGGGTAGCCCCAGATCCTGAGTGGTACCCAAATCCGCCAAATGCATAGACAGGACGAGCATTTTGGATTGTGTATCCTAGGCTTGCCGTGACAAGAACAAATCCTGTACCTCAGATCTCTGTAGGTTTTCTTCCCTCGGGGTTTTCCTGCAGACTTTTGCACCTACACACGGAGATTATCCCGAGATGTGGCGTGAAAGATAGAATTATGATCTTATATGTATGATTACCTTAGAACCTGCGCCTTATATCGGATTAGTAAGAATACTAATGACCTCGGCCATCACTACGGTTGCAAGAGACTAGGTAGAGTTTTGTTCGAGAATAATACTATAAGTAGAAACCTGGATCTTTTCGAACCGGATTAGGGAACAGATTGTTCTCTTGCACTCAGGAAAGGGTTTGAAAAAGCCTTTGTATTAGAGGGAGAAGCTGCCAGAGACCGAGAATGACTTGGTTGTGTATCTTGGGTCCTATTATCGATTCACTCATTACCATACCAAGTGTGGGAACGAGGAGTGTATGATGAGATACGTAAGTATGTGCAGGCCACATAATATTATTCGAGTGTATACCTCTGTACTAAGTATCTTCACACTTCTGCGCGGAAGATGTTTAGGCGAGCGACCTCGCTTAATTAGATGTCATTTCGGTCAAGATGGCCATTCTGTCGACTATGCAGGGGCTTTAGTATCTAGATGTTTTGAGCCCCTCTGTCATCTCTATCCTTAGGCGCAGCATTGACTTGTGGTATATCCTAGATGTTTTCATATGAGTATGAGAGCAATGCATACAAATGGGTGCCGATAGAGACAGCAGCATTCCACGGACCCGGCCCGAACCAAGGATAGAAGCACGAGTTCCCTCGGAGCATATCTAAATCAATCTGGCCAGTCACAGACACAGTCTGCTTTCTTAGAGCAGCTCTGCACTCTCGGGTGAGCAGTCCTGTAAATCTTCAGCCATAAACGGCGGATAATTGCGACCAATCCAATGGAATCCCGAACTGCACTTACCCTCCTGACGGGTTAACCTTTGTATTCCCAATGCCTAAAGTACCGGCTAGTCCATACTGTAGATGATATAGAGATGATCACCATGTTTTACTCCACTTGATTAAATATATTGAAAAGAGATGAGCCTTTTTCGTTTATCCTTTTTGTTTGCTTAATTTTTTCTCTCTTCCTTATGTTCATTCGATCTTAGAGTGAGAGAAATTGGCCGTCTGCCGGGTGCCTACAACGCGGAAGGATACCCGACCGGGGAAAGCCACTGTCAAAGTTGATTCAGCTGTGAGTACTAGGCTGAACGGGCAAAATGCCTCGTCGTGCGAGGGATTCAGCCTTGAATTGCAATTATGCGCTCCGTATTATGGGAAGGGATCCACTAGCTCTGGCTGAGCAGGATCGCTGAATGATGAATGCCAATGCAGAGATCATCAGGGAATGGGTGGCATACATACAGTTTGTCGTGGTCCCATGTCAAGCTTTAGTACGGGCCGGATGGGAAAAGTGTAATGAGTAGAGACAGGTCATTGGCGGGAACTCCGAGGGCATCCAACTGCCAGGCTTCGGACAAACTCGCTCGCCCCCGCACTGCAAGCTGGTTGAGTTAATCCGATCCCGTTGCTTAACCCTTGGGACGCGACAGACTGGGCCCTCGGAACCAAGACCTCAGGCGAATCTAGCAGCGAACGCCGGGGTCTAGATCAACAACGTGCAGTACATCATCAGATCGACCTATGCCGCTCGCTGCAGTTTACTTTTACCGCACTGCTGTCTCAATGCCTGTCAAACTGGCACTTGGACAAGGCAACGATTTCTGACTTGCCACAAGGCGGGTGGGCCTGGCTGTAGAACAAGCCTTGCTACTATCCATCGACTACAGAAACCGACACTTGCTATATCATCCTAGTATGTAGTAAGTGACTGTGGCAGTGATTATTTGTTCCGTACTGCCATCATCGCTACTATCTACTGCGTTGTGCTGGTAGTCCTTTTTTACTATAGTAATAATAGGTACTTTATATCTCGCAACACTCATTCGACACCATTGTTACATCCCGACTACTTGTATAAGTACGACTTTCACTACCATGCCGCCACCTAAACCCCGCCAGATCAGAAGACCCCGATTATCATTGAGTTGCAATGTCTGCCGTCGTCGCAAAGTTCGCTGCGGCCGCGAACATCCGCAATGCGCCAACTGTGTCCGGATGAAGGAAAACTGAGTCTACGAGAATATGGTCCGTGATACGTATTCTGGCCGTGTACTCCTCCTGTGCCCCAGGGGATAACTCTAATGGACAGGAATCCTCTGCCGATCATTCGGAGGAGCAAACAGGAGGTTTTACCTGGTCACACTGGATGACACAGGACTCTAGAAATGTGATAGATCTCGGTGATGAGGCTCCGTCCGACGATCGGTTTGTCATTTCGCTTTACAGTTCGAGTTCGGCCCAACTCGGCCCAAAAGAGACAAAAGGAATGATATGGGTTCCATTTGCTTCATCACATCCTCGCATTCTGACGGGTGACACTGCATTTCGATCTATCCTCAAAGTGTACTGTTTCCGTAAACCACACTGTTACGAAGTAAATCCCAAGTGTGGAAAGTATATAACCTATTTAGTGTATGCATTGTGGCCCCGAAAATTCGTTCCAGCTCCGTTCATCTCTTCTATCATCTGAGAGCTTTCTACTGATACAAATAATAAGGAAGTATCATATCCAGGCTCGAGTCCAGACATGAGAGTAATCTATGTGACGGGGAAGACGGAGGCATTGCAAGACGCTGAAAGAACGCCATATAGTAAGTAATACGGCGACAAAAGTGTGGGTGGTACGAGTTTGTGTTAGAATATATTTCAAGTTCAGACCACGAGGCTTTGTAGCAACATCAACCCGAGCCACCGGATGAAAGTTTGGCTCATCAACATATGTTTCCATGCCTATGTAGCTGTTACCTGGGTCTGTTGTGTATAATTGATTTTGTTCCCTTATGAAGACCTAATCAGAAATTACGTAGGGCTCTATTTAAGAAGCAAAAATGAAGGTCGAAAAAATAGTTCAAAAAGGGAATGGGGCAAGCCGGGCTTGAACCGGCCACCTCCAGATCTTCAGTCTGACGCGCTCCCAGATGCGCCATTGCCCCAATGATTACGTCATACTGACAAAGTATATGACCTCTATTGGTACTGATCCTTATTCAATTATCTTGCTCAACGCTTCAAAGACAGCATGACATCCAGTAATAAAGAGTCGGTATTATAGTTCCAGTATGTCCTTTTCGCTTATGCCCCGGGTTGAACTCAATGGATGATATCCATGAACTCGCTGCCATGGAAAATTCACCCGATGCCATTGATTTCGCGTGAACCAGACATTCATGCCTTTATACTGCCTTGTAATCGATCACCTAATTTGACCTTTATTGAGAACCCACTTCTTCCTGTCATATATGGTAGATTAATTGCACCTCTTCAAAGAGCTGCGGCCTACTAGTCTCCTACTCGACCCAATGGACTAACTCTATTTTTACATTACGTAGACTACTACATCGTCCCTCACAGCCGGAATATAATTGGCATATATCCCCGTGCTGGCAGAGGGTGCACAGGACTCTCAACTTTGTACTTAGACCGGAAAACTAGATACATTTATCGAGCATCTTGCTCACTATAATTCCATTACTCACAAACAACCTCATTGCTCAGGAATGTTGCATCCACCGCGAAGCATTGAGTATCGCTGGTGATCTCGTATTCGCCGTACAACGACTCAACAGTGCAGCCCGTGGAGGTGTACATTTTCAAGATAGCCGATGTGCCAGCATCGCAGGAGCCAGAGTAGATCTGCGCGGAGAAAGATTTGAGAGGGAGGCCGTTGGCAGGCCCACAGGCACCAGAGATGACGTTGGCGGCCTCAATGCTGGGGGAGACGCAGTCGGCGTAGTAGTAGCCGCTGAAGGCGACGTCAAGGGTGGCAGCAGCAGTGGCCACAAAAGTGGAAAGCGCAAGGGCCTGGCATGGTCAGGCTGGATTATCGGACATCGGAGGGACGGGATGTTAATAACCTTGAACTGCATATTGAATGAGATTCGGGGGTTTGGGTCTCAAGAACCGTTGAAGTGTAAGTAGGTGGTGTGTTGGTCTGCCATGTTGCAGGGAAGCATCACGACTTTATAGTTGCGATGGGATATAGTAGGTCATATCTATCTTTTCACGCTCCTACTTCGCAGGACGGGGCGCCAAGACAGGGCTGATGCGTCTTTCACCACTCAGCTAGATCTTATCAGATCCATATTCCTGTTCAGGAAGTCTACTCCTTCGACTGTTACTATCTCCGATCTATTGCCAAGCAAGCCTCCTCGTATTCCCCGCACTTGGTATACGACGCGATGTTTGTGATGCCCCCACTGGCGGATTCTTTTACGTGAACCCGTAGTACGGAGGTTCGAGAAAAACTCTTGAAATCGGATTTAGGGTGAACAGAATCTGAGCATAAGTGATTAAGCGAAGAGATAATATTCCAAAGAATATTACATTCTTGATACTTAGATTTAAAGCCAAGATTTGCAGATATCATAGGCTTTATTTTCTGAGGACTGATAGGACGGTACTATCTCGGCCAGCTACCCGTAGAGAATATGAAGGCTTCTGATAGGCCGAAAATAAGATGATTCCACAAGACTCCGCACTAAAATAGTGGGTCCTCCAGCAACGCGAGACCTGCGTAATAAGTCACCCTGGTACTCATCGGCTTTTGTTGTTTTTGGCTTCTTACCCAATTCAAGATACTACTCATCTTTATGACCTTGGGTTCAGACGTATTCCTAACGTTACCCAACGAGGACACAGATTCCCAACGAGAACTACTTATTGCAATTTACATAGACAATGATATATAAAGTGAATACAAAGACGTGCTAAGACGCAGGACATTTCTTGATTAAGAAGCTCATTCACATTAGACATTCCTTTGGGCCAAGTAACCAACGCATCTGGCCACTTGACTGGAAGGAAACACAGGTTCATTTGGTTTGACCAACCATTGACAACTCCAGAGACGAATGCCCCAGAAAGATCCCGGCCCCATAGGATATTTCCTGTAATGCTGTGTAACTCCATTGGAGGACTTTGTGAGCCTCAATTTCATACTACGACAATCCAGGCTCTAGGCCCATTACATGCGATATTGTACACACTATACAGAGTGGAATTCGTGGCTTTTCAGAGTCCCTGGCTATCACCAGATCGAAGTGTATAGAGTTACAGGCACGGTAGCCTGTCCGTTCACCGGAACCAGTGGAAATGATGCCCCAAAGGAGACCAAAGCACTGTAGCGTATATTTAGCATATAGAATGACAGGTCTGACATGCTCTGTACAAAACAAAATTAAGCTGACACCCGCAGTTGGAGGGTCGACTACACATAGACATCGAAGAAGCCATAATGAGATGCTATTTCGCATTCCGCCTCAACTCTACCAGGTTCTGAAACAGGTCTGCTAACTTTCTCTGACTAGCTTTTGCAGGTAAAATAGTAGAATAGACTCGATATAGGCGCCCCTTGAGCAAATCCTCTAATAACTGGACTTCCACACGAGAACTACACGCTGAGCTCCATCTGATTTCTCTGCACTCAGGGTAACGGGGGCGCCTTGGGTAGGCTCAGCGGCCGCATACCAGTACGGGCCGCCTCCCCCGTTGTGTTCAACACCACCATCAGCTTTAAGGTTGCTTGGCTCGCCCTGTAAGGGACATTATTAGTATCCAAGCCCTGTTGTGTAAATTACTCATGTACTTACAAAAGAATTGTAGCCCGTGCTAGACCAGTATTTGGCAGCTCCAGCGTCCGGAGTCACAGTGATGTCTAACACTTCGGTGAGAGTGTAGTAGTTTCCCCGTTGGGTAACCTGCTGACCTCCTTCACGGGCTCTGACCGCAGCACAGGCAGAAACTTTCAATTGGTCCTCTTACACGTCAAGGAAGGCGTAGTCGTCGGATATTTTCACAATTCGGGGTCAAATGGCTGGTTGAGATGGTTCTGCACCCATGATACCGAGTTCAAGCTGAGGGAGTACGAATGGGATTATTCAAAGATCAGGCTAGTCGAGAAGCTATATATCCTTTCTTTTCTGTAATAAAGATAAGGCGTTGAATTCAAGACTGTATCCCTACGCTCCTTCATCCCATTAGCTTGCGTGGCGCTCGACTACCCCTCCTCGACGGTTACGTGAAACTTCTGTAGTGATGTGCCTTTGATGATTGCCTAAAAACTCTGGAATATAAATCAAATGATGATTATCAGTGTATTAACATCCCTCTGGTATTGAATCCTGACCCGAAGCATGTCTGATGGGAACAGACCTTGTCGGACCTCTTACATGTATCTTTGCCGCATCTTGAAAGACATAACTTTTTAGCCGTATCATGACACAGAGCCGTTCTTATATATATCCATATCTCTTTTGCGATTTTTTGACATGAAGAATAATTATTCTCTGCTGAAGGTTCTCAGCAATGTAGCAATGTCTCTGATTGAGTATCTTGCGTCAGTCATCGCACAAAATTAGCATAAAGGTGCAAGTAATAAGAAAAGCGGGCGGAGGGGACCATAGTCTCGAGCATCATCTTGTTACATACGTACCGGCGAGCGAACCTAAGCTGACGCAGGTTATCGTTTATAGCATTCTGATCGTCATAGGACAGTAGTATATATTCGTCTACTAGTTCAACCGCAGAGGTCTTGGGACCAGTACATATCTGTAGTCTGGTTGCTCTGACTAAAAGATCATTGCATGCTATGACTGCGCAACAGCCGACTCAAACAGCGCTTGCAGTCGTTTCCCTTCACTGTCCGCCAGCTCCTCGTAGGTGTGAGCAGTTCCGATTGGATGATATGGGAATGGACTGGGTACAATGTTAGGATGCTCAACAAACACAGATTGATCGCTACTCACCCGTACTCCGGAACCCATGTAATCCGGCAGTTAGGATCTTTTTGCTGTCTTGATTTGACGATTCGAAGCCACAGTTCCTCGAAGAATTGCCGCTCGGGAGCAAATGCAGGATTTAGAGGCTCTGGGCACTGTGATGACTGCTTTGTTCCCATACGTGCATGGATATGGCCAACCTAACAGACATGTCCATTATTGATTGTGTACTTCTTTTGTTCGAGCAAGAGGCATGCTTACACGCGGGATGACGCGGTCGAGGATCTCACGGTCTTCTTCGCCTTGATCTAGGAGTCTTTCGCAGACGACCACCCAATGTGAGATGTCGGCAGTGATACGTAACCTGCGTAATCAGTATCGGACTGGGAATGATCCATAACCAAATTTACGTACTCTGGAACTCTCTGTAGAATGTAGTCGGCCGAATAAGGGTTGAAGAGAGATCTGTTTCGGTGCGTTTCGTGGCAGACTATGCCCTCGAAACCCTCTTCCTTTTCTACCTGAAGAGCTCTTTGGTAGAAGTAGACAGATTCATCAAAGCTCCAGTAGTCTCTGAGGAAGATAGCGAGTCAACATCTTAATCGTGGTATACCCGGAGTGGAGGGAACGTACGCTCCGGATTGTGCATTGATAACCACTGGCTTCAAGATGGTCGCTAGGCGAAGTTGTCCTCGGTAGAACTCGAGGTGAGCATCTGGGGTCAAACCACGAGGGCGGGGGCCGACATATTTTGGCCATGCGGAGAAGAGGCTGCAAAGCAATCAGCTCAAGTGCCGTTCCAATGGGCAGCTACTACATTATAGTCGAGATACTGACAGAATGCTAATTTCCAGGCCCACCTCATCACAGTTCTTGCGGAGAAGCTGCAGTTCTTCGGGTGTCATAAAAGCAAAATCAATCTCGATCCCATCTGTTAGGATATCTCGTTAGTTTAGCCTTTGGGGGCATTGCAGTGCAGGCGCTAGCTTACCGTAGCCGTGAGCCTTGAACTCAACCAACTTCTTTCTCCATTCGGACTGCTCCGGACCGGGATCTATGCCCCAGAGGGATCTGAAACGCGAGATAACAACCATGACTGAGAATTATGAAGGTGCAAGCTCCTTAGGGATTTGGCTGGTCTCCTGAAGGGCACGCACGCAACAATTGCTTGCTTGCTTGCTACGAGCTTGTCTGGCAGGCTGCGAGGAGATAGCGGGGCTATAAATCGGGTGGATATGGATGACAAAGAGCTGATCCATTCTATCACCAAAGGCCATACTTTGGAGGACTCCGCAGATGTCGCCATTGTGATCTGCCCTTTGGAAGTGACTCTGAATTCCTTTGATGCTTTCTCAGCAGGGGATATCACTGATCGGGGAATTTAACCCGCCAGGGCCGCTCCACTTTCCCCAATTGATGGCCGAGTGACTAGTCCCCACCGGGTTAGCGTCGAGGGTGGGCCCGCGGAGGAGTTCTCCTTCTACGGCCATATCCTCCCCGGTTGCCTAGAGAAGAACGGCTATAGCATCATGGATCACAACATCAACTTGCTTTGTCCATCTAAAGCCGGTTCAATGTTCGGCCTGGGAATTCTGTTCCGCACCCGGCCGGCATCGACAAGCCAGACGCGGTCCGCTGGTCATTACGTCTCGCCCCTCCCCCACCTTTTCCCCCCACTCCTCATGAGGTTCCCCTCACCCCACTCCTCGATCGATTTATACCCCCCATAAATATGTAGAATGGCCGGCATTTAGCACACATCACTGCAATTACCATTGTCTTTGACGGATTTGTTTCATCATTTTGAGCAAAAATGGCAGTCCAATTCATGAAGGCATTGAACTATGTCGGGCCATTCACGGTCAAGGTGCAGGAGGTGGAGCGGCCTAAGCTGGAGCACCCCGATGACATTATCGTCAAGGTTACCAGTGTATGCTGTGTAGATTAGCATGATTTCCGCCCAGTTACTGACAGCCATAACAGGCAGCCATCTGTGGTTCTGATCTGCAGTGAGTGCAATTGGGGAGTAGGGTAGAAGAGACTTCGTACACAGATGTTGCTCACACATCCCCAGCATGTACGAAGGAAGGACGGCGGCAGAGCCAGGCATCACTTTTGGTACAATTAACCTTACTTTTGCATCTCTGCCCATTCTGACGTGGATGGAACAATATAGGACACGAGAATCTCGGTCTTGTCGAAGAACTCGGGGAAGGAGTCACCCTACTGAAGAAGGGCGACCGTGTGGTCATGCCGTTCAACGTTGCGGATGGTCGTTGTCGGAATTGTGAGGAAGGGAAGACAGCGTTTTGCACGGGTGTAAATCCTGGCTTTGCTGGTGGTGCATACGGTTCGTCTCTTCTGAGTGAGCGCTGTGCGTGTCTTCGCGTTGACATTGAATCCCACAGGATATGTGGCTATGGGACCTTACCGCGGAGGTCGGTGTGACCCCCTTACTGTTAGACAGATCATGCTTACCGAGTGAACCATCAGGCCAGGCACAGTACCTGCGCGTTCCCTACGCTGATTTCAATGCCCTGAAGCTCCCCCCAGGAACCGAACACGAAGCGGACTTTATTCTGCTGGCAGGTAGGCGGTCAATGCTCTCACTCTTGGGTGATCGGTTAACTAATAGGCAAACCAGATATTTTCCCCACAGGTATACTCCCCCACGAACCCAGTTCAATCCCCAAGACCACGTCCGCTAATATGAGTAGGATGGCACGGCATTGAAATATCGGGTTTCCAGCCAGGTGACAGCGTAGCAGTCTTCGGGGCCGGCCCCGTTGGTCTCATGGCAGCATACTCCGCCCAGCTGCGCGGTGCATCTCGCGTGTACGTAGTAGATCGGGTCCCCGAACGACTGAGGGCAGCGGAACGGATCGGTGCCACCCCCATTGACTTTACCGCGGGCGATGCCGTCGATCAGATCATTGCACACAACGGAGATTTGGTGGATCGGTCCGTGGATGCTGTTGGATACCAAGCTGTCGGTAAAGATAACTCGACCGAGCAACCGAACATTGTGCTCGAGAACATGATTCGCGTGACTCGCGCGTGTGGTGGACTGGGTATTCCCGGACTCTACGTTCCGAGGTATGTCACCCCCGCATCGCACTACGACGGAGTATGTTGGCTGACGACTGACCAGTGACCCCGGTGCGGGTGATGCGTCGGCTGCGAAGGGGATGATTAGCCTCAGCTTTGGCAAGCTCTTCGAGAAGGTATAGTAGACGCCTGGTTCTTTGGAAAGGAGGCACTGATGCTGACATTGTGAGCAGGGGCTCTCCCTCGGCACGGGCCAGTGTAACGTCAAGGCCTACAACCGGCAGCTACGAGACCTGATCATTGCCGGCAAGGCGCGCCCCAGCTTCGTGGTGTCCCATGAGATTGGAATTGAAGAGGCCGAGACTGCATATGACAAATTCGACAAGCGCGTGGACGGCTATACCAAGGTTATCATTCACCCCAATGGCGGGTTCCCCAGCAAGCGGCTACCGGCGGGTTCCTCACTGTAGATTCTGTCGATGTCACGGTTTGTTCCAATCTTAGTAGAGAAAGGTTTTTGTTCATCGTTTAGCAAATGTACAATTGATTGAAATTCCGGTCGAGTACATGGCGTGTATTTCTTCCTCAAGAAATGTTCTCAGGGAAATGGAGTCTGACACGGAATGTTTGTCCGCTCCACGCAGTGACAATCATTTCCAGATTGGGGTTGGATGGCCCTGCGGAGAAGACAACCCAGCTGGGAGCAAACGATAGTAGTCCGGTGCAGGCCTCAACCCATTGGTATCATGGTGCATACTTGTACCAAGAATCCCTGTCTCTCAGTCGGCGGCCACTTGCTAGTAGCTTCGACCAGCCACCGAATGTCACTTTCGCAAAAGGAATGGCAGGCTCTGCGGACAGAGTGAAACTATACCCTACTGCTTGGATTGCAGGGGCATAAAACAGGAATGATTATGGGGAGTCGAATCTACATCTTGTCCCACGATAACATATTCTATCGTTTTGGTATATAACACTCAACCATAAATTTTTGGGGGCGATACCTGTCTACCTAACATAGATTCGATCCGGCTAAAACATTAGAGTATCAGCAATCACCATTTGACTGAACCTCTTCCATCCCGACGGAGTATTCCAGGCTCGCAGCCAATACCCACCCTCCCGTACACCTTTCAGCGTATGTGCAGATGGCCTCACTCCCTGTGGCAGGCTCCGAACAAGGGGGTGCACGAAGAGAACTCTGACCGGCTTGTTCTCATCGCACGCTGCTCCAGAAAAGTCCAGCCTTGCGAAATCAAAACCTGTCCACGTGGTGACCATTACCATCGGCACCCGACCCTTCGCGGGGATTTTTGGCAACATCCGTTGAGACGAATGATCCTCGCACATCCGCAGGAATGCCTTGATGGACGCCGGAGAGGTGTATCGCAAGCTGACCAAACGGAGTCCACCCGCCAGCTTGGCCACGGACTCATTCTGGATCTGAGACACCGACAGCTTGTGCCGCAATAGCCCGATGCTATTATGAATCCAGTAGGTCCCTGGCTGGGGAGGTTCAACCACACGCCGATAGCTGAGCGGACCATAGAAATACATCTCAGTTCGACTGCTGGGAAGGGCACAATAGACCGTTTTGAGAAACCAGGCATTGATGACGTTGTTCCTGGTCGGCTGGGCACCCACAGTCGTGGGGGCGAAAGCAGCGAGTGGTCGTTTGTGCATGGCGCCTACCCAGTCGTCCGGCAGGTAAATGTACCGTTCCTGCAAGGTTTCCTGCAGACATAGCTTGCGCAGCAGTAGACACCAGACTACTCTGGCTATCAGTAGTAGAATCGGCCAAAACCCAGTGGTGAAGTTGGACAGATGCTCGGCATAGGTTATGGATCGAACCAATTTTTCCTGCGGGTCGTTGGGTATCACTCGGTCGGACATCCGGTGACCACAAGCATCGGGTGGTAACAGCGGAGATGTGATAGGTCGACCCGCGAGCAGGTCACAATAGGCCCGAATTACGTCGTAGGCGGCAGTGCCGTCGGCCAGATGATGACTGATGCCGAAGCAAAGTAGGTTGGCGTCCTGGAGAAGCGTGACGCGGATGAGGAATGTATTCGCAGGTCTGGCAGGTACATTGAAGATGAAAGCAGCATCCAGTTCTTCAGGGTCGAGAGCGTCAATAACCGTCGGTTGGCTGCATTCTGTAGACTGGAGCACGCCATGTTTCCAGGATGCTGCACCTTTGGGAAGCGTCCGACTTGCAAAGTCGACAGTCGAGCCAGTGGAATGTGCATATGGGCGGCCCTGTCTCACAGTTCAGAAAATCGTCATTGCGCCCGGGGCTCAATGATGGATACTAATCACTGACCGACCGGTAAAGCTGTCCTCCCAGAGCGGGCCACGCTTTTACCAGCTGAGCTGCTGTCTGCCTCAACACAATTTCATCTAGATGCGCGTCCACGATAAGTCCGGTGAAGACCATGGCATTGCAAGTAAGAGGGTGGACAGTTCGACAACGATACTTCACTTTCTCCATGGCGTGGTCGTTGTTCCTTCTTCAGCACAGGATGCTTGAACTGTAGAGTACTTCACAATGGTCCGCATTGGCTTCGCACTGGACTTATGCTGCTGAGAACCAGCCAGGTTATCTCACGCTGGAATAAGGTTCGCTCGTCCAAAGGTTGATGCGTGAGTTGGTGCTTTTCTAGTTCCACTGGCTTCTGGCAAGCGAACTCCCAATTCATTCGGATCCTATGGCCGACCGAAAGGCTAACAGATGGACGATTGATGACCTTCCTGATATCTAGGTTTAACCTTCAACAGAATCTAGACTTAGGAGGTGTCGATCCTCGACGGAGTCCGGATTGAAACGTTCGGCGGTTGTGCACGTCGTGTACCCATACTTGGATTGATTATGCTAAGATATGGTTCCATTGACAGCGCACCAGTTCATCGATACCAAGTGTCGTTTGTGATTCGAAGTTGTAAGAAAAAGTACCAACCTCGCAGTCAGCAACCCAGCCTAGCTGCTTGGTAATGATCCTTCGAGAAATCATAACGACGCAGTCATCTGGCTCTCGTTGCTCCGCAAAACCAGCATCCAAAATCAGCACCAGAAGAATTTCGTCGTGACACCGATTGCCACTGTCTCTGGTCCGGCGTTGGCTTTCTCCCTTCTTACCTTAGTGACCAGGGGTATTGAGTGTCACCTTGTCAACTGTCTGTTCACTCTGGATGCGCCGCATATTTATCGCTTGTGTCATGATCGAGGCTATTGACATGAATCGTCGAATGAAGGCGCAAAATCGGTGATCTCTGCAAGCTATCCCTTCAAGTGGTAATCTTCCGAAGGCCCGCCGCCGCGACGCAATGTACAACTCTGGGTGACAATGTGTAATGAGCTGACCCTCGTCACGATCGTTTATTGGTTGCTTTTATTAATCTCTCGCAGGGTATCCATATGCCAATTCCTTCCAAAAAGGTATGATCCCATACCACCCGCCAAAGTTGTACGGCGCGGTTCCAAAGATGGCTCATCGGGTCATTCCTGACCCTTCTGCTGCAACTGTTTGATCCGCTCGATCAAATCCGGCATCTTATACGGCTTGTAGATAATGTCGTTCATTCCCGCCGCCAGCATCTCATCCTTCTGAGCCGTCCGTACATTGGCTGTAACCCCAAGAATAGGGACCCGCGCCATGGGTCCATCCAACTGGCGAATGGCCCGGGAAGCCGTTGTGCCGTCCATGATGGGCATGACCTGATCCATCAGTACACAGTCAAACCTCCCCTGCTGCTGGACCGCATCTACCGCCTCCTGGCCATTACTCGCTTCGCTGACCTGAAAGCCGGAGGTCTGGAGCTTGCGCGAGAGGATGCGCTTGTTGATGACGTTGTCTTCCACTAACAAAATGCGCCGTTCGCGCGGATGTGAACGCGGTTCACTGCGCGGATTCTCGGGGGCCTGCTGATCCTCGTCCTCTGGCACAGGTGAGCCTCTCGACGCCGGGGAGGAGACTCCGCTGGCAATCTTCACTGTATGCTGCCGCCGACTGTCTTGGCTGGCGTGTCGCGAGATCTCCGGGACGTGAGTGACAGAGGGATTCTCGGGAATGCGTGGTCGGGCATGACGCTCGGTCACTCCACTCATCTCGTTGCCCATTGCCTGGATCTGGCTGCACATTCGGTCAATCTCCGTGGTTCCGTTGCTCTTGCTAGGGTCCTCCCCGGGTCCTGCTGCAGTGCGTCGCACCGTGAAAAAGAATCCAAAAGTACTTCCCTCGCCCTCCTTAGAACTCACGCCAATCTCTCCACCGTGCAAATGACACAGCTTGCGACTGACATTCAGACCTAATCCCGATCCGCCGTATATTGTCTGGGTGCGCGGAGTCGCCTGGTTGAAGCGCTCAAACAACCTCTTCTGCGCCTCGTCACTGATCCCAATCCCATTGTCTTTCACGGCCACCATCAGAAACGCGTATTCTCCCGCACCCCATTCGGGTTGTGATGTCGCATCCAGTTTCAGTGCCTCCTCACCGGAGTCAAAGAAAACCACGTTCGGAGGATAGGAAGATGGCCGTTGGGTAGACGCACCGATGGAGACGCGGATGCGCTTGTCGTCGCCCGAATTGGCGGTGAACTTGATGGCGTTAGAGAGCAGATTGATGAGGACCTGGCTCATGCGGTCCATATCCGCCATGACCCAATCAATGTCTAAGTTGGCGTAGGAATGGTCCAGCTGGTAGGTGAAGTGAATATCATGTTTACGCAGCTCCGGACGAAACATGGCGAGCGCGGTGGCTACATTCCGGCGCGGTTGCACGCGTCGGGGAGATAGCGTCAGCATGGCAGCATCCAATTTGGAGTAGGTTAGTACGTCGTCGATGATCTTCTTCTGGTGCGCCACGCAAAGACTGATGGTATCGGCTGCTTCAGCGATCTGCGTCCGCATCTCCTCCCCCATATCCGGGGAATGAACAGCCTCCAGGATATCCTCAGTGCAGTGGAGGATGGCCGATAGCGGGTTACGCACCTCGTGGCTGATCATATCGATAAATCGCTCCTGTTGTTGCTTGCGGTCCTCTGCCTCGTGGGCAATGCGACGCTGCGTCAATTCCGCCGTCTTCTCTTGTGTGATGTCGGTGATGGTGCAAACAAAGCCCCCTTCTGGTCCCAAGTTGAATCGTTGTCGCTCCTCCTCATCCTCCAGTGGCGTCAACAAACACACGCGCCATAGACACGGCTGCAACCGGGTACGGTATTCGATGCGGAGGGCATGGTAGGACTGAGAGGCTTCTCGATATGCTGCTGCTACGCGATCAAAGTCCTCGGGATGGATGGACTGGCACCAGCACTCAAAAGCACGATCGGAGGTGCAGGTGGTCAATTCCAAGAAGCGTTTGTTCACGAAGACCGACCCGTCCTGGTGATCAAGGACTGCCAACCCGATAGGCATCATGTCGGCCAGCTGCTGGGCCGACACGTCTGGGTGGCCACCCATGGCGTTATTGCTGATTATTGTCTGCATGGGCTCGGTGTCTGAAGGGAGGAGAAGGGGAAAGGAAGGTTTGAGGAATGGCTCCAGGTCAAAGTTGGGTTGCGGCGCCGTGAGTCTACTGGTGCCAATCAAGGTCGCAGTGGCTGATGGTGCAACCTTCCACTGTTGATCGAAAGGCAGAAAGCACCCATAGGGAGATTTCTTGTGTTGCTGTGTGCCTTTTGTGGTTCAATCCATGTGAATTTTCCATGAGAAGCTGGTCCATGACGTCACGACATGGCAAGCCCTTCTAACCCACATCAACAAACTTTCATTCTCCTGATCCCGATCGAAATTTATGTGCCTGTCTATCTGCCATGATTGTAGACCCATTCTCTTATTCACATTCTGCATCATGGCTAGCACATATGTACCTCGGAATTATAACCGACCAATGCCGTTGACAGAAAGACCAGGACAAAGTGACCTCTCGGTCCTAGGCAATTAACTTCCGCAGCCTCTGTTCTCGGCAAAGCAGTTCTTGTTTCAACAAATAGAACACTGCTGTCTTCATGGTCCAGTTATTCTTTTTCTTCAGCCGCTACTGTCAGCAATAGTGTCTTACATCGCTCACACATCTTGGCCATCCTCTGCTGCAACCCCGGAACAGGCGATGGATATGCGACACATCCTCACTGAAACATGTTCCGGGACTTTCGCCTACGACTGCCACCACTTTACCATAGGTGCAGTTGATGGGGTCTTTGTACTGATCATCAGCCGGTCGACTTTGGCGGACCCATGCAAAGGTTAGTCGGTTTGAACAACGCGTCGATATTCAGGGGTCCTTCACTCCTCATTCTGTCCGAGACGTCCCATTCGACAAGACACATCCTGATGCAGTTGAAAGTCGGTATATTGTCGCAATTGTTGCTTTCGTTAATAACATTAGCTACCACGGACGTGATTTTATTAAGAGGTGCAGCCAGTCAGTTCAACAAAACCTCTTTCAGCAGCCAACACTGCAGCTACGCCGAAGAGTTGTTCGCAATTCGCTACTCTCTCGTATGGTAGTGTCAGTCACTGACCTTAGGTTCGACCTCGGCGTCTACGTTATCTGCTGCTCATTACGAACAGATACCAGGTGTCGCTATCCCATCAGCTGACTATAACTAACAGCATGAAACCCTTCCTTCCAAAGCTGTAGTGGTGGGGCCAGAGATTCACCCCCCCCCCCAACAAAAGGTGCGACATGTTGCTTTTCTACGCGTGGACAAACAGCACAGGACTGGTCTTTCTGCTGATATATAAGAGTGCAGGTCTAACCACCAGTTCGAGACTATTTAAGACCACTGCAGAACTCCACCTTCTCCAATACTTCTTAATCCTACAAGTTCTGATAATTAATCAAACTAATGTCATTCCATATCGCTCAAATCAACACATGTACAACTTCCATTCTTCAAAGAAATGACAGGATTAGATGTAGCGGATCTGCCGGAAGGACTTGAGCATCATGTAGACCCCATGCAGGGTAGCGTACATGCTGGCGCCAGCCACGGCCCAAGCGGCGCCGTGCACGCGTAAGGAACTGACGGGGATATGGCCGGGTTCTGAGCTATCCTTGCGATAGGTATCCGACCGCATGATATGTTGTCGTCGTTGGGTAGGGTCTGACGCATTCAGCTGCTGATCTTGAGATTGTAAACATTCATGGCACAGGGAGCAGCGTACCCGCCGACTGCAGTCTTTGGCTGATGTTGCCGACGACTGGTCGGGAGCGACCGATGAGCATTTGATGCATGATGGAGTTGTGGTATAATGTGGTTGGGTTTGTCTTTTGGTAGTTATAGATATAGTGTAGTTGAGTAGGGTGTGCAGGGTCCCGCGGCTATTATAAGCAGAGGGTGCAGGGGCGAATAGGTTGCCGGAACCAGGGTTGTCAGGCGACCGCGGGGGTGGCGAGAGGTGAGACTTTTGTTCATGATAGCATTTCCTCGTCATGGACTGACTAGACTGCAGCTGGCATAGTATGCAGTTCTTTCTCAGATGGTTCATCGTCCACTATACCTACCACCCGACATGATGGTCCGGCTATTTCTCATTATAGCTGCATATCAAAGTATCTTTAAGTTATTGACTTAGCGTGTCATCATATGCTCTCATTTCTAGTAATAAATTCATTCTAGTGAAATGAACAATATTAAGTATCGGTATTCACTTCATCAAAGCTCCTTGCACTAACTTTGCCCCTTATGTAGGGCTTATATATATTCAGTTGATATGTTGGCAACGGTCGCAAAGGGATGAAAGCAAAGAATACTCCACCATACTGCAATAGATGCCTATTACAAATTCCATCCTCTCTTTTCTCTCTCTCCCAAGCAGTAATAGAAAAGCTTCCTTTGCTTCCCTTCCATCTTCTCTGCATAATCCACCGGAACTTCCGAGGACGTGACGTGTCATGTGATGTCACAGGATGCTCTCCCCGCATTACACAGTCCATACCAATATTACGGTTAGGCTAGGCATTGACCCGGTATCGGATTCGGGGCAATTCCCACCGAGCGGAATATCCGACTTGGAACATCTCTTGCTTGGCTTCCCAAAACAAACAAGCAGAATGGCTATACTCCAGCGAGTGAGGGCTCTCCTGCCCTCTGTGAATGAAAATTCAGTCGTCAGATCGAACGCAGGACAGTCATTTAGTCCTTAACCGTCACCATGGCTTCACCCGACTGGACTCGCGCAGCCCCTTGGATCTGGCTACCTCACTATCTCGAAGAAGATAATCGCCCTGGCCGGTTCTTCCTCTTCAGAAAGACCTTTCAATGGCACCCTTCAGATGACCTACAAGACCTCCCTGTGCACGTCTCCGCCGACAGCCGATATCGCCTCTTCGTCAACGGTCACCGCGCGAGCTGGGGTCCCTGCAAGTCCTATCCAGGAAAATGGTACTACGAGACAGTCGATATCCGCCCATACCTCCGCGACGGTAAAAATGTAATCAGTGCGCGTGTTCTACGGTATTCTACCCTCGTACCGGGCTCCTCGTCGATTGTGAGCATGCCGCTGCCCGGCTTCATGCTGTACTCTCCGCATCCTGAACTCGCCATTTCTACTGATCCCTCGTGGACGTGCATCGAGCAACGATCCGTCAAGATTATCCCGCAGACAGAATGGAACTACCTGCTCGGTCCGCCTTTTCTCTCAAACAATGAACGCGCCGTGGACACCATAACTGGCTGGCATATGCCTGGATATGATGACTCGCGGTGGGATAAGGCGGTATTCAAGTCCAATGCTGTGAAGATGCTTCCTATAGTAAGCCTGTGGAAGCTGGCACCGCGTCCGATACCGGATTTACCGGAGATTGAAGAGAGGTTCGACGGAATAGTCAAGGCCACTGGTTCTGTCAGCGAAGACGAGTGGAAATTGCTGGTTCGAGAGGACAAGCCCGTGGTGATCCCAGCAAATGCGCAGGTTACTGTGGATCTCAGCGTCGAGGCGCTGATGACGGCGTTCGTCAGCTTCGCTTTCAGTGGAGGGGCGAGCTCAAAGATCAGCATCCTGTATTCCGAGTGTTACGAGAAGGACCTGGGAGTGGAGACCGCACCATTTCCCATGCCTAGAACCAAAACTAATCGATCGGACGCGAGTGGTCGCCTGTATGGTGTGAAGGACTTTTACACTGTCACCTCTGGACAAGCTGCCCACTCGTTCGAGCCATTCTGGTTTCGGTGTTTTCGCTATGTTCAACTCGAAATATCCACAACTGATAATCCAATAATATTGACGAACATCTCGCTGCGACAAACTTCCTACCCACTAGAGATCACCACCAAAGTTGACGCTGGTGCCGAGCTCAACAAGATCTGGGAGATCAGTCTCCGAACACTCCAGAACTGCCGCCACGAGACATACGAAGACTGCCCGTTCTACGAGCAGAACCAATTCGCATCCGATTCTCGACTACAGATGCTGTTCACCTACCAATTATCCCCCGATGACCGTCTCGCCCGCAAGACTCTCGAGGAGTTCCACGCTAGCAGAACACCAGACGGACTGATTATGGCACAGTATCCGACTGGCTTCGCTTCTAAGCAGATCCCGCAATTCTCCTTATTCTGGATCCTGATGGTACATGACCATATGATGTACTTTGCGGATAGGACACTAGTGCGCAGATACCTAATCACAGTGGATAGCATCATTCAGCATTTCGAGGATCGCCTTGACGACCGTGGTCTAGTTGGCCAGTTTGACCCCGATACGTGGCCGTTCGTCGATTGGGTGCAGGATTGGTTTGTTCCGGGGCAGATCTTCAAGTCCTGTATGCCTCCGGCGTATCATACGGCGGGTGCGGCTACTGTCAATAGTTTGATGTATGCGTATGCCCTACTACATGCGGCGGAGCTGTGCGAATTTGTCGGGCGGATAAGCACGGCGGAGGAGTATCGGGCGCGGATGCACAGTGTCCGGAGTGCCGTGAATCAGCGCTGCACGTCTACCTCCCAGTTATACTTGGACGGCCCTGGAGTGGAGCAGTACAGTCAACACACACAAGTGTTCGCCATCCTCAGCGAAACAGTAACAGGAGACGCCGCAAAGCAGCTCCTCAGACAGACCGTGGCCGACTCTTCCCTCGCACAATGCTCATACGCCATGAAATTCTACGTCTTCCGAGCAGCAGAAAAGACAGGCCTATACAGCGAACTATTTCCCAGCATGCTAGATCCATGGCGGTCCATGATGGCCAATAATTTAACGACATGGGCAGAGGATGAGGTGAACGCCCGCAGCGACTGTCATGGGTGGAGCGCAAGTCCGGTGAACGAGATCGTCACGCAGCTGTTCGGGGTGAAGCCTGCCGAGCCAGGCTTTGAGCGGGTCCGCATCGAGCCCCGAAGGGAATTAGTGGCTGCAGCTGATGGTTTGTTGCATACCTCTCGGGGGAATATTAAGGTGCAGTGGGCCCCGGGGAAGCCGCTAATTGTCGAGGCGACGAGTAAGATTCACGTGGAGATTGTGGTTGATGGTCGGGTGGTTGAGAGGGTGTTGGGTCCTGGGGAGCCTCTCACTTTTGCTGGGTAGGGATGTTGTGGTACGTAGTAGAAGTATATATGTATTTGATAGATGAATGAATAAAAATGTACGTACTTACATTTTGAGCCCATGTCTTCGATTAAGATACTGCAAAGAGAATAGGTGGTCGAGTTACCTCAATGGAGGATTCAGACATGAACCTTGTGAGAGTTCATCCACCTCGGGCCCAAGCTGATCTGCAGAACGCGTGGAGATGCACTGAATCAGCGTTCTGTTCCATGGAAATCTTGCCCCCTAATTGTCGATCCAGGCCCGGAATTGCCGACATCAAGGAGGGTCCGGTTTTCCCGCTTCCTCGGAAGACGTTCTGATTGCTTTCGAGTCCTCCCAGGCTGCCAGGTTGTACCCCATGGGGTAGACCCGCCCTGCCCATTAATGGGGCATGGGTTCTAGCTATATTTCCCCTACGCCGCGTTGCATGTCCGGCATCAGACAATTGCAGCACACCCAGGACTTGGTCAGCAGCAGAGTCCACAATTGAGTGACAGTATGTCCACCGATCAAAAGTCGGAGTCGAGCCATCTCGAGGTAGTGGACCAGCAGGTACGTCGACAAGACACTGGAACCCTGGAGATCCACGACCCGGCTAGCCAGCATGGCCGTTCGACATGGCAGGCACTCCGGGCGAATCCGGTCGTGGTTCTGTTCTGTCTGTATGGCAATATCGGGGCGTTGATGTATGGGTTCGATAACCTGGTTCTGTCGCTGGCGCTGTCAATGACTGCTTTTGAGTGAGTATTCCTCGCTATAGCATTGGTAAGAATATAGACAGTCGCTTACGGTATGACTGTACAGACAAGCATTCGGAACGCTCACGAACGGGTCATACGTGATCCCCGCATACTGGCAGTCCCTATGGAACGCCCTTTCGCAAGTCGCGACGATGCTGGGATCAACAGCTGCGGGTCCCATCCAGGACAGATTCGGACGTCGAGCAGCATTCCTCGTCGCGGCGTGTCTGTCTGCTGCTGGCATTGCAGTCGTGTATACGGCGTCGACTCCGGGCGTCTTTCTCGCAGGGAAGATTGTCAATGGCTTGTCGTTGGGTTTGGCTCTGACGACTGGGCAAACTTATATTTCGGAAATTACCTCACTCGAGGTGCGAGGTATTGCCCTTTCGGGGTATACCTTTTGCATGGTATGTTCCTTCTAGACATGAAGCAAGAGACAGTGATGTTGACAATGGGTCTCGTAGAACCTGGGATATCTGATCGCCGCATCTGTGGCTCTACCGCGAATGTCAATGTCCACCGACGCTGCATACAAGGTACGTAATTCATACTTCAATCCAACCCCATAAACTAACAAGTCAGGTTCTCTTCGCCTCCGGCTGGGTCTGGCCCGGTGTCATCCTCCTTTTTCTTCCATTTATACCCGAATCCCCATACTTTCTCGTGATGAAAGGCCAGCGCGAAAAGGCTGGCCGCATGCTATCCCGATTAGGCAATCCTGCCTCCGAGACGCCGCTCATTCTCGCAGACATAGTCCGCACACACGAAGAAGAGCAACAACGCAACGAAGCAGCCAAGGAGGCCAGCTTCCTGGAATGTTTCAAGGGAGTCAACTGGCGCCGCACGCGGATCATCCTCTATTGCAATGCTCTGTCGCAAGTGATTGGGTCCAGCTTCATGACTAACGGGCCGTACTTTCTCGTACAAGCGGGCATGTCCTCTGCTAAGACGGGAATGATGACGGAGATAGGTATTGCGTTTGGGATTGCCAGTTCCCTGATCACGGGGTACGTGATGACCGTTTGTGGGAGACGAGCGCTGGTCATGTTCGGCATTGGGCTCTCGACGACGCTGTTCACGGTTATGGGAATTGCAGGGTGTTTTCCACACTCGAGTCCGGCGTTATGGTATGCCATCCCCTTTGCCTCTCTCCAGGTGAATACTAACATAGGTATAGGGTGGTCGGCATCTTCCTCGAACTCTCCTGGTGGGTATACGGTCCCGCCATCGGCCCAGCCATGGCCATTGCAGGTGAAGTCTCGTCAGTGCGACTGCGCGCCAAGTCACTGGCCATCGGCTTCACATTCAACTATTTCTTCTCGACGGTGTGGAACGTGGCGATGCCGTACCTATATAACAGTGATGAGGCAGATCTAGGTGGATTGATCGGGTGGATCTTTGCGGGCATGGGAGCTGTCACAATGTTGATTCTGTTCTTTGAACTGCCTGAGACTAAGGGGAGGAGCTTTGAGGAGCTGGACGAGATGTTTGCGGCGAGGGTGCCGACGAGGCAATTTAGAAGGTATCAGTGTGAGGTTGGGTTGGGGTATGCGCGGAAGGTAGTGCATGATGGGGAGGATTAGTAGTGATGTATACGCAGGACTAGCTCGAATTAGTATGTTGGTTTTTTTACTGTGTATGTTTGGTAGGTTTGTTCATTATCATCAGCTGCATCGTGGATGTCTAAAGTTGATGCTGGGCTGAGTAATGGCAGTTCTCGTGGCCCATGGAGATGGATGACCCTGTGATTTATAAGTAAAGGTAGTTAGGTTTGCTACGGCTTGTTAGTTTGACGGCCAACGGTCTATTCTGCTCATCTACTTGGCACGTCACAAATCGAAAACGAACTTATATAGGTACAGGCGCGTCGGGCAAGAGATCACCAGGTAAAGCTCTCCTCAATATAATCCAACTGGGTACGGCCCTGGCGCTGTCGGCAAGCCCGGCGGACATCATCACTCAGGCCACCATTGCCACAGACCATTACGCCCATGGCCCCGATCTGATTCTCAATTTCCATCTGGACGAGCGTGCCCACATCTGGCCGGCCCGGGAACATCTGCACGGTCGCGCTGGGACTTCTGATCTCACGGGGGTTTCTCGGGCGCGTCACGAACAGCTGGATCCGCAGCACATCGCGTCGACCTTCCATGCCTAGGATCGTGGTCATCCACGGTCGGATCCAGTCTAGGTGCTCTGGAGATTGAATGACCCATACGAGAGTGACACGTCGGGCAGCGACGGTGCCATCGCTGTATCCTTGCACCAAATGGCGGATGAATGGCAGGCAGTGTGTGATGCCAACTCCACCGGCAAAGAGGAGAACAGTGCCGTACGAGTCAAGCGAGTGGAGGTTGCCATAGGGTCCCTCGACAAAAGCAGTGACCGGCATGGCTGCCGTGGAGATATCCGTCGTAGTTGACCGCGGCGAAGTGCTGATCGTGTCCGGGGGCAAGCGGGTGCGCGCGTAAGCAAATGCTTCCGTAAACATCTTGTCCGTAAATCCGGTCCGACGTCGCACGAGCAGGGAAACCGTGTTGACCTTGCGAGACTCCAGCCCAGGTTGGCCGTGGTCATTGCCCATCTCCACCTCGGCCATCTTCTCGTTGTAAGACCCAAGCAGTGTCTGGCCGGTCTCGCCCCAGGCGATGGAGAAGGGGTGTGAGGTCCAAGCCCCGAGTTTCGGGATGTAGACGAAACAGTACTGGCCCGGCGAGAAGGTCCAGGGACGAGCGAGTTGCAGGGTGACGCGGACGGCGTCGCCAGGCAGCGCCTCCAGATAGGCGGTTGTGCGGCGACCAAAGCCATAGTTGCGGTAGATCAGGATCAACAACCGCGCAAGTCGCTGAGCCGCAGTTAGCCGATGTTTCTAATTTCGGACGAACATCCGCAGCAAGGAGGTCTTACCTCAAACGCCCAGAAGGCGATGGCGGCGTAAAGATAGTAACGGCAGGAGTAACGGTAGACATGATGCCAGAGAAATCCCACAGCCACACAGGCCAGCCCAATGTGAAGGTGGAGGAAAGTCTCGTAGAAGGCATGTCGAATGGGAGAAGGGGATTGAACCAGAATGACGAGCATAGCCACCATCCCCTATAGGCCAAGACATCAGCGATTCCGTTGTAGTAGGAATTATGGGGACGTACCATGAGACCATTGAACATGAAGGGTTTCGACAAGGTGCCGAGTGCGGTTGACCACCCATCTGCTCAACATTAGCCCTTGGAACCCAGGAAGCTAGAATAGACCTACAAGTTTGCACTTTGGGCACTCCCCAGGCAATGACATGGGCCAGCCCCTCCAACACGACGATGCGGCCCAACCACCGATGCAGCAGATTCCAGGTGTCGAACGAAACGCGCAGAAGCGGGATCAGGGGGTTGTTGCGGCCAGCCATGACCAGTAGGGGGAACAGATTGGCGGTGGCCATGTAACCGGTTCGGTTACGAATAAGCTCCGCAACAGTTGATTCCTTTGATCCATAGGGCACAGTGTTGGTGCACAGCACAATATTCATGACAACGATGACGGTCAGGAGAAGGGTATGGAAGCGGCTGGGCAGGGTGCCCATGTTGACGGCGCGGGAGAGTTGCCATTCCTGGTTATGTCGAGAGCGTAGCAGCGGCGCATCCAAAAGGTGTCGCTTCAACCAGGCCACATGGAAATTGGGAATGCGATGGTAGGACTGGCGGTGGTCGGTAAAACTGGCGAGGCGACGCAGGTGGGCAGAGAGACGGCCGGAGGACTGCCAGGCGAAGACAACCACAATCATACAGGCCAACACCCAGAGATTGGCATAGCAGAGGGTGTCATTGAGCATGGCATACCACAAGTCGGAGCCCATGGTGGATCAGTGTTAGCGTCACGTTGGATGAGAAGAGAAATGAAAGGACGAATCCCAGCGTGTAGAGAATGAAAAGATGCAAGATAAAAAGTCAACTCAGTGGACCAGCCACGATGGCAAACAGCAATGACCCTGGCTGGGGGCAAGAAGCGAAGAAGAAAAACAAATGAAGGACTGCGAACAGAGATAAAATTAAAGTTAACGATCGAAAGAATGGAGCAGAGAAAGAATGGACGCAAGGATAGCCGGGATGGAGAACGAGCGGATCTCGCCGGTCAAATACTATCTACTAAGTAAGGAACTACATGGAGGCGCAAACGGATCGGCGGAGATGACAGGGTGGTTGGGATGCCATCAGAGCGCCAGATAAAGCAGATGACCGACCCTGTCAGCGGGGGTGGTGCAGAGGAGTAACTCCTCTACTAAAATTCTGAATCTTCATGATAGGCTTGGGGGGGAGGGCATGCAAGGGGTGGAGAGTGCGCCGAGACGAGTCAGTGGCGGGCAGTCGACAGCTCTGCTGCCTCATCAACTCGAGACGCGCAAGAATAGTGGCTACCAAGGCCCAAGCCAGCCGGTGATCCCTCGTCCAATCAATCGGGCGAAGAAAGCGACCGGCGCCTAGCCCAACGGTCTTGGTTTCACGATCAAATTGGCTGGGGGTGAGGCGTGGGTCACGGGTAGGGCTGGTTGCCTCTGTCTATTCTTGTTCTGCTTGACAAATCATCTCGTAATAATCCCCTCAACCGAGAGCAGTCCAAGGGAATCGAAGATTGAGTAGAAATTCAGGGTTAACATTACCTAGTATAGGGTTCACTAACAATGCAATGGCTTGCCTGCACGGAACAGAAATGCGCGCTAATCAGCTAATTAGCTGATAGGGTCCAACAGGGATGAGTTAATCGACGATCCCAGTCAGCGCCAACTTAAACAAACCACACCTGAAGAATTCTGCATCTCCCTGTCATCTCTTCCTCGAAACAACACCCCCTCTCACCTCGTCGGCTATAAGTATAGCCAGCTGACAGCTTGGCAAGACTCCAGGCGGCAACAAAATCCGAATGTCTTGGAGTGCTGAAACCACCAAGAATGCTTGTCTGCCAGTGAAGCCGTGGGTGGATCCCGGCGGGGGAATGTCCCACTGGCCCATTGTCGGCTGCCCCTGACAGCCACCACGCCATATAGATGGGTTTCCACCCTTCAATTTATTTACGGCAAGAATCTCTATTTTTTCTTGCTCGCCGTGAGTAGTTTATCCGACCGCTCGTTGCTAAGAAAAGAGTCTCATGAGACGTTATGGAGCCCGAAAACAACGCCAGTCGCCCGACCGTGAGAACTGGACCCCCCCGAGAACCACATTCCCCACGCGTTGGAGAATCCTCTGTCTTACTAAAATTGTGGCCAACTGAATCACATAACACTTCGAGAATCCGCTCGTTGGTTTCCTCACTCTGTCTTCGTCACAAGCAAATGTGATTCTGACGAGAACGTCCATCCTCTGGATCTCACAGGGGAGAGGGCTGCAGCAACAAATAGCTGCTTGAGACCACCAAGGTACTAGATTCAAAACGTGCGAAGTTAGTTGGTTGTCTGCAGGGGCCGATACGAAGCAACATCTCATTGGGCTGGGTTCAAGGTCATGCTCTAAGCACAGGTGCAAGTTACAGGAGGCGCCATCGCGACCAATTCCACCCCAGCGGCTGTTCGCTTACAGCGGAAAGCCTGCTACAGTAGGTGTTGTATATGGATACAGCTGCGAGTCATGAGACATGCCTGCGCCGCGATCCACATGTGGGTGTTGGGATGACAACGACAAAAGTCATGATCTTGCCTAAGGACTTATGAGGACGCGCTTTTCTCCGTTGGTGATATCTGCACATTGCCCCCGGCACTGTTTTGACTGCTGTTGGCTTGGTTGAAGCCGGCAATGCTCATCTAAGACATGGGAGGTTACAATTGCCTCGCCGGAGTCGATGCCAGCGGATATTCGTGGGTGAATAAGCCATCTACGTGATACCTGTCGCACTGTCGACAAGCAGCAGTACTATCATCAACGCTTGCATGGTTGTCATATATGGGAGAGGCCCTGCCGATAGATGTTTGGCCACTGCCAGGATATAGTTGACGCTTGAGCAGAAATGGGGTCAAATATATGTCCCAAGGACCAAGCGAGCTCAACATACTATATAGCAGTGAGCCTGCAGCCTGGATAGACCAGTAGAATAATTCACCACACCATCCTGCTGCACTCAGCTTCCTAGTCGTTCAATTTTGAGACGCCCCACGCTTCTGAACGAATCCCGGAGAATGCTGCCAGTCTCCTCTGGCATGAATGCCTTGTATTGCAGGCAAGACACAGGATGAGTCATGCCTGAGGAACCGGGTGTAAACGCCAAGCCGCCCAATGGGCCCGCGCGGATAATGCAGGCCAATCAATGTCGATATCACCAGCGAACTGTCGGTGTTTCCACCGAATCAGAAGGACTAGTTCTGGAGGGGAGAGACCTGACAAGGATGTATGACTGTTCAATAAGATGACTACAGATAAAATAAATCCTCCAACACATGCTCCTATCCCATCATGACAAACTCATTGCTTCCACCACCTAAAAACCGTGAAACTTACGGTCCTACAACATGACAGCTGCGCGACCGCTTGGACCGCCAGTCGATCTGACCCCCGCCCAGTGGCCCTCGCCAACCATTCTCCGCGGGCGATACATCCAGCTCGAGAAGCTACAACCCAAACATGCCAACGATCTCTGGGACCGAATCGGCGGAGCCGACCCAACGCTCGCCTGGCTATGGGACTATATGCTAGACGGACCTTTCACTCAGCGCTCGGCTTTCGAGCAATCCATCACCTCCCGGTCCGATTCCACCGACCCGTTCTACTTCGCCGTGATCGACGAACGTGCCTCCAGCCCCAGCTGCGGCAAAGCCATCGGATTCCTTTCGCTCATGCGGATTACCCCGGCACATTGGACCGTGGAAATCGGGAGTGTCATGTTCTCCCCGGTGCTGCAACGCACTGCGGCTGCCACTGAGACGATCTATCTGCTAGCGCGGTATGCCTTTGACGAGCTGCACTATCGTCGAGTCGAGTGGAAATGCAACGCGCTCAATGCCACTTCCCAGAGGGCGGCCCGGCGATTGGGGTTCGTCTATGAGGGTACCTTTCGGCAGCATATGGTGATCAAGGGTCGAAGTCGGGATACCGCTTGGTTTGCGATGGTGCGTGATGACTGGGAGGAGGGGGCTAAGGAAGCGCTGGAGCAGTGGCTGGAGGAGGGGAACTTTGATGAAGACGGTCGGCAGAGGAGGGGTCTTCAGGATGTCCGGGAGGCAGTGAAGAAATCGAGATCTGTAGAGTAACAGAACATGGTGCCAAGGTTGGCTAGAGCGATATCATAGATATGAGGACTTGTGTGGTGGTCAGTTTAACCTGCATCTAAGATAGATTTAATTCCCAATGTGTTCAGTTTTAGGTAAATATTAGTATATAGCAATGACCGTTCAAGGCGGTATTCTGCTTCTGTCTTTCCCGTTCTATACTACTTAGACGCACTGCACTCCATTCCGCAAACACGAAAAGGTCACAGTCACGCTTGAAATTCTTGCTACTTTTATAACCTATTCCCACTCTTTGAAACTCATCCCCCCTCTCCGCTTTATTCAACAGAAGCCACCAGACCCTGGAACTCCGACCCAGCGCGGTGAAACCATCCACATCTAGTACACGATCTATAATCGTTCCAACTTCCAGGAAGCCCCGGGGATATATTTGAGTAGGGAATGGGCTTTCCGAGCCATAGCTGTTTCTGGGGGCCCATAAGTAAGACAAGTGGAGGAGTAGCTCAAGAGTGGATATACTACTGTATAGTTCTGGATTAAACTGAACCTTGGGCGGATGCAGAAGAAGAATCGTGATAGAGGTATGTGTGGGAATGTGAGAGAGATAGTAAGCGTGGCAGTGCAAGGGATCGTCACTTGTCACAACGTGGCTGAGCTGCGATCTGGGATAGCATGTGACTTCGATACGATTGCAATCATTGCATCTTACTAAAGTGCGAAGTCTTTCGATCAATCTCTCCCATGGCGAGGACAGCTCCAATGCCTTTATCTTTGGACTGATGTTGATGTGGTATTTCGGGCAGGTCTCTGCGAAAGACACCAATGGGTGGAAATGGGGTTATTAGGGAAGACATAGTGTGTACAAGTTAATGGACCCTAGATTGCTCGGTGACGTCCTTGAGAGGAGATTGTAGGATTAAGACGGAATCAGGAAGGTAAAGAAGACCACCTAAACCTGGACAGACAACAGAAACTGGCAAACAGATCATAGGTAGAATAACTAGTTTTTATTTCGCATCGCATATTTCATATCTTCATATTAGAACATGTACATTTATAAATTTCCTTCAACCTTGGCCACTGCGCTCATCAAGTCTTGTACTCCCTTCTTCGCACCCTCCGCCGGCTCCTCATACGGTGTCCGGGGCTTCAGCTTCTCCTCTGCCCCCTCAATACCTGCCGCACGAGCCGAGAAGATCGCAGCTGCGTACTTGGTGGCAGCAATTCCACTCTTGCAGGGGCTCTCCGCCAGCGCTGCCTGGCGCTGCAGCTCAACTGCCTCCTGAATTTTACCAGCAACATAAAGATCATAAATCTTCGACGCCGTCTTCGGAAACACATTGGCAAAAGCAGCAATGCACCCAGCAGAGCCCGCAGCCAGACCACCGATCAAGAAATCTGACTGACCACCATAGATCGCGAACTCCTCCTTAGAGAAAGTGGCTGCTAGCCTGGTAATCTTGCCCACCGATCCACATGTCAACTTGACACCCACCACATTCGAGACCCCATTACCGCTCGATGCCGCAGACTCGCGCACGATGGCGGTGATGGTCTCCGAGTCCAGATCCACACCGTTACAGACACCCGGGAAGTTGTACACCACGACGGGCAGGGGACTCTTGCGCGCGACGTCAGCAAAGAAGCGCTTCACGACGGCCGGAGTCGTGGCTTTGCCAAAGTAAGCGGGGGGCAGGACGAGGATGTAGTTGGCGCCCGCGGCGGCGGCGTCTTCGGCCAATTCGAGCACTTGCTTGGTGGAGTGGGCACCGCAGCCGGCCATGAGGGGGTAATCGGGGCCAACGGCGGCACGGGCCGTGGCGATGAGTTGGGCGCGTTCTTCGCGGGTGAGGAGGAAAGCTTCGGAGTTGGTACCGAGGATGACCAGACCGGCGAGGCCGGTCGTGGAGAGGTACTGGTAATATTTCTTTTGGGCGTCGAGGTCGAGGGTGTCGGTGCTATGGTCGAAAAAGGTCACGGCGGGGCACCAGACGCCGGCTTTGGGGATGCGAGGTTGAGGGGTGACGGCGACGGAGGAGCCCATGGTGATGCTGAGGTAGTATCAATTCTATGTGATAAGTCTTTAGGAAATAAGGGTATCAATTGAGTGAGTATTCTGTCAATGACGTGCTGGTGGGAAGCTGATTATATACTTGAAGGCTGCGGGGACGGAAAAGAATCCGATCGGGATGTCTTCCCGAATACTTATCAGCGGGCAATCAGTCCGAATGCTGTTTGACACTCAACGATATCGGAGTGAGTGCGGGGGTTACAACTGAGGGGTTGATGAGGCGGTTATTTGCATTTAAACATGGTTAGTATATGCGCCGGACTCCACTGAGTTGCGTTGTAGTGGCTGCAACGGTGGTGGCAACTACTGTTAAATATATCGCCTGGGAACAGTGGTACTTGCACCCTCCACATTCACATTTTCCAGATACTAATGCATAGGAGATGGAACCTAAATATCAGATAGCATGACCTACCCACCATCTGCTAAACACCGTATACTCGAAATAGAAAGCAGCAATACAGAAATGGCCCCCAACTGCAAGGGTCCAACATCAGCCACGGCAACGCCTCAGCCTAGTCTTAGCGCCGTCATCCTGCACCGCAGCTCTCTCCAAATGTCCTCATCTTACGAAGTCACCTCCAAGCACCCGATAGACACTCACATGGGACGATAGTAACCGAAATACATGGCTACTATCATGACACCCTAGATATTGTTCGTCTGTCGCCAGAGACACCAAACGTTACCTCACCAATCCTGGCTCCCGCTAGGATACGAGACATCAGCCGGCCATGGCTCACGGCTGGACATCTCCCAGCGCCCCGAGTTCCACCGCACTCCTGGCAATAACCTCAGTATTTACCGTGACTTCTCTATCGGCCGTGACGCTTCGATTTTACGCGCGAAAATTAGCGCGACTGGACCTACTCGCAGATGACTGGCTAGCGCTTGCTGCACTGGTAAGCAAGCCTGGCACTGCCCAATAACCAACTAGCTATGTTGCAATCAAAGTATCTCACATTCTACACAGATATGCACCTTGGTTTACAATAGTACTCTACTAGCAGGAACATCCCGCGATATCATCGCAAACTACACCCACCCCACAGCTCAAACTGAAGTTGCAGCAAGGAAATATCAACTCGCCCTTCAAATCATCGAGATCATCGCCCTCGGCCTGACCAAGCTGAGTTTCTTCACTTTATGGAAACGCGTCTTCAGTACCCATCCTGTTCATCGACTATGTACTTTCCTCATCGGCGCAGTAACGCTGTGGATGGTTGCATTCATCCTCGCAACGATTCTCCAGTGCGGGGGTCATGTTTCTCGTATTTGGTCATCGATAGAGGATGTTAATAACAGTAACACCTGCGCAAGCGCAAACAGGGGTATTCTACTAACGGTGTATACAATCACCGATCTCATCACAAACATACTAATCACAATCATTCCTATCTTTGTTATTGTCGGGTTGAATATGCGGATAGGGAGGAAGATAGGGATGATGGGGCTTTATATTGTTGGTATCTAGTATGTCCTATTCCTCTCCCATGCCCATCTCTTTTCTTCCCGGGGACTTGTACTAATGAAAGTGATGCATAGCATAACCGGGATTTCCATCACAAGGACATATTTCACGATAGTCCTGTCATACAACAGCAATGAGGAAGAGAGAAGGTTATCTTTCATGCATGAATTCACTTTACTAGCTCTGTGGGCTGTGGTCGAGGTAAATGTGGGGATCCTGGCTGCGTGTGTTACGGTTGTAACGCGGGGTGTGAGAGAGGTCTACGCTGGTGAGTATTTTATTCTAGTCTTGGAAGGGTATAATGTGCTGATTATGACTACTAGATAAACGGAAGAAGAAGTTCCATATGTTATCCGGGGTGGCGTTAAAGGGGGATCATGACGGTGTGGGTGATGAAGAGGCACAAGGATTTCAAATGAGAGATGTGGTATAGAATGTGGAGGTCAGTTGGACCTGTGGGTGGTGTATACTACGATAATGATACTATATACCCTTTCCGATTTACCAGGCAATAGATGGTTGCCCATTTTGACCTTTTTTTGATTTTCTACATCTCTTATATTTAATAGCTCATGCAGGTGAATGTCGCTCCATAATCCGAAATGCTGCGCAAGCCATGCGTCGTCACCAACCAAACTATAATGATGCACCCGAGATCTCATAGTTCGTCGTAAGTGTAGGTTGAAACCCCAATCAGTGCTAGACTTGTCAGCAAGGTCCTCATCAAGATCTCTCTCTAATGACAGAACATACCGTGATGTCCTCCCACTTCTCCCATCCGCGTCCGCGCACTGCAGCCAAGTCTTCTGCTGTGACATTCTTCCCGGTTGTGAAGTAGCCAGCATTGATCTTCGCATCGATTTCGACGCGCGAATCCGTCGGGATCATCTCGTCTGGGATCGGGATACGCTCCAGGATCTTGATTCCCGACTCGACGATGGCGTCGTGCTTCATGTTGGACATGGATAGCATGCGGTCGATCTTTTTAATGCCGAGCCAGTGCAAGATGTCTGGCATCAGCGCTTGGAAGCGCATCTAGAATCAGAGTTAGTCGGATGTTCTATTCTGAGGTTTGGTAAACAGCTTACATCTCTAACACCGGCAATGTTCTCCGTCCGCGTAAAGTACTTGTCGGCAGTGTCGCCGCCGCGCTTGCGGGCATTGTAGACCAGGTACTTGATCACCTCACCCAAGGCCCGACCTTCCTTTCGGAAGTAGATGACCACTCCACTACCTCCACTCTGGGCTTCGCGAATCGCCTCCCGAATACCAAAGGCAAGGTACGGTCGGCATGTGCAAATATCCGATTGAAAGACATCACTGCCGTTGCATTCGTCGTGAATACGCAGTGCTAGTTTCACATTCTCGTCGGACACCCGCTCCGGTGGCCCAAAGATATACACCGTCAGGCCTCCAATGGGAGGGAGGAAGATCTTCAGATCGGGCCGGGTGATCAGCTCGGGATAACTTCCGCCCGTATGCTCGAATAGTGTCCGTCGCAGCGTCCCCTCATCAACTCCGAACCGCTCTGCAACACCAGGCAGATACCAGACCGGTTCGACGGCGACTTTGGTAACGCGCACTTCACCGGAGGAGTCAACCACAATGGAGCCGTCCACATCAAGTTTCCCCTCCTTCACCGCGTCGGCGATTTCCGCAAAGTTCATGTTCGCGCGGGTCACCGCCATTGTGGGGCGGATATCCCAGCCCTTGCTTAGCTCGTCCCGGAACTGGTTAACAATGTCATGTCCCCACGGGTCCATAGACACAATCTTGGTCTTATCGGCCCAGGCAGGCTGCCATGGGAAGTTGAATGTAGGTTGACTGTTGCTGAGGTCAGGACGGAAGTTCGGTTCCAAATCACCGGCGGCAATGGCGAGGGCGTTGTAGATGCTGTAACTGCCACCATGAGCGCCCATAGCATTCCGCCGCTTGAGTAATGCGGAGCTACGGGAGACAACGACGGGGCCGCGGGATTTAGCATCTGGGGCGCCCCATTCGAGCGGGATGGGGTCGATGCCACTTTGGCCGGGGTAGGTGGTCAACTAGCTCATAAGGTTAACGATTCTTGCCCACACCAGTCGGACACTGCTCCACAAACTTACCACAATATGCTTACTGTAACGAGAGTTGGAGTGAGTGGGCGAGGTTGGGGTAGTCGGTGACTGGGCTGTCGCCTCGTCGGACGTGGGCTTGATGGAGGTATCGGTCTCCAACATGGTGCTGGATGACGATGCGGGAAAGGAATAGGCTGTGAAGAAACAGGGGAGATGGGATGAAGAGGATGAAGAAGGGAAGAGAGAAGAGCGAGATAAAATGAGGAGAGGAGGGGACAAGAAAACAGGGCGACGATGGGTGTCGCTGCATGCCAGCTGCATGTGACTTGGGCCCGAATCTCAATCTTACGGCCTCATCTCTCCCTCATTCTCCGCACTGCCTCCTTATCGTTCACGCCCCCCTGGCCTGGCCTTATCTATCCCCGGTTTGGGTCAGGTGTAGACTGAACCATGGTTATCGGGTCTATCATACCGGTTGTCTTGCTAATTTAAAACGAGATCATAATGGAACAACAGCCAGATCGGCGGTTATTTTGTTTTTGCAATCCGACTCGCGGTCAAGTTGCGGATGCACGATGACGCCGAGGGCGATGCGGATGATCGACCCCTCATTCCGGTCCGGTTGGAGTTCCGCGGGGAAGCGCGGCGAAAATGCTACAAGGGAGCTGAGGTACTAGCTACTTCGGCCATCATCTCCAATGAATGAGCGACCGATTCCATGGCTACGGGTTCTCCTTCCATGCTTAGCCGAATTGTGGCATCGTTGGGACACCGAATCACGAGACTCCCCCGGGTCACATGGCCCTCCCCTGTCTGGCTGCCGGTAAGGAACTATGTCATGGTTGGCTGGAAATGATGACCCGAAACCACCCAAAACACCCATAGGTTGAGCAAGCAACTGGTATCTATTAATCTGACTTTCATTTGAACACAAAGAAATCCTCATAACTCTTCATAAGCAATCCACATTGCACCATAGTCATATCTTATTCCAATCTCTTCCAATCAACCCGGTTGAGCAGCCGCCATCGGACAGCGGCGTCGCGTCGAGGGTTTGTCGGACACGCTCTACCGGAAGCCGAGCTGAGCACGTGAGCTCTTGATCGTCTTCTTGATAATGTCTTCCACCTCGTCCCAGTCCTTGGTGTCAATCCGCTGGATGTTAGTGTTGAAGTATCGCTGAATCTGGTTGAGCATCTCCCACTCTTCCCGGTTGGACACGAAAGAGATGGATACACCCACGCGGCCGAAACGTCCTGTACGGCCAATACGGTGCAGGTAGGTCTGGAAGTCGGCCTGTCGTTGACGGGCGCCGGGTTGGTGCAGCTCAGGGATATCCTATCCACAGAAAAATGCATCATTAGCAATGAAACTCATGATCATCATGTAAAGGACACGGCTTACGTAGTTGATAACCATGGACACAGTGGAGACATCGATACCACGGGCAAGCACGTTGGTCGTAATCAAGACCTTCGCGTGTCCGGCACGGAATTGGTCAATGACTGCGTCACGCTGCGATCCTTCAATGCCACCGGTCAGGGATGCCACGGTGTGACCCTCGGCAACCATGCGCTTTTCGATCTCCTGGGCAGAGGCACGGGTCTAATCCTGCGTTAGAGTAACTGCCTTGCCGTAGAGGATGTGTACAAACCTTGACGAAAATGATGGACGAGCCGACGGTGAGCAGACCGTAGAGGTTGACAAGAGTCTGGTACTTGTCCTCGTCATTCGAGCAGTCCAGGTACAGCTGCTTAATACCCTCGACCGTCAACTCCTCATGCTGGAGGGTGATCTCGTTGGCCTGGGGGGCGAACTTGGATGCATATTCGTGCACGTGAGCAGGGAAGGTAGCCGAAAAGAGCACGACCTGAATATCTCTAGGCAAGAGACTGAAATAGACGTTAGCACGTATGGCGTAAAAAGTGAACATAGAGCAACCTACGCCTTCACACGGATACATTGGTCACCCAGACCCTGCTGGTCGAGCATGTTGTCGGCCTCATCCAGAACAAGCACGCGGAGCTTGTTCGCAACCATGATGCGCCTCTTGATCATGTCCATCACAGTTCCAGGGGTACCCACAACGACGGAGCACTCCATCTTGGCGGGACGAGCGCCAGTATCTGCCGGCACGGCGGTACCAATAACGAGCCCATCAAGGAACTGGCCCATCACTTGGATGACACCAACAATCTGACGAGCCAGCTCTCGTGTGGGGGCCAAAATCAACGCCTGGGGGGTCTTTTGCAACTGCTCCGACGAGAGGTCCAAGCGACTGAGGATGTTCAGGACGAAGGCCGCAGTCTTTCCAGTACCGGACTGGGACTGACCGACCAGATTCTTCGCGGGGTTGCCAAGTAGCAGCGGGAGGGCCCTCTCTTGGATCTTGGAGGGTTTCCGGAAATTCATTGCCGACAATCCCTGGAGGATGCGAGGGTCCCTGATTTCACGACGGGTTAGCACCGTATTTTAGCAGTATAACAACCGAAATTGACGGATGCACGCACAGGCCGAGATCTTCAAAGTTCTTCACGGAGAAAAGGGGGTTATTCGGATCGGCCTGGAGATCGCTGAGCTTGACTTCAACGGTGTAGTCAGGCTCATGAAGGTCGGAGCCACCCTGTTGGGCGGCGGCGCCATCGGTCTGAGGAATATCTTCGGTCTGTTCGGAAGCTTCTGCAAGAAATGATCGCATAAGTCAGGGTCCAACAGGGTCTGGTAAAAGAGTGACATGGAAGTGAAACGAGCGGTGGCATAGAAGTAGACTAGTATCGTACCGGTAGGGGCAGATTCCTCGGGCTTGGTGATGCGGTCCGCAAGAGAACCGGCAGCGGGTTCTTCAGACGCCATCCTGATGATGTACAGAAGAACTGTGAAGGAAGTATAGGTAAGAGGTTAGGGAAGATATTTCGGATGCAAGTTGTTGTTCGTGTTTCCCAGACGGAGGGGAGATGGCGGGGTAATTAACAGCGCGCTGAAACAGGAATCAACCGCTCAACACAGGAAATGAAGCGCACACGAGAAAAGAATGACACGTTCACCACGGTGCCCAGTTAGATGATGGAAGAGGAAGGGCGATTGATCGTTCAACACCCAGGCAAAGCAGCAATGGCTAAGGGAAGCCCCATCACCATGACGGTCGAAAAACCAACGCGGCTGACCGCCTTGGATCGACACTAGGCCTGTTTGGGCCAGCAGCCGAGTAACTGCAGTCTAACCATATCAGGAGGCGGTAAGAGTCGAGGGATACCATTTACGATACCATACGGTTGCCAGCCCAAATGGGGATGACGTAGGGAGCCTCCGACTAGGCAATGGAGGCTCAACGTGGCCTGACAGGCATCCAGAGGCTGTCCTGTATGGTCATCTTCCCCGCTTCCTCATCGTTCTCCAGCCATTCCAGCCGCGCCTGGCAACGATTCCTGGTTCCCCGATCCCCCCCTACCCACCATCCGGTTGTACGGACTACGGAGCACACACGGTCGCCAACGGCTGTTCCGCACGTGGAAGGTAAGTTAGGCTGCTCCATTCGCTCTCCTGGTTGGACTCGCGACTCGCTAGGTCGACGCAATTTTGAGTCTTCCATGTCGCATCTCCGCCTGTCTCCCTGCGGCGTGACCTCCGACAAGCTGACCATCTATCAGAATGGCTACCCCGGATGTCGCCCCTCACTTTGGGGCGGAGTTGAAGGTATGACATAACTCTGTCGCATCAACCCCAGATCCCAGCTAATCGAGGACCTTGGCAGGATTCGTTTAAACCGGTCAACAATTGGGTAGGCACTTACTTCCCTCTTCCCGCCTCCTTATCCCTTCCAGCTGAATACCCCGGATGATCGCCGAAATCTTATTCATCGAGAACTAAAGAGAATGCTTGCTAGGTGTCGAATGGTATCGGATGGCTGGATGAGATACAACAGTTTTACCGCGAGCGCAGCGCAATCGAAAAGGAGTATGCGGCAAAGTTAACGGCGCTATGCAAGAAGTACTACGACCGCAAAGCCAAGAAAATCAGCAGTTTGAGTGTCGGAGACACCCCTAGCATGACCCCGGGCTCCCTCGAAAGTGCCTCACTTACCACGTGGTCGACACAATTGAGCGCCGTGGAATCGCATGCCACTGAACGGGATCACTTCGGTAACGACCTGCTTGTACATGTCGCAGAACCGCTCAAACAAGCTGCGAACCAGTACGAAGAGCTCAGGAAGTGTCATGTTGATTTCCATGCCAAGCTCGAGAAGGAGAGGGACTCCTCGTACAGTGACCTGAAGAAGGCGAAGGGTAAATATGATGGCGCGTGCCAGGAAGTGGAGGCAAGGCGGAAGAAGATGGAATCTTCGTTCGACCACAGTAAGCCTAAGGCCCAGGCAGCGTACCAACAGCAGATATTGGAGATGAACAACGTTAAGGTCGGTTACTGCGATGATGCCAAAGACTATTGCTGACGGCAATGCAGAACACATATCTCATCAGCATTAATGTGACAAACAAGATGAAAGAGAGATTCTACCACGAATATGTGCCGGAGCTACTTGATGTAGGTGTGCTTTGACTGGTTGGATCCAATCTGCTAATATCCCGGGTAGGGCCTGCAAGACCTTAACGAAACGCGTGTAACGAAGCTGAACTCGCTCTGGACATTGGCCGCACAACTCGAGAAGAATTACCTGTCGAAGAGTATGGACCACATGGCAAACCTCATCAATGAGATTCCGCGCAACCTTCCACACTTGGACTCGCTCATGTTCCTGCGCCACAATGTCACACAATCACAGGAGCCGGCCAACATGACCTTCGAGCCGAGCCCAATCTGGCACGACGACGACGCTCTCATCACCGACGAAGCGGCCAAGGTCTTTCTGCGCAACCTGCTCAGCAAGAGCAAGACACAGGTGCGAGAGCTGAGAGTCGAGGCGGATACGAAGCGACGCGAGGTGGAAACCGCCAGACGGGTCCGGGAGAGCATCCGACAGGGCACGGACAAGCGCAACGAGGTGGAAGTTGTCCGATCTATATTCTTCCAGCAGGAGTCCCTGCATGAAGTTGACCGCAGGCGCCTGACTGCCGAGGTGGAGACGTCTACCATCATGTCGGCGGTGGGCGATCTTTCGCTCGGAGCGCGCAACCACAATTTCAAGTCGCAGACGTTCAAGATCCCGACCAACTGCGACCTGTGCGGAGAAAGGATATGGGGATTATCCGCCAAGGGCTTCGACTGCCGGGATTGCGGATACACCTGTCATAGTAAATGTGAAATGAAGGTACCGGCTGAGTGCCCGGGTGAGCAGACCAAGGAAGAAAAGAAGAAGCTGAAAGTGGAGCGACAAGAACAAGCCAACGCCGCCCCAGCACCACTTGATCTAGAACCAACCACGAGCTCATCCACTGCGCCATCACTCACCCGCAAGGACACAATGAATTCGCTGAGCTCCGGCTACGCCGTCAGCGCCAACCGATCTATGTCCAATGCCGCACAATCTCCCACCACGACCGCAGCGGAGCTTCCCACACCCGTCGCAGAGACCAAGCCCGCCCCAGCACGGAAGAACCGCATTCTAGCACCGCCACCGGCACAGTACATCAGTGGTCCGCCCGCCAATGACTCGGTGCCGGCGCTAAGCTCCAAGACCAACGAGCAGCATGGCAAGATGCTGTATGCATACCAAGCGGGCGGAGCTGACGAGGTGACTGTTCAAGAAGGGGACGATATCGTCATCCTGGAGCCAGATGGTACGCCATTTCCCACCTCTTACCCTGACGACACTAACCAAGTCATTATAGATGGTTCCGGTTGGATGCGCGTACGGTCCGGCGGCGAAGAAGGGCTCGTCCCTGCTTCCTATGTGGAAGCTGGGCCCGCACCTTCACCCGTGCCGTCCGCCAGCCCCGGCTTCACGGCTGACCGGCCAGGCTCAACGTACTCGAATTCGTCGGCGTCGCTGACGGGCGGCGGCGGCGCCGGGGGCAACAAACGGGTCGGACCAGCTGTAGCACCGCGCCGGGGCGCCAAGAAGCTCCAGTATGTGGAAGCGCTGTATGACTACGACGCGCGCAGCGACATGGAATGGAGTATGGTAGAAGGCGACCGGTTCGTGCTGGTGAACCGGGATGGCGGAGATGGGTGGGCCGATGTTGAGCGGGGCGGGGTGACGAAGAGCGTACCGGCGAACTACATTCAGGAAGTGTGATGATATTCCCACGACCTGCAGGGGGTTGAGGCAGGCTGCACCTTTCACATACGTTGTTCTGATTCGATTGTCATTGTTACCTTGCATCGGGAAGCCTGGGAGCTGGTTTGCTAGTAGTTTTTGCTTGTTTTGGTTTTGGCCGTTGTTGTTGCTTTTGGCTACTGTCTATATCCTCCGGCATATTCCTAAGTGGTAGTAGGTAGATGAGAGGCGAGAAGTGCACAGTGCACAGTGCACAGTGCAGCAGAGCTAGTAGGGAGTTGTAAGTGGATGGATGAAGATATCTGTACATAGGGTTGTTGAAGTGCGCGTTGTGATTATGGCATGACAGTGTTGTCTTATCATTTCTTCCTTTTCAATCCACGAGGTGTGTAGTGATAGTATCCTTTGCAATGCTCTGTATAGCTTCACCAGAGCAGACACTACAAGTTGTGGGCTAAAGAAGCAGGTAGAAGAGGACGATTGCAGTGAACCAAAGGTCTGCTGTTAGTCACAGTACAGCACAATAGGCAGGCAGGCTGAAAAGCATCAGAATTGAGGAGGCAGAAAGAAAGTAGGTAGGAAAGAAGAGGGAACAGGGCTCTATTTCTGATAAAAAAGAAAAAAAAAAAAAGGGTTTGATTAAAAAACCAGGAAACACCTAAAAAGGGATTCCGAGATTCCGATCGGAAAGAGGATCTACAGCCAAAAGCTACTTTCCAGTGCTAGACACAACTAAACGATGTCCCTCCAGCCAGCCGCGGGTGGAAAAGAAAAACTTTCATGATTTAGCCGGGGATGGATGGATGGAGGGAGGGATGGATGACCGAGTGACTGACAGACCAGACGTTGCAGGAAAGAGAGAAGCTCGGACGGCGAAAAAGAGGGAAAGACAGCTTGCAGATGCACTGCAGGCAGTTGGAAGGATCCTGCAGCCAAAAACCCGCCAAACCGTGATCCGCGCAGCCAATAGCGAGGGAAGAATAATCACGCAGTTGGCTCGTGCGAGAGTTAGCGAGTTGCGACTAATCTTGATGGAAGTAAGCTCAGCTTGTTGCTCAGCCACCTCCAGATTAGTTAACCACCTCCTACTAGGAGTGGGTGGCTGGTGTGTGTGTGTGTGTGGTGTCGGAGGATAAGAGAGTTGTAGCTTGTGTCATATGCTGTGATCCCGAGGTAAATACCAATAAACTAGTCACTAGTAGTAACTAAGTAGTAGTAGTAGTCTGAAGGTACTGTAAGTAGTGTTGTCTTCCTTCCGGGGTATTGTTGTCCTGCAGGTTATGAGGCAACTGACTAGGGTTTCTTCCTGTTCAGTCCAAGTCCCTGAACTTTCAGGCAGCAGCAATTTTAGCAATAACAAAAGTCAAGAAAAATAATCAGTGAGTCTAGCCGAGCGTGAAATAGGAAAAAAAAAAAAAAAAGAAAGAAAGAAAGAAAGAAAGAACGGCAGAAAATTGAGACGGAGCCAGAAGGTGGCACTGGCGAGCAAAAAAGTGGTATTTTTTGTATGCGGGAATTTGCTGGACCATCCATTAGGGAGTAGAAGACTAACACCGATGGGGCAGCTCGTCGGGAAGACTTGATGGGAAAATGCCGCATTCTTTTCCTGGTCTTTTTTCCATCATTACTTGGTACTATACTACTACTACTCTACTACCAACTTACTCTATGGTATAGTAGGGTTCTGCTGATATCATACGGTGGAGGGCCGTCGGAGCGAAAAGTACTGCTCCCTCCCTCCCTCCTCCTATGACTACTACTACTACTACTACTAACTACTAACTACTAACTACTTGGTACTTACTACTTACTACTACCATTACCACTCTATTCTAGATTTTCTTCCTCTCTCTCTCCCTCTCTTCCCATCCCCATCTCCACTTTGATCCCTCTCCTGATTCTCTTGCTAATCGAAACCCGGGGATCCTCATCCTTTTTGCCCTCCCGAATCTTCTAAAATCCCTCATGGCTATACCTCTTTACCACTAACTAATCTCCCAAGCGAGATGAAGTGACATCCCCATCCATGCAGTCGATCCGTGGCTGTGCCATCTTTCCCCCATCTTGTGTCTAGCAGCTAGCCTAGCTACTCCTTCCGTACGTAGCTGTTTACCCTCTTTTCCATCGCACCGTGATTATTTTCCATTCCCAATTAATTTTTTACTTCCTTACCCTTCCCTTCCCTATCACCACCTCCACCCACTTCTACGTATAAATCCTCCCTTCCCTCCCATCTACTTACCCACCACCATCATGCCCATCTGCTCCTCTTTCTCACTCCCTCCCTCTCTCACTCCCCTCACCATTCAATCGTTAATCCCCAGGAATGCTTATCGACGGCGAAAAGTGGGCGTGTGAAGCTTGTGTCCGCGGCCACCGTGTGACCACCTGCAAACACAATGGTATTCTCCTCTCTTTCTTTTCCTCCAAATTGTGCTGCTCTTAAAACTATACTAAGCGTGATACACAAATAAAGACCGACCCCTAATTCGCATCAACCGCAAAGGTCGTCCCTTTGCCACCTGCTCCATCTGCAACTGCACCCCCTGCGAAAGCCCCGAAGAGCACGCCAAGCTCAAACGTGAGACCGATCATCATCATCCTTCTTCATCCTCAAAAGTACACGTTCACCATATTTCTACACACCTCATTTCACCCATCGTAAATGGATTTTGGTGCAGTTCAGGCTGATATAGTGGCTTCTAGCGAGCTGCTGGCCGTTCCCCGCGACTCTCTGCCTCTCCGTCCACCTTTCTCCCCATTGCCCCGAGGCCATCCGTTTCCCCTAGTACCAGCGCGACGAGTCCCAATTCATCACTTCCGGCTGCTGCTAGCGCGTACGCTGCAGTGTCAGCTGCGGCGACTCTCCCAGGGAGTACGACAGCAACCGCAGCAGGATATCTCTCTTCACCACCCATCACATCTGTCCCACCGTCATTCTGCTCCATGGCCGCCACCACTGACAGCATGTCCATGTCCATGGTGAATCCCCTGCTCGTGGATGCGCATCGCATGTACAGCGACCTGGCGGTATCCTTTGCAGACAGCAATGCCATCTACGCGCTGGAGGACCTGGGATTAGATGACGTCAGTGCAACCATGCTCGCTGCCGATTCTGTCTTCCAGGGGAACGACTGGGACTGGTTACATGATGATCACCACGATGGTGGTGTGCTCTAACATTTGTGGATCCTCTTGGGTCTGCAGATTATTCACTACAAAGTATTACTCTGTGGATTCGAGAGGGTCGTTTGGGTAGGGCGGTGGGAGGCCTGGGGTCCGAAAATGATGGGGCCGTATATGATGTTATGAGAAACGAATTGTACTGAGAAAATGGTATGGACCAGTCGGGATCAACAGGACCTATCTACTTGCTTACTTTACTTGACTGGTTCAATTAGAGGAGAATTGCATTGCATTGCATGTATGTGCATGTATATAGCGTGGGCAGGCTGAATTGATTTACTGCATAAGGTTCATTCCAGATTCCGCTAAGTAACACTGACAGAAGGACCACAAGTGCTACCTTCCAGGGGTAGTTGGCATGAGATTTATTGTTGACCAGCACGTGGAAAGGAACAAGGGGAAACACCGTCAAATATTAGTGGGGCTTTACACAACCGAGAGATCCACTGATCAAGCTAACGATCGTCTCTACAATTTGTCTTCTGCCATGTTATTTTCTTTCTTGGAGGAGAAGCAAAAAAATAGAAAAAAAAAAAAAAGAAACAGAAATTCAATTAAAAAACAATCAGTGGTCTTGAAACTCTCATATATATATATATATATATACCTAATACCTGTCCTACCTATTTCTTACATTATCTGGTTGTAGGAATAGGACTTTTCAATGGGCAGTAGCCTAATAATTGTTGGCTACTTCCAGTCCGTCCGAACAGTTGCGGAGGTACTAGTAAAAAAGTCATCCTCCCAACTACTAACTAACTAGACCCTTTGACCGCGGTACTACACCGCTGAAAGAGAATTTCCTTCTTTGGAAAGCAACCAGTGGAAGGAAGTAAGCAAGCAATAATAGCTAAGTACAAGGAATACGAGAAAAGTATACATCGTAGGTTTTAGAATACCTCGAATGTGGATCTCGGCATCTGTTATTAGTATTGAACCGATAGACCCAGAACTAACTACTTAATTATTCATTAACTATTATACGTAGATGGTGTCAGGGTCGGTATATATTCTCGTGACGATGGTATGGTTCTCATATTGTACAAATTGGATTGGCTGTAGTGAACTGACTACAAGTTATCCGAAGTGTGGAAAGCACGACATCTGACCTACAGTTCGAAAGCACACCTCTCGGCCAAGAATGTACAAGTACAACAGAACAATTGAAAGAATAAGAAAAGTAAATTCTATATATAAGAATAGGTAGATACACAACAGAGAACGGAACGGGCCTAGACTTCATTTATTCCAAGTTTGCGAGCGCGCCCTTTCCCTACTGACGAGTTCATCACCATCTAAGCATAGGTGGGCCAGACAGTCACGGTCGAAGTGCTGGTAGCCACCACCATATCAGTGGTAGTGGTCCAGGCAGTCGAGGTCACCCATATGGTGGTGGTAGAGGCACCCGAGTCGGCAGCGGCAGTGGTAGCCACGGCTTCCTTGGCGGTCACGGACTCGATCTCGCCGCTGCTGCTGTCATCCTCGTCCTCATCATCCTCATCGTCGCAGTCGTACTCGTCGTCATCGTCGTCACCCTCGTTGTCGTCCGCGCCGGTGCTGCTCTCCGACTCGCTGGAGGAACCAGCGGAGGAAGAAGAAGAAGAAGAAGAGGAAGAACCGGTGGTGGACGAGATGGTGCCGGAAGTGGGGACGGCCGTGGCAGTGACAGCGTCAGTGGTGGTGACGGCCTCGGTCTCAGTCTCGGTGGCGGCAGCGGCCTCGGAAGTGGTCGAGACGTAGGCGGCCTGGGTGGAAGCAGCAACGGAGACGGAAGCAGAGGCGGAGGCAGAGGTGGCGCTGGTGCCCTGGGCGATGATGCGGGCGACGGCGGCCTCGGCGGCGATCTGGATGATGGCCTGGGAGTTACCGGTGGGAAGGTCAGGGTGGATACTGCCATCGACGATGTACTATAGAAGATAATATGTTAGAAGAGATGGTCTCTGAGATAATAATAATAGGGGGAGGAGGACGTACCAAGTTCTCAGTGCCGTAAACCTTGGTGTTGAGGTCAACAACGGAGGTGCCGTTGGCCTCACGGCCATCATCGACACCCATCTTGGCGGTACCGACGTAGTGGTCACCGGCGGTCAGCTGGTTCAGGATGCTCGCGGCGGTGGCGGTACCCTGGATGGAGAAGCCAGCGGTCGAGTTCTTCATGTCGGCGATCAGGCCGTTGAGGAAGCGGGTCAGGGCTTCCTTGTCGGCGGCAGTGTTCAGGTAGGGAGAGGTCTCGATGGTGGTGGAGCCGGTCGAGTCAATACCGAGGACACCGGTGGAGGTGGCACCGTGGGTGAGGTACAGCTTCATGGTGATGACACCATCCTCAGTGGTACTGCAGGAGGCCTGGTAGAAGCGGGTGATGCCGTCAGTACCGACGTTGGAGGTCCAGAACTGCAGACGGTGGCCACCCTGGGTCATGACACCGGAGCCCTCGGAGTAGAGCTTGCGGATGGGGGCAGTGGCGCCGGAGATGGCACTCTCAGTGTCGAAGTGCGTGAAGTTGCTGTTGGTGTTGACGGTGACGGTGAACATGGGGTGGTCACGGAGGTTGTCGCCGACGGGCAGGTCGATCCATTCACTGGAGGGAGGCAGGGTGATACCAGTGCTGCCGCTCTGGACGGTCTTGATCTGCTCGGAGGGTCCAATACCGGAGTTGAACAGGATGCGGGGAGTGGACATGGAACCAGCAGCAAGAACAACCTTACCACCAGCGCGGACGTGGATGATTTCGATGCCGCCAGAGGAGGTCTCGACCTCAACACCGGTGATGCGACCACCACGACGGACGACGCGGCGGACCTTGGTGTTCAGGCTCATGTGGAAGTTGTCGGCGTCCTGGACCAGGGGCAGGTAAGAACGGACAGGACCAGCACGGATACCGTTGCCGACATCCCAGGAGGGGTAGCTGTAGACCATGTGCTTCTCGTTGGGCTGCTCCTGGGAGTCGACGGACTTCCAGCCGAGACCCTTCAGGAAGGAGGAGAGAACGGTGTACATGCCCTGGTCGTAACGCTTGCCATCAGCCGAAGGGAGGGTGCTACCGGGGTTGCGGGCGTAGAAGCGCTCGGCAGCAGCCTTGACGTCCTTCCACTTCCAGCCGGTGGGCCACTTGTCGTCGAAATCGGCCTCCTGGGGGTAGATGAAAGACATGGCGTTGATGATGGTACCACCACCCAGAACACAGCCAGCCATGCCAGCAGTGTCATCGCAGAGGTACTGGCTAACGTAGTCGGAGCCCTGAATGTAGGTGCCCAGAGCCGGCAGGTCGTACGCGGTGATGGAGGAGTTCCACGACAAGGAGTCGGTAGCACCCAGCTCGACGGTCGGGGCCACACCACGCTCGATAAGCAAGACGCTCTTCTTAGTCTCGGCCAGGCGCTCAGCAGCAACCAGACCAGCAGCACCACCACCGACAACAATGTAATCGTAGGTCGTGTTCGAGACCGTGGCGGCAACGCTGGCAGAGGGAGAGGCGGAGGCAGAGGCAGAGGCGCTGGAGGAAGCGGAAGCCGAAGTAGCAGTGGACTGGGTCGCGACAGCCTTGGAGGCCCAGGTGGAGTACTTGGACGACCTGGCTTCGGCCAGCTGCACCTCGAAACCACCATAGCCGGCAGCGTGGTAGGGCATCTTGGACGAGGCGGAGGAGGGAGTCGTGGGGTTCGAGGCACTGAGAGCCCAGCCGAAGTAGTAGCTAGTCGAGTTGGCGTCGAAAGTGGTGGGCTGACCGACGATGCAGCCCTTGCACAGGAAGGTGTAGGTCAGGTAGGTGCTGTTGACGGAGGTGCCGTCGGGGATCTCCTCAATGGAAGCATCACCGCTGTAGACGGACGGCGAGACGTAGGAGGTGGCCTCACGCAGAGTTCCAACGGCCGAATCACCATCGGGCCAGGCGGCAATCAGGAGGACGTTGGTCATGGACCCCGACATACTGACACCACCCCAACCCTTGGAGCTGGACAGAGGGACGGCCATCTGACCGATGAAGTCGGTGCCGGTGGTCTCCTCGGGCAGGGCGATACCGAAACAGAAGCCGGTGTCATCGGTATCACACCATCTCTGGAACTCGATGCCAGAGGCCGAATCGGTGTAGGCGGAGGTGTTGTAGGCGTTGGCCGAGACGCCCAAGGCGTAACTCAAGGCGGCCACGCCACTGAGGAGAACGGAACGCATCTTTTCCTGGATTTACCCGAAATGCAGAAAAACGCAAAGTTGAAAAGATAGGCCACGAAGGAAGAAGATAAAATTCGAAAAAAGGAGTGTCAAAGAATTGGGTATGTCAAGCTGGCCCAGCAGCAACCCAAGGTAGAAAGAATGGCGGCAAAAAAAGAAGTTGCCAAAAAAAGAATGAAAACTCTTGAACAAGAGTGAAGTGAAGATGGGGAAAAGAACAGAGAAGAGAAACCCATAATGGCAGTGGCGAGGGCCATTGATATAAAGGACTCGAGGAAAGCGTGCGTGGGGATGGTCCGACGGCCATGACATGAAGAGCGGAGCCATTAAACGGTGGTGATATGGTAATCATATTGAAGGGGGAGGGCGGAGGGCAAGGCTAATGCATTGAAGAAATTGAGTGGGTGGACACTGGCTGGGCAGACGCCCACTCTTCAGACGCCCAAAGGAGACATGGATGAGGGCATTCTTGGCCATCGGCCTCCATTCTGACGAGGGGATGGCGGCTGTCAGTGGCTCGAAGCAAGATAAGCAATTTCCGGCGGGACTGCTAGAGTGCTTCTAGCTGTGAGGTTTATCTTCCTCAGTGGGACGTGCCAAGCCTCACTAAACGGCACGAGTTTCACACAACGGCCGCCGTGGTTTGAGCATGAAGGCGCCCAGGAGCTCGTTCCAAGCCAAGCCCATTTAAACAAAACACTCCTCCTCCGTGAAGTTCGCGCGCTGGTGGATTGCTCACTAAACCCGTACTCCTCATTGGCTTCACCCTCCCATAGTCGGGGGGGACTATTGGCCTCGACACATCCACCGTTTCTCTCCGTGAACGGGGTCCCACCGGAATTGACCGAGTGCCACCAGGATTGTCTCGGTCTCTTTTCTCTCTATCGTCGGGGAGAGACTGGAAGGGCTGCCAAGGTGCAGGACAATGTCCGGGAACCCACCCGTCAAGGAGGGAGACTGGCTATGGATCTATTTCGAGATGAGCCAAGGGGTTCTTGGGCCAAAATCAGGAACTCGGGATGACCTCAATGGGTCAGCTAGTAGGACTGACCGTTGCATGATGAGGGGTAGAGATAGATAGAGTAGATGGCTAGATGGAGTAGATAGATTGTGAGAAGGAGTTTGCCAGAAGCACGAGTGCTACGACGGAGGGATGGAGACAGCCGCCCGGCCAGATCCTCCGGCGGCCAAACCTGAGACGGGCAAAGTGTCAGACTAGCGGCGCTGCAATTTATTTTCCCTGCAAAACTCCGGTCCGCCCCCCTCCAAATGTGGGCCCACCTGGCCAGCCGACAGGAAGAGGTTGATTTATTTTTTTTCTGCTGCACTGTCCAGACAGTCACCATGTGGGAAACTAGGAAAGAGTGAGAAAAGCAGGGATGCTACCTGGGTTCCGTTCCATTACTAGATACTCTACACATCGACTGGCACCGGCTAAGGATGGTCCAACCCAACTGTACACATGTCAGAATGCTGCTTTGCGCCGAGACCCACTCGGCACTACTTTAACCCCTTGCCGGCAGCAAACAAGATAAGAAAAGAGAAGAAAAAAAAAGTGAGACACAACGCAAAGAACCAACGCATGAAAAGATACGAAAGATCATTCACCCAACTCAGTCCTTACAGCAGGACGAGTCCGGCACCGAAGACGGTGGACAGCACCGTCACCAGTCCCACCATCACAGGGGCCATGCCGAGGCCGGGAATCTGCAGTCCAGCAGCAGCGCCCGTGGAGCTCGTCGAGGTGCCGCTCGAGCCCGAGCTGGAGCTCGATGAGCTAGCCGAGCCCGATCCGGGGGTCGCGGTGCTGGTGGACGCAGTGCCGGCGTTCATGCTACCAGAGCCGGAGAATCCGGCGCCCTTGCCAGCGCCCTGAGTCATGTACTTCTTCGCAGGTTCGGGAATGGCGGGCAGGGAGTCTCCATCAACATCCCAGTTGGGGGAGTCCTTGGCCGGGCAGGGGTTGGCACCACCGGTCTTGTTGTAGCCGCCGTCACCCTCGGGGTTGCTAGTCTTGGAGTAGGCCGACTTCAACGCATCGTAGTCGGACAGGGTCTTCACATCGTTGCCATCGATCTCCACCAGACCGTAGTTGCTGGATTCCTGGGAGTACTCGTAGACCAGACCACCAGAGTAGACGCCGGTCATCTCGGTGTTGTACAGAGCGCTGACCTCCTCGAACTCACGCTTGTTGGTGTTGCAGCCATACTCGGACAGGAACAGAGGCAAGCCGTATCCGGTGAAGTTCTTCACCTTCTGGTCCCAGCCGGAGGTGGTGAAAGAAGAGGGGTCGCACCAGGAGTAGTCATTGAAGGCGAAGAAGTCACTGCGCTCATCGTCGGTACCGCAGTTCATGTACTCAGCCATCTGAAGACGGTTGGTATCAATGTCGGCCTGCATCAACGGTCCTCATTAGTATGTATTCCAACCGAAACTGGGATTGGGCTGATTTGTGGACTTACAGCAGAGTATCCGACAGGGATCTCACGGTAGTTGCGGCTGCGGATGTACTGGCGCAGATCACGCGTGACAGCCTTGACATAGGGAGCAGCCTTGGAGGAGGGACCATCGTTGATGACCTCGTTACCCGAGAAGAAAGCCAGGGTGTTCTTGTAGTTGGCGAACTTGTCGACCGTGGCGAAGATGTACTGCAGGTACACATCGTTGTACGACGGGGCGGGATCGGCACGGTTGAGGGAGTACTTGGGGGTGTTGACATCCAGCACCAGGTAGATGCCAGCATCCGCCAGAGCGTTCATGCACTCGTCGTGGTCCTTGGAGTTATCGACCGAGTAGACACGGATGGTGTTCAGGCCGAGCTCTTTGAACTTCTCGATATCACGCTTGCAGCCATCGGCATCGGCAATGGGGTCAGCGAGTTTCGAGGAACCACCGGGCTGGTAGTCGACACCACGGATGTAGAAGCGGTCATCGCCCTTGAAGAAGGCATTGCCCTTGACGGTGATGGCCGTCACATCATCACGGGCCTTGATGGTCGACGAAGGTGCAGCGAGAGCGGTGGAGGCACCAAGAGCGAGGGCAGTCGCGACAGCGGTGCCCTTCATTGTGATAGATGGTGATGGAGGTGAGAAGATACAAGGCAGATGGTATTAAGACAAAGAATGAGTGTCAGGGCGGCCTGTCAGTGAGAGATGACTGAGAAGGTATGATAATGAAATATGCAGACGGCGCCGGATATAGGATGGTTCTAGAGAACAGCGAACGAAGAAGAAGCGAGAGACTAAAAAGAGGTCTGAACGAGTGACTGAAGAGGAATTTGAAGAATGCCGGAAGAAAAGCGGCGACGAGGTTGAACGACCGAAAGGGTGAAGGAGGAAAGAGCAAAAACAGCCAGCGAATATGGAAGCGGAAGGGAGGGGGGGGAGGAGGGAGTGGGTGGCACACGCCTTAAAGCAGGCAGAGGCAGGCCGACCATCCCTTCTGCATTGCATTATTGACATCCACTGGGGTAATTTACTCGCGCCTTTGTGAATCCGTCAGGGTCTTGCCAAGCAAACAAACATTGCGCCTGCAAGCAGCCACGGCATGTGTGGGAAATTGTTGGTTCCGCTCAAACTAGATGCTACGAACCAATGAGGAAGACACCCAAGCGATACTTTCCTTTTTTTTCATGGGGAGATCCAACACTCCCCAAACGGCAGGTCAGCGGAAGTCCCAGGGGAGATTGTATTGTGGCCATCCCGATCGTCAGATCGCCTGTGGGCGAACAAGGGTCTCGCACTGGGCCAAGGCGCCGATGAAAGGCTGCCGTGGCCACTTTGCAGGGACTGGCCCCGTCCGATTCCCCGGTCGGAACAAATGAGAATGCAGGCCAAGAGAGGCGCACAAAGAGACAAGCTGCTCATCTGCTCGTCTTTTCGACCGTGTGGGTGGGGCCCCCAGCCTGCCAAGAGTTCCCGGTGGGGCCAGTCCCTGAAAAGTCCCTGGATGGTCCCTGGCAAGTCCCTTGGGACCCTGATGGCCCGTACCAGCTCGGTTGCTCGTTACAAGGGTTGACATTCCATCGCTCACAACGGGCCATTCACACCTTCAACACAGGCAACAAATAATTAATTAGAAATGATGCTGACATTCTAGTCAGATCCCTGAGTAGCCAGCCATCTGATTGCCCAACCTCAAGGGCTGGGTATAAATTCTCTTCTGCCGCTACATGCTAGTAGCAAAAGCAAGGCACCGTCCAGCGGAAAAGGAGTCTCGTCCTTTTCTGGGGTCCAAACCCAGGCTTCCCGCTCCCTGCCGTGCCTGGAAGATCGGTCCCATCAAGATTTCCCAGAAAGACTATATTTACAAACTAACTGTTTCAGTTCGACTGCATTGAACGTGGCTCCTGCTTTGTCTCGCCACTGCAGAGGGACCTGGTGTGGCTCTCTTACCTCAAAGCAACTTCTTGAGTACGATTGGTAGAGTGCCAAGATGAACACTCCTAAGGGGCGGTCATGGCAAGATTGTATTATGGTAGGCCATGACTCTGTGTCAGGAACTATTGCCTCTGGGCGACTGGGCATTTCTCAGATGCTGTGGTTGGGTTGAACTTCAGCGACCATACAGCAGTGCCGCCTTTTCACCTTCCTTCTACTGAGACACTCATGCCAGCGCCAACAGCGACTACATCTACGTACTTTATATGCAAGCGCTTTCCACCCTCCAAAGATCTTGTCGGATTCCATAATTAGTCGAGGTGGTGGCATGGCTTCGATAGATTGGTCGCATGGACTCTGTGCGACCGACACGGGCTCCCTTACTTGGACTGAAGGAAAACCCTCACGGATCTCACTTGGATGCTATGTCTCTGGCAATTGCCATCCACTCCACTCCTATTATCGCCACAGAATTTGACAATTGAATGTTGCTTCAGGGTATCTCGAGCTTCAATCCTCGTACATAGAACACTGCCACAGGTATAGAGGCACAGTCTGGCTTCAGTGTCTGCATTATCACAAAGGCAATCAAAGAACATGGCGCGCCTACTATCTATTCGACCGCCCATGTCTCACCAAAAATAGGAAGCTGACGTCAACGCACGGATTCGGGGGCCCCGCCGGAGCCGATTAGCGCCGCCCATTGTCTACTGCTGACCTTCCTAAACCAGGCCTGCCTTTACTCCAACGGTAAACCAAATCAGAGGCATGTTTCAGCATCTGGCATATTACCGCTTTGGAACCTAAAACCGTTAGCCATGTGATATGGAGCAAGTCCACTCCCACAAGACCTACTAGTACTGTAGCCAACGAGCCATACTGTCTGTAAATATATCTGGGTGCCTGCAAACAACTGAGACTTGACTGGTCCAATCCGACCGAGCCGAGACTCTTGGCATTCGCACAGAGTGTGTTTGGGTGTCTACTAAGGCATACACTTCAACCCGCAGTCTCACCTCGTTTCACTGCGAGTTGCCCAAAGGGAAACACCTTTTTCAAATCCAGAGGGTCTTAATATCTTCTACTTGGTTGTTACATATTGCTGAGTACCGATCAGCCCGTCGGTATAGTGTCGTGTGCCATTAGGTCGCCAAGAAATCCATCGGACTCCACGTCTAGCCATCTGCAACCGAGACGAAGAGTCTAGATTTCACCACAGCTCCACCCACCAGAAATGACGGGACTCGCCAAATTTAGGCAGCAACCTGCAGTTTCTATTCTTCCGAGCATGTGCTCGTCTTGTTCACTTAGCCAGGTCTGAATTGATGATATATTATGTGCTATTGTATATGCGGATGTGCCCTGATCCTATTTTATGTATCCTTCACTCAACTGTTGGTCACGCCCGACTGAGCTATGATTCAATAACGTACCATCCTTAGTTCTTGAAATTATCGACACAAGAAAGTAGAATATATAATTAGAGTCTCCTTCGACCGAAGTTATAGATTATAGTCGATTTTATGAATGCCGAAAAGTAAATGGTAATTCTAGTCATTCGTTCTGGAACAGTGGCAGCATCTAATAATATTTCACACGGTGAGCTCTACTTCCCCTGGTTATAGTACATCTGTAGTGTACCATTTTCAGAAGAGTATTTACTAGTAGTAATCGTAGATACTACATCTCACCTTAGCCTTGTCATTGCAACTTACTACTCTGGGACTTATAGTACTGCTCTGTTGTGAAGACAATTACTATTCATCCATTAAATACCCAATATATATATATACTACGCTATATATGGTTCCGAGAGAAGTCCCAACCTAGTAGCATTCAATTGTTGAGTTACTAGTACAGTTATTTACGAAGAATTTTGGGAATTTTTCCTGGGTGGTAGCTCCTATTACTCTTGGTACTCAGAATTTATAAATTCCTGAACCACAATACTGGCGAAATCAGTGCTAAGCTGCATCATCGCTCGTTGCACTTACTGAACATCTCTCGCAACCCATTCTTCAGCTACGAGTCACCCAAGCTAAGTTCCTCAATGTCGCTCGTTACCTAAAGGTCTGACACTGTTATGTCTCCGATTCCTGCCTGCTTAACAGTAAAAGACACCGCGGGTGTGGCCGCTTTACCGTCCCACAACCAGAAAGTACTTAGTATTCCTACCTCGGCTGTTTTTCCTGTTTACATTTAGCAAAGGTAATTGAATCATCTCCATTGACCGACTTTCCTTCTCTTTTCTCGTGCTGGTCGATAAGCGTCTACAACCATGATCAACTAATTAATCAACATGGTTCGTCATACAGTAATCCCACCATCACGCCTGACAATACCGACCACGGTCCGCTCCGAGTCCCAGACTTCGCAGACATTATGCTCATCTATGTACTTCCAAGAAATTTATAAGCTCTCCATGGTCAACGTGATGAACAGCATCACTGATCGTTCCACAGTGACTGTGGATGGATCGAATAGCAGGAAATGCGGACTCGACAGTTGAAACCGTTCTGACACTCGTGGATTTGCAGTATTTTTTTTGGGGGGTGGGGGGGGGGGGGGGTTACGGATGGAGCCTAACGGAGCCTGCCCACTATGAGGGAGAGAGAATCAATATTGACAATGTTATAGCCTCCTACAGAGATGCTGAAGTCGTGCCAAAACGTATTGAACAAAGTTTCACGACCGGGGGGCATTCACGGCATTCAACACCACACTCCCTGCACGATCACTCTCGAAGAAACGCCGAACAAACAGGTCTATATGCCATGGCAAATATTGAGGTTATCGGAGTGTCTTCAGAGAATTTTCTCCTTGCCAACGACGTTTGGAAGCTCGACAACCTACTCAAAGACTGTATCGCTGCTGTTATTGTCTTTGAGATGGATGGGGTAATGCCGTTGTCTTTAGCTCCCCAGAGGAATGCAGCAAGACCGTGATGGTAATGTCATTCAGGGACCCTGATCTTCCTGCTACCGACGGCTTGTGTGTAGCGATAATCGATGATGCAGTCCATCACACCCATGGACAAAAATATCGCCGTGCATTTGATATTTGCTGATGGGGCCATTCAACATTTCGATGAGAATAAGATTCCCGGAGCAGGTTCAACTGAGGAAGGTTATCGCGAAGGTCCAAATTTGCAGATGTTAAGAAATGCGATATTAGCGAGAACATTCCTGCATTAAGGGAGAGCAGCCTTGCTAACCCGACCAATTCGGGTCCTTGTCATTCACTTGAGTGCTATATGATTGGAAACCCGTGCCTTGTACTAACCACTCAGTCCGCATTAGATGGAGTTGGTCCCGATCTAGCGGCTTGGTGGCTTGGGCCGGATGAACGGCTTGCATGAGCTGGGATGCCCTGTCGGGAAAATCCGTCGCAAAGCAGCGCTTACAGCCTGAACGAACCATTGAGAGTAACCCACGTCATGTTCCCCCTCTTATATCGGACTAACATCGTATTAAGAGGTCTCCACCCGACCCTACAGAGTCCGTACGACTCGTTCTATCTTCCCACGGGGATATCGTAGCGTGTTGGAAAAGGCACATGGGGGACTTTATACGCATTAGGACACCGAGAAACAATGCTCACTCACAAACATGCATCTCAGGGTCCAGCTATTATATTAATGTTACATCGCTTCAAGGGGTCTCACGCTAAGGGGCCCTTTCATCCCTACAAGGCCCTACTAGCGTAGTCCGGGGGAGGCTTTTACTCCGTAGAGAGATTAAAGGGCAAATTAAACCGTTATTAGGTACTTCCATTCGTCCAAGCGAGTACATTTTATTTCTCAAATGCCATTATCACTTGGTTCACGCAGCCAATATCTTCTACAACCGTTTCAAATGCCTCCTAACCCACTACGCTCTCCGACACATCCCAAATGCTTCTCCCAAGGCGACTTCTAAGACCATGTTCCCTAATTTTTCTGAACACACACACATGTCATCTACTGCTCATTTTCATCTTCCTCTACGGCCTAGCAATCAACCTAGCCCGCCTAACATGCTGGCGTGATCCCACATCCGCCTTCTTCGCCTCAGACCAAGCATACAAGCCGGCCTACTCCACCCTCCGCACAGAACAAGCCAACGAACTCATTCAACAAGCCAACAGCAACACCCTCCCCCAGCACCTCCAGACAAAAGCCTCTGCCCATCCCACGATGTGCGTCGGAATCGCCTCAGTAGCCCGAAAGGGTACACGCTACCTCCAGGTCGCAGTCGGCTCCATCCTCGAGGGCCTTACCGCGACAGAGAGAGAAGACATGTACCTTATCATCTTCATCGCGCATTCTGATCCAGCGGAGCATCCAGCGTATATGGAGCCGTGGCTCCATGCTCTCGCTGACAAGGTGCTTGTCTATGATCTGGATGTAGTGGATATAGAACATATTCGCAGTTTGGAGACACCAGAAGCGAAGAAGTTTGCTCGTGAGAAGGGTTTGTTTGATTATACGTATCTCCTTAAAGCTTGCGGTGAGCTCAATACGTCGTATACGGTGATGCTGGAGGATGATGTCGTTGCTTTGGATGGGTGGTTTCATCGGACTAAGCAGGCTTTGAATGTCGCGGAGCGGAAGGCGGAGGAGGAAGGGGTGGAGCAGTGTAAGATATGCTTTTATCAATCGGTGGCAGATGTGCCATGCGAGATAAGCTAATAGAGATATTGTCACAGGGCTTTATCTCCGACTTTTCTACACCGAGATATTCCTCGGATGGAACTCAGAAGAGTGGACCATCTACCTCTTCTTTTCTCTCCTAGCCGTGTCTGTGATCGTGGCCACAACCACAGCAACCCGATACTGTTGCCCTTCTACGGCTAGATACCTCTCGAACGAGACCATAACCATCCTCTCACTCGTGGTCACCCCCCTCCTAGTCACCCTCTTCTTCGCCGCCGGACGGCACACAATGCTCCCAATCCCCGATGGAGTGCACGCGATGCCCAAGTTCGGCTGCTGCTCTCAGGGATTCGTCTTTCCACAGGCCCGCATCGGAGACCTGGTATCCTGGTACGAAAGTAACCAAGTCGGGTACGTGGATATGCTCACAGAGAGCTACGCTGACCAGAACGGGGAGGTTCGCTGGGCGTTGACGCCTAGTGTATTGCAGCATGTTGGGAGTAGGAGCTCGAAGACGAATTCGCTGGGGAGGCATAGGGAGCGGTTGACGATGGCTGAAAGGATTTGGAATTTTGGATTCGAGGAGAATGATCCCGGGGAGTTGAGGCTCGAGCATCGGTTGTGGGATGATGGTGGGGGGTAGGATGTAGGTGTGTGGTATATAGTATATTTGGTTTTATAGCTGTTTTGTACTATTTAGGTTTCGTAGTTGTATAGTTACATTTGGGTGTTACTGATTATTTATGTATATCAACAGCTGGTATTATCTTTGTGGAAGAACTGGAATACGTGCATGGTCATAGGCTATAATGGTAGTTGAATCAAAATATAATGAGTAAAATAAATGACTATATAACAACTGCAGACCAGGAAACAATGTATAAGGCTTTGAATTGAGTACACAATGAAGCGATACTTATAAAGTACATAATTTGATGTTTTAGACAAAAGTTCATGAACCGGTCTTGGACCTTTCCAGCACACCTCTTCGTAATGCATAATTCCAATATCAGCTTCCTAATGATCAGCCTTGAAGCCCATCGAGGCCCACTCGGCATTGACCTTAGCCTGAAGGTCCTCGGGGTATGAGTTCTTGAAGTCCGCAGCCTGCCAGTTAGGTCCAGTTGTATACTCAGTAGGCATCAAAGCGTCAGAGACAACCTTGCCACCCTGGACAGGGGAACCGCTTCCATGGCCCATGTACGGAATGAGAGGAAATCCGCGGACATCATCGTAGAAGTACTCATCAAGACTGGGCCGGCAACGTGTGCAGAAAGCCCAGATCACATCTTTCCAGTCATACACGTCGATATCCTCACCGACAAGGAGGAGGCGATGAATAGTGTAGCCAGCCTTGTGGGTGAAAATCAAGTCACCGAACTTACGACAAAGTTCCTCAGAGGTGGTCTTCATTTGTCGGAGCTTGGCGCCGTCGATTTGAAGAACAACCCACGTCACTTGAGATTCGAAGGGGGACATGGCTTCCTTGACTGGAAGACCGGCGTCTTTGCAGAGTTGGTGGATTTCGGCAGCGGCGAGGGGTCCGATCATTGTATGCTATACAGAGAGACAGTCCGAGTTAGTTTACGGAGTAATCAGGAGTATTTTCGGGGTCAGTATGACTCACAGTCTCGTCGGTAAGGCGGCCGCAGTTGGAGACGGGGAGAATAGCACCATTGCGGTAGGTGATCTTGTTCACCTTGTAGAGAGGGCAAGGGTGAGAATCACCGGGAAAGACGTAACTATCAAGGGGCATGCAGAGTTAGTATCTATTGAGTGGTGTATATTGGAAGCTGTGTATATCATACCCATGCATCTCGCCAAATGGACCCTCAGGACCAGTCTCCGTAATAGACATAGTGCCCTCAAGAACGATCTCAGCGTTAGCTGGGACATACAGGTCATTCGTCTCACACTTGACCACGTCAATCGCGTGGCCAGTCATAGCGCCAATATACCCAGCCTCAGTACAGCCGTCCGGAAGTGGCATGCTAGAGGCCATGATAGCAGCAGGGGGAACACCGAAGCACAGAGCCCAGGGCACGTCCTTGTCAATGGCCTTCCACTTCTGCTGCATCTGCCAGACATGCTGGGGTGGGATCACCAAACCAGCCAGATGGTCCTTGTCGTAAACCATAGCACGGGCGATTGACCAATTGGTCCAGTCCTTCTCTGGCGAGGAGATAACGTGCATACCATAAGTCTGGATGTACTTTCCGCCATCAGCCTGGTGCAGAAGAGGGACCGGGAGCTTCGTGAGATCAAACTCCCCCTCATTCAGCACATTCTCCTTGCACACTCCAGTCTTGACAACGTTGGGGGGAATCGGTGGGGCATTCTTTGCCCAGAGCATCTTATCCAAGATCTCTTTCATGCCGGAAGATGGGGGGAGGGCCAGATGACGAGCAAGTCGGCCGTACTTGTCTTTGCCTGATCGGAGAGAGTTGGGAGCACCGAGAATACGCCAGAGGCCATTGTGAGCTCCCTTAAGGTTATTGAAGAGGGGAGTTTTGTCATCAGTTTCGCAGACCTTGCGGATGATAGCGCCGCATTCAAGGTTAGGATCGATTTCCCGGTCGATTTCCACGAGGTCGTTGTCTTGCTTGAGGGCTTCGACGTATGAGCGGAAGTTCATATGAGGTAGCTCCTGGATAGGAGTCTCGTGGACGTGGTGGATACCATGGTGAACACCGTGTTGAGAAACCATCTCGAGAATATGGTAGGAGTGATTTGGAGTAAGAGACTAGTTGAGAACCTTGATATGGGTATGTCAGTGGAATAGAGCTTGATAGAAGTAGAAGCCAAAAGCAATCTGGGGAAGGATGAGAGCAGGTGTTTTACATGCATATTCGGGGGCATTGGGTCCATCTTGATGCGATGAAGTCACACTGTCTACACTTCAGTTCGGTGACAATCGGGCTGAGCTTCTTGCTTGTTGCTTCGCCCGGAAGCTCGGGGATTCGGAGACTCGGGCCGCATACTTTGCCATCGATGTTTCTGTTAACTATCGTATTTTATATGCTTTTACTAGCAATACTGCATCTCCCCAGTGGTGATCTCAACAATGTATTAGTCTCTATTGAGTGGGATCGTCGGAGGACGTATTGGAACGGTTCCTATGGTCATGAGGTCATCTTGAAATTCGACCCAACTCGCCTCTCGATGCTTCTTTACCTCTGCTTCCTGTCCACAAAATGCCGCAAGCATATTGATCGTGACTATTGAACTCGGAAATGGTAGTCGTCAATAGTGGAGTAGATACTTTGCAGATTGCCCTATAGCAGAAGTAAGGAATGGCTTGTGGGAATTCATGTCAAAATTCGAACATTCAAAAGATCATTTGTTCTGGATGAAGTTGTCAGATATGGACAGTCTGACCACAGATAAGAGGAATGTCAATGGAGTTGAAGTAACTATTTAACGACTTTCAATTTTGTGCTCCCTATGCCCTATTTGTAAGCCATATACTTATCGTTATCCTACAGGGTGTTAGATCTCTGGCATCTGAACAAAGATGGTGGACTAATAATATTCTTTGTATGTTTAGTGTGTTTTCTATATAGCAGAACACTAAAAAGTTACCGGTGAAAGCCAGTCGTATTCTTACAAATTATCTGAGCTTTTAGCAAGTGTTCAAGTTAGTTGCTGTGGGTAACCAAACATAAATTTTTTCGAAGCTCTGCATGTCTGCCACATGCAATATCTTATGTATGATCTATTAAGTGTTGGTACATTGGATTTTATCTTGTCCTCAAAACACCATCCAGTCCCCTCCTATCATAACTACGTGACACGACAGTCCCATTTAGGTTCGTTGTTCAGACTTTTTATCTCTTCACAGGAGATGTCCCATCCTGTCTGCCTAATTTCTGTCAGTGTGGGATTCGTATTTGCCAGTCAATTCATGTAGTACCTTGGTTTGTAGATAGTTATGAAGCTCAATGCTGTTGGACACCCAGCCTCTCGATGAATCTATCGGCACTGGAATTATAGGCACCCTCTCTTTCACCGTAAGTTCCCCATGAGGACCTTCAATTTCCCCGAGCTTATCCGGGTTATTCGTCAACAAGCGAATACCAGAACTGCCCGAATCATTCCCCAGGGCAAGGTCCATCAGAATGGCGGTCGCTATCCCATATGACCGAGCATCTGCTGGGCGCCCAAGGGCAAGATTTGCGTCGACCGTATCCAGGCCCATATCCTGAAGATTGTATGCCCTAAGCTTATCTGCGAGTCCAATGTTACGACCTTCCTGCCGGAGATACACAATCACCCCACTATTTGATGTGGCCATCATACGTGCTGCTTCCTCTAGTTGATTTCCACAGTCACATCTGGCCGACCAGGTAGTCTCGCCGGTATAGCATTCCGAATGAACGCGAACCAATGTTGAATCTGTATTCGAAGAAGAAGGCGTGCCTTCTTGGCTCAACCGCGAATCATCTGTGATGATCTGCCCAGGCCATAATCGTCCTTTATATGCTCCTCGAATCATTCGGTCCAGTTGTGTCTCGTCTTTGTTCGCTCGATTCAAGCTTCGGCTCTGAATGTGGTCTCCGAAAACATATGCCAGGTGCGACTTGTCGTCAATATTATTCTTGTAAACGTGTAGCCGCAGCTCTGCGCCAAAGCTGGTTGGTATGCGTGCTTGCACAATACATTTGACTTTTGGAAGAGAGGTTGAGTTTTTGGTACACTGTTGTTTCGTTGCATATGGTTCCACTGTGGGATATTCGAGGGGTGATCGACGGTTCGAGTTCGGTGGAATTAAACTGAAGGTCAAATGGCGAGAGGCGACCTCATCTCGAGATAGGTCGATGGTGCATTTAGTAGTCGTGGACATGGTGCTTTCTGAGAGATATCCTTTTTTTGAAGTATGAGCAGGAAAGATGCGATGAAGGAAGGGGTGACATTGTGAGAACGTGTAAATACCTTTTTATCTAATCTTTTGCCTCCAGAAAAAATATTCAGACATTTTTCATACATTGCGCCTTTCATAAATCTATCCTTATGTGCCTTCTGCATCATCCACTATTTCTTTTTGCTCCAATGCCCCCGGAGCTTTTGCCGCCCGAGGGACTCCGAGTCCCGAGCGTCCAGTTCCGAGCCGGCAAAGCGGCATGTAGCAAAGCTACACTTCTTCAGAAAATGAACTTTCTTGCACCTGGTTTGAATCTGTTCCCGGATGGTTCGGAGCCTCGGGGAATACATGCTTGCACATTGTGTACACGTCAATGGAATAAGTTAATTCCAGGAAGACGATCACGCGTAGCCACCCAGGCCCTTCTAGTTATGGTTGCCATATATGAGGAGTGAACAGTTGATCATTGGATTCCACGGTACATGCGAAATGTGTTTCATCCACCGAGAGTGGCTTTCAGAGTACTAACAGAGAACTAATCGATTGCGTAAGATCTTTTTTCATGAACCAGGACAGTTTTTAGAGTCATAAAATTATTGATGCTATTCGCAGTGATTACGAACGGGACTGGAGATACAAACGCCGTGGTAAGGTTATTACTACGGTATGGTGCCAACCCAAACATCGGAAGTCACCATAGCCGAGTGCCTTTGTTTTCGGCTATAAACAGCGGCTCAGCAGCATCGGTAGAGGCTCTCTTGAAAGCAGGATGCGATCCAAACGCGAAAGACAGGTACCGATGCACAACTCCGATGAGCGCCACGGTACGTGGTAAGGTCAGGGTGATAGCAGCATTACTCAGATCGCCAAGGATAGATCAAGATGCACCGAATGACTATGGAAGAAGCGCATTTTCGAAAGATCAGAAAGCGAAGTATTTCCATGACATTGTAGGAATATTGTCGCAGTGCTCCGACAAGATCGCTGGTCTTCCCGAATGTATCCTCCGTTTGGATGGCTACCAAGGAGAAATGGCTTGCGATGTCTGTCAGGACTATATGGACGGTGATGGGGCATATTATCATTGTTAGACATGCAATGACTATCAGTTTGCCATTTGCGATGACTGCAAGGCGCGAGGAATCATGTGTCTGAACGGGTCGCATGAAATGCGTCAATATGAACAGGACCGGTTTGGTGCGGAGCGACGGAACATGTCTGATGATATATATTGTCCTTGCCGCGGACGGATCAGGCCTCGGTGAGATATACTATACATGTGAGAGTTTTATGTCACTAGGCTTACGCTGAATGAACAGGTTGGAATAGGAACGGAAGACTCGGCTTGGTAGCATCTAGACGGTGGATATGCAATTGCGATGCAACCCATAGGATAACGGACTTGTCAGAAAAAGGAACTAAGTGGATTCCACATCAAGCCTTGGGGCGATTCTGAAACGCCCATGGCCGCTGTCATTGTCTGATGCGGTGAGTGAGTGGATTCATGCGGGAAGACGGTACCCCCGGATACATTTCTGGTTTGCACTGGGGGAATAAGCTTTTCGGGTTGCAGGGTAGTTCTTGAAAAATTAGACGCTGAGGTATAGAAGATGTAGAAAGTATAAGATAATATGTCCCGTCAATATTGGAATATAGGTGGTGCAGTAAGAGCGGCGACATACTATCCAGCAAATCTAGACTAGACTATCACATGTGACACGGTTCATGTAGAGTACGATTTGCTAATCCAGCTGTAAAAGTGAGACAGTCTAACCCGACCGGAAGATATATTTGGCTGTCCGCTGTGTTGCTGCTGCTGCCGGCTGCAAGGCGTGGATAAATATAGTAGCCAATAGATATCCACCCTAATAGTAGTTAACACAGTGCTGATGCCACGTCGTATAGATACGGGATTGTTATAAGCCATGGCTGACTGCGTTGGAGCGACTCCCACTCGTATTCAACTATCAGTGCTTTTCATCCATCCTCAATATAAGATTTGTATGAGGCCACCCATGGAACAACGAGGCAAAGCCACCCACCCATTCATCTACCTAAACGCTGCCTGAAGGAAAGAAGCAAGATGAGCTACCAGGATCAAGAGCACTAATCCAGGGACAGACTAGTGCAAGCCTCATTCCCAAGCTGTGAGCCAATAAAATGTCGTAATAGTGGCACCACTTCAGCTAAAGAGCCAAGAATAGCCTAGCAGATCCCCGATCCGGTGGACACTAGGCTCTGTGTAGTTTAGCGTTGGACCTAATCGGAGCTAAGCCCCCCTCGCCGACACTTGACCGGATGCGGAGAGGTTTCTTGCTAGTTTTTTTTTCTGCTCGGGAGTCCGGAATGATGGTTTTGACAGGGTAGACGGGAGGGGATTTACATACCGATGGTGGAAGTGTCTGCGATCGGTAATGAGGGATGAGGGGTAGTCTTGGTGAAGGGGGGAATTATTTAGTGGTTTGTTAGAGGTTGAGGCAAGGGAATTCAATCCAGGAACCGTAGGATTGAATTATCTTCCCCTGACAAAAGGGAGAGTCCACTCGATCAATGGTTGCCAATAGTCACAGTGACGGAGGGAGGAACAGACCATGTAGTCGCACTGGGTAACTACCTAACTGCATAGTAATTAACTCTCCGATCAAGCTATAGATAGGTCATCGGTAAGTTCCATGTGCTCCCATTATAAACTCACAGTAGTCGCGCCTATCACAATTTCTTTTCACCAAAAAAGAGTAAAGTAGGAAAGAAAAGAAGAAAGTCACTGATTTCATGGTGTCGTCATTGATTCAGATTGCCTTCCTTATTCGGGGGGGTTTTCAGTCGGGACGTTCCCGCCATTTTTTTGGTTTTTACTTTGTAGAATTCTCTTGGGGAATAAAAAAATGTGAAACATTTGAGACAGGTTGACCGGCGAATTGACATTTCCGGTCGCGGGTAGGGAAGATACCCCTCACTCCCTTCACTTTTCAATACTTAGTTATCTATCTATTTATTATCTATCAAGTATGTGTCGACTGCAGACCCTAAAAGCCTAGACAATTGAAGTACCGCATTCATCCAGCGCTATTCTACAAGGGATTATTGGCGCAATGGCTGGACTCTGATGCTGACGTTGACAACACCTTAGTTGGGACCTCCGTCGCTTGCTGCCCTCCCCATCTGGGATGAACCAAAGAAGTGGTCCCCAAGGTTCAGGGCCATTCATCCAAGACAATCCAAACTCCGGTTATCCGTACCTGCAAATAGTGAGTATCGCAGTATACTAAAAAGTAGTCGAGTCGTACTAGTACCGAGTGGTGGTAGAAAGGGCAGTGCAGTGCCACAATGTGTGCTAGGAATACTCTGTCCTTTAGAAGGACTAAACTAGTAGCATCGTTAACTAACGTATCTCCGAATCTATTCCTGTCCATCTCGACCGACTGGATTTTCTCGAAGCTCCACTTCGGACCTGCCAAGCCGAACCAGGCCTGCCTTGTTTTTTCTGCCCAGTCATTTGTCCCCATTGACTAGTATTTATCAGTCCATCCACTGCCAGGCAACCAACTCTTTGTCTTCTTTCCCATCCTTCCGGTGTGGCTTGTCTTTAACCCAATTCACTGTGTCATCTGAAGACTCTGGGTGAGACACCTCACAGCCTTCCTCTCGCTAGCGCCCAGCTTTATTATCTGCCAACCCGCCATCGTTCATCTTCCTATTCCTCTTTCGCTGCCATCGTCTCGACTCAGTCTCCCGTTTCCCAATTCGGCGTCGGATCGAACTATAGTCAACTCCGTGTCATCCATCGTCGGATTACCCTCTTCTTCCCCTGAATCTTATCATCCAACTCAATCACATCGATCAAGCGCCATGGCGTTCCTCACTCGCTTGCTTCATTTTCTGTTGCTGTCGTTGATCGCCTGCGCTGCTATCGCGGCCCCAACTGCCGATCAGTCTGATGCCGCCAACTCGGTGGTCGACTCGACTTCCCACGGCTATCTCAGTAGCTTCGAGGACAAGGCCCTGCATCTGTATGAAAAGTTCCGTCACGGAGTTCTTCATTCCGTAAACGATGCCCAGACTGCGGAGGAGGATGCTGCACTGTCCAGCCGGGCCAACCTCGCCAAGCGACAGGGTGTGAGCAATTCGACGAGCGCTGCAGAAACCAGCCAGGCGACGGAACCTGCCGCGACTTCGGCGACTGCTGCGGCCACCACTCAAGCGGAGACTTCTGCCAGCAGCGCTGACTCGACCTCGGCCGAACCCACCTCCGCTGCCACGACCGCCGCCGCCACCACCGCGCATACAACCGCCGTGCAGACTACATCTAGCTCTAGCAGCAGTGAATCCAGCTCTAGCAGCAGTGAGTCGAGCTCTAGTAGCAGTGAGTCTAGCTCCTCGTCCACGTCTCCTGTCACCACCTCCTCCACCTCCTCCTCTTCTTCTTCGTCGTCGACGTCGACCTCTTCGACTTCATCGACTTCGTCCACTGCGTCCTTTTCTTCCTCTTCTTCTTCTTCTTCTTCTTCTTCATCCACCTCCTCTTCTACTACCTCTGCCTCTACCTCTTCATCCACATCTTCTTCTTCGTCCTCCTCTCACACTCGGACAGCATCTTCTACCACCAGCGTGCCTGCCACCACCACCTCGTCGACCTCGTCCACTTCCACTTCCAGCTCGACCTCATCCACCGCAAGGTCGACCACCATGCACACCACGAGCTCCACGTCGCAGGATACGACTAGCACGACCAGCACGACCAGCACAACTAGCACGACCAGCACGACCAGCCAGCCCACCACCCCCTACACCTCCACCTACAAGATCACCACCACTCTGCCCGACGGCCAGCAGAGCACCGTGACAGCCGTGACAGTCGTGCACCCCACGGAGACCGCTCGCGAGGTGGCCACCGGCACCAAGGCATCCCCAGGACTGCAGACCGACTCTGCTGCCTCTGCCAATGGATTCGCGCGCGAGTTCGCTCTCATGATGGGAGGAGCTGCCGTGGTGGCCATGGCGTTGTAGCCTCTCTCAGCCTGTGACAACAATATTCTACCATTCAAGTGCATATTCGGCGTTCAATTCTATTCTCACATTTCGAAAATGTTCTATGATACCTCACGATCCTTGAGCAAGCAAACAAGCTAGCATGTGCATATTTCTCCGGCGTCCAAATACCAGTCTCTCCTTGAAAGCGCTGCATAAATGGGTTGCAATTTACAGTTTACATTGGTGTTGAAAAGGAAATTTGTTTTTTTATGATGACATGTCTCTCTTTATGATCCTGTCCCAGTTTGCAACTACATACATACATACATACTATGTTTCCAGCGTGTGCATATTATAATTGTCACTGCGACTGGTGTATTTACAACCAACCAACTGCAACAATTGAAACTGAACTGAACTTGAATAATCGTATCACATCGTACTCCTGGGTATTTAACTACATTTATCAACACATAATCCCCACCAGAACCATAACCTCCACCCAAAAATATATATATGTCCCCCCACCCTATATCCCACCCTTCACACCCCAATCACTCCGCGCTACCGCGTTCCGCAATAATCATAGAGTAGCCCTCTCCTCCTCCGTCCAAAACCTCACCAAACTCTCCCAAGCAGCCACATCCCCATCCCTCAACAACGCCGCCACATCCACATTAAGCGGCGAATCCGGTCTCGGATCAGTAAGCAACTGATGGATCGCACTCAACGTACTACTCAAGGTATACACAGGACTCCAATGCTCCGTGGTCAACAACGTCAGACAGATCTCGCCCGTGGTGAAGCTGATATTCGGATGGCTGATTTTCGTCTTGAAGGTGATTTTCGGCGGGGTGAGGGGGTAGGTTGGGGGGATTTGGATGGAAAGGGTCCAGAGGCCATCTATTATTTCATTTTCAATGATGTTAGTGGGTTGTTGTTGTTGTAGGGTATAGAGGAATGTGGGGATGGGGATGGGATAGGTATAAGTACTCTCGTAAGGCGTCCCCGGAACACCTTTTAATACTGCTTCCCAGTGGAGGAGGTCGTCTTCGTCGACGGGACCGAGGTGCAGGAGGGCTTCGTTGGGAGAGTTCGTGTAGTCTTTTAGTTCGCGGAGGAGGCGGTGCGTTGTTTGTGAGGAGGCCATCTTTCTGTTCCTTATTTTTTATTTTCCCGTTGGGGGAAATTTGTGTAGGTTGGTATGTGGAGGAGGGGTGAATTGATAGGGAGTGATTGATAGTTGGTTGGATGAATGGAGATAGGAAGCAAGCAAGCAGCAGATAAGGTGGATGTCGCGGTGGCTGGTGCGGGTGCGGTGCGGTGCTTGCTCGTGTCGCGCCGAGGCTCAGAAGCCAGAACTGCCAGCCGTGGGTCTTGACTACCCGCCGGTTGATTGGCTTTCCGGTCGGTCTCGGCTTCCGAACCCCCATGTGTAATCCGCCGTCACTGAGTCGCTCGCCCCTTGTTGAGCCTAATTTCAGTCGATCTCGGATTTACTTACATGGTTTGATTTCATGTGAAGAATTGTTTATACGGCACCGAGTACATGTTTTAAGATAGAGCTAGTACAACATGCGCACTTCCCGGGCATCTAAAGAAACTGCCAAGGTGCTGCAGGCTTTGTCGCCTCCTGCTCGACGAACAACTCGCAGTTCGGCTCAGGCTGCTAGTCGCCTTCAGGGTTTTGCTTTTGGGGGTGCTACTGCCCCGGATGTATCTGTCAGTGATGATGATACTTCCTCGCTCTCGTCTGTGCCGACGGTTGATATTGAGGATATCATGGAGCCGCCGGCCAAGCGTCGCAAGAGTGCGTTGAGCGCCACGTCTACCAGGGCGAATGCGCGCTCTAGCCGGAGAGCTGTCAAGACAGAGACTCCAATTAAAGAAGCGACTCTTGTCAAAGCAGAGACTTCTGTCGAAGAAGCACCTGTCAAGAAAGAATCACTTGAGAAGCCGTCAAAAGCACGACGGACGCCCGCTCGCAAGATCAAAACCGAGAATGGCGCCTACTCCATGCAGCCCCCCTCCAACTGGGAGACTATGTATGACATGGTCAAGAAGATGCGAGAGGCAAATCCCACTGCACCCGTTGACACCATGGGCTGCGCCGAACTCTACTGGCGTGCGTCCTCTCCGCGCGACCGCCGGTTCCAGACTCTCGTCGCACTCATGCTGTCGTCTCAAACCAAGGACACAGTCACGGCGGTGGCCATGCAGCGGTTGCACACGGAGCTTGGAGACCAGTCGACGAGCATTGTGAAGAAAGAGCCTGAAGAGTATTACTGGAAGCCCACAGACCAGGTCAAGGACAGCACTCTAAATCTGGAGAACATCCTAGCCGTCACTCCTGAGCGACTCAACGAGCTCATTGCCAAGGTGGGCTTTCACAACAACAAAACCAAGTATATCAAGGCTGCAGCCATTATCCTTCGCGATCAATACGATTCCGATATTCCGTCGACTGCGACTGAACTGATGAAGCTCCCTGGCGTCGGTCCGAAGATGGCGTTTCTGTGTATGAGCGCGGCGTGGGGCAAGCACGAAGGCATTGGCGTTGATGTTCACGTTCATCGCATTACCAATCTCTGGGGCTGGCACAAGACAAAGAATCCGGAGGAAACTCGCATGGCGCTGGAATCGTGGCTACCGAAAGACAAATGGCACGAAATTAACAAACTGCTGGTCGGCTTAGGACAGACGGTCTGCTTACCTGTAGCTCGGAGATGTGGCGAATGCGATCTTGCAGGAACCAAGCTCTGTAAGAGCGAAATCAGGGGTCTAGTAACACCAAAGCGAGACGCTGTGAAGCAGGAGGGGCCAAAGGTGAAGGTCGAGCAGGAGTAGAAGTTGAAACCAAGTCATGGGATTGAATGCCCCAGGCAACTCGTCAGTCACTCTTAATGTTTTGTTCCAATTGTTTGGTGGGGAAACACAACCACTCTGTTCTGCCAGACCAGCCTTCTTCCTCTGTTGACCGTGTGTTTACCTGTGTTAACCAGACATCTTTTCCCGTCAAATCATCAAGTTGTATTCTGTTGATCTTCGATAACGTTGTCGAGACTTTCATCACTGTGCTTAACAGCTAGCTCGGCTCGAGTTAAGCTCTCACTTGCGCTTTTAAGCGTAAGCTCATCCATCAGGTTAATTGTGTGACACAGTGAACCTTACTAACTTGGTCTGATTATGTGCAGGTTGGATGGAATTTAGTGTCATCGAGGACGACAGTTGGATTCTCGCTTTCGATACCGTTCAATCGACCATACCGCCACCTGGGACTTGCCGAAGGTCTGGTTCTAAAATTGTCAGGATGGAGGTCACAAAGAAGGGCCCTACACTGTTCGATTTGCCAGAAACTATCAGAAATAGAATCTTCGACTTCGCTGCTCTGCGTCGTTCTTGTATCATCGACTTCACCCTGGAGCGGGACCGCATGAAGCGAGACCCGCCTTATTGTCATAGAACCGAATTGCGAGCGCATCGCAGCCCTTGGCTTCCGCTCAGCCGCTGCTACCATCCAAAGCTGCCGACACAGCTGTTCCTGTCATGTCACACCCTGCGCCGGGAGGCCGGTGCCTATTTCTTCTCCCGTAATCGCTTCAGCATGTTTCTGCGCGGCCGGGCAGACTATAAAAACTTTGAAGCATCATTGCAATGGGGCATGGAACATATTCGGTACTTGCATGTGGATCTCGGTCATAAGGATAACCGAACGCTCAAGCTGGCGGGTGGTTCCCACCAAACATTGTTGACGTGGTGGGCGGAGTTCTGCAAGCTCGCGGCAATCGACATGCCGAATCTCAGATACTTCAGCCTCAAATGCAAAGCCTATGAGCAGGAAGTAGTTGTCCGGGTGATGCGTGATATGGATCCGTTTCCCAGCCTGTTCAAGTGTGCCTTCTATTTCAGCAATGATCAGGATAAGATCTATAGTTTCCTGCCTGTGATGAAGCGCACGGCGCGCCGCCTGACGGACAATCTTGATGTCCCGCCGTTTCCGTTCATGTATCTGCCCCGGGAACTGCAGCTGATGGTGCTCGGGCACCTGCTCATCTGTCGTTCCGATCCGTGCATGGCCGATCCTGTCCCGGGCCTTATCGTCTTGGATTACCGCGACCGTCTGCGCTTCAAGTCCTGCTGTGGCACCTGCTCGCCGGTTGGAGGCATTTGCTTCTGTGATAAGACCGAGACGGTATTTTCGACGGGCTGCACCTGCTTCGCCTCGCCATTGCGCTATTTCCTGGTTAGTCGGGAGTTCCATGAGCTCGCTCGTCAGGTCTTCTGGGGCCGCAACAAGTTTATGTTCGTGGAGGAGGATCCGACCTACACCATGGGCTTTCTGAGTGGCATTCCCACGGAATCAACGATTCTGGTACAGAATTTGACATTTCACTTTCCCTTGTGCTTTCGGGCCACCCCGCAGACGGGAGCCCGTTCCGCGGACGCGAATTTGCGGCACTGGGCAGTTCTGCGCCGTTTCATCCGGGAGCACTTTGATCTAGCGCGCCTAACCCTGAAGATCCATGATCAGGGCCGGGCCACGTCAATGTACACGATGGACAACCGCAAGAGATATTTGCGCCGGCTGCTTATGGCGTTTACCGACATGAGAGGGCTGCGAGGGTACCGGGTGTATCTGCGAGATGACCGCGGGTTCGAGAGACAGGCCGTGATGGCTGTCATGGGGCGATGGGCTCCTTGAGATGCCGCGATGCCTATCGGGTCTTAGTTCTTTCTCGTCTCTGGCAGAACAGGGAACACATATCTTCATGGTTGTGATGGTTGATGATTGATGGTTGTTGCAGATAGCGAGTTGATGCACATAGATGCGTGGTGTGCTTTTCTTTTCTTTTCTCCACTTTTTCTTCTCCTGTGTCTTTTCTTTGTTAAAGCACGAAAACTCGTCTCCATTCAGATAGCGATGCTCATGCAGGTGGTAGATGCTTATCCTGCTGTTATTTCTTTTTCTTTCTTTTTCTTTTCTCATGTGTCTTTCTTCACAGAACACAAACACTTACCTCTCATGATTATGATCCTGATGCCGATAGATGCCTGTGGTGTTTTTATTTATTTTCTTCTCTACTTTTTCTCTTCTCTTGTGTTTCCCTTTCACAGAACACGAACACTTACCTCATGGTATTGCCTCCTTAAAATATGGATGGTTGAGTCTGTCTTCATCAAGATGATTCAGGCTCAGCCTGCCGTTCATCCAGAGAGTCAGTGTCAAGATCAACCTGAGATAGCCAAGTGTTGACGTGTCTGCCTGCCACATGCATGATATCCATCACCAACGACGTGACCTAGTTATCAAGAATAATATGCCGATAGATAGTCTGTCTCTTCATCATCCCTACTAGTAGATAGACAAATAGTAGAGTGATGCACGTAAATAAACAGTAACCAGCAACCAGCAAAAAGTAAACACCAAAACTGAGCACCCAGAAAATAAAAGAGAGAGAGAAGAGTAGAGATAGAATGAAAAGAGAAAGAAGAGATCCCGCCGTGTTGTTCTTCTGAAGATAATAACTAATCGACACCAAACAGGGCCATAGCAGATTAACTGCAGCATACGCATGATACGATACTGCCTCGTATCTTCACCCTCCTTCACCAGTGATATAGATACGGTCGTGTCCATACACTTAGAAGTAGCTAGTAGCTAGGGTTGGTTCGTTATCATGCTGCATGCATGCATGCATGCAGTGAGACACAACTAGATATATAGATATGACTAAGCAAAGCACCGCACCGCACCGCACCCGCAATGAAGTCACCCCTCACAAAGTCACAACACAACTAAGATGATGAATATTTTCCCCCGCGCTATCAACATTCTCCAACTATATACAATTATATTGCCCCCAATCCCAATCCCAATCTTACCCCTACCCCTACCCCTACACACACACATACTTACACACTTACACACTTACACACTTACAAACATACACATACATAACCCATTAGATGATACACAAAATGTCCCTTCCAATCCATCCCCCCACCTTCGCAACCACACAACTCACCCTCCTCCGCGCGGAACAAACCGCCGAAATCACCTCCAACAACCTCTTCACCAGCAGCGCCATCACCACCGCGTCGCCATCCACCCGGCGCACACTCCAAGCGACAGGCCACGCCCTGACAGGTATTGTCCTGTCGCAATGTAGGACGGGGCTGGGGGGGAGGGTGGTGGGGGAGTTTGTGGCGGATGCGGCTGTCACCAATACTTCTTCTACTAGTTCTACTAATTCTAAATCTGGTTCTGGTGGTGGGGATGGGAAGTTGAGGTTAGGTGCGCATGGGGTTAGGGTTGGGGATGTGGTTAAATTAATTGAGATTAGTTCTAGTTCTGGTTCTGGTTCTGGGGGTGGTGGTGGTGGAGGGAAGAAGGGGAAAGATGGGAAAGATGGGAAAGGAGGAGGGGTGGAAGGGGTTGTGACGAGGGTTGGGGAGAGTGCGGTTTGGGTTGCGTTTGGGGGGAAGGATTCTGGTAAAGGGAGTAAGGATGAGGATGGGGTGGAGGAGTTGTGGGGGAGGAAGGTTTGGATGTGAGTTTTCGTCGTCTTGCTACTTTCTTTCTTTCTTTTGGTTATGCTGGTATCAGAGTGATGAGTGGGGTGCTAATAGCGTATAGGATCAAACTTGCCAATGATGTTACGTATAGACGGTATGTCTCTACTGATTGATTCTATGAAAAGCTATACTTATTGATGGTATAGGATGAACCAGACTATGGAGAAAATGGTCAAAATGACCGACTCCGAGCATACTCATTTCATGCGCGTGGCCTTTGGTCAGACCTCGCCTATGTTGCCAGACTACGATTCTATCGGGCCTCTGGAGTTTACAGATCCTACGCTGAATGACTCCCAGAAGGAGGCCATTCGGTTTGCTCTGGCGGCGCGCGAGATTGCCCTCATTCATGGCCCGCCCGGGACCGGCAAGACGCACACGCTGATCGAGCTGATCGTGCAGATGGTGCAGCGCAAGCAGCGGGTGCTGGTCTGCGGCCCGTCGAACATCTCCGTCGACAATATCGTGGAGAGACTGGCGCCGAAGAAGGTGCCCGTGGTGCGCATAGGACATCCGGCGCGGTTGCTCCCGTCCGTCCTGGATCATTCGCTGGAAGTGCTGACGCATACGTCGGAGGCGGCGGCGATTGTTCGCGACGTCCGCAAGGAGATCGACCAGAAGCAGGCGAGTATTCGAAAGACCAGGTCAGCGCGGGAGCGACGGGCCATCTACGATGATCTGCGAGAACTGCGGCGCGAGTTCCGCGAGCGCGAGAACAAGTGCGTGGAGAACCTGGTCCGCGAGAGCAGCGTGGTTTTGGCGACGCTTCATGGAGCCGGGGGTCATCAGCTGAAGAACCAAAAGTTCGATGTGGTCATCATCGATGAGGCGAGTCAGGCACTGGAGGCGCAATGCTGGATCCCGCTGTTGTCGGCATCCAAGGTGGTTCTGGCTGGTGATCACTTGCAGCTGCCGCCGACCGTCAAGTCGACCAAAGATGATGTTAAGAAGATGAAGGCCAAAGAGGAGGACAAGAAAGAAAACGGAGAGTTGCTAGACAATGTCTCGCTGGAGACGACTCTCTTCGACCGACTGCTGTCGATGCACGGCCCGGGGATCAAACGGATGCTCACGACGCAGTACCGGATGCACGAGAAGATAATGCAATTTCCGTCGGACGAGTTGTATGACTCGAAATTGATGGCTGCAGACTCTGTCAAGGCTCGACTGTTAAAGGACCTACCCTACGAAGTGGAGGAGACCGATGACACCAAAGAGCCGCTGGTGTTCTGGGATACGCAAGGTGGTGATTTCCCTGAAAAGACCGAGGATGCGGATCTGGGTAAGAAGGCCCACTTGGGCGATAGTAAGAGCAACGACATGGAGGCTCTAGTGGTGAGCCGGCACGTCGATGCGCTGGTGGACGCAGGGATACACCCCGAAGACATTGCGGTGATTACGCCATACAACGGTCAGCTGGCCGTGCTGTCGCAGATGCTGCGGGAGAAATACCCCAGCATTGAGCTGGGCAGCGTCGACGGGTTCCAAGGGCGTGAAAAGGAAGCGGTGGTGGTGAGTCTGGTGCGCAGTAACAGCGAGCACGAAGTGGGATTCTTAGGGGAACGGCGTCGTCTCAACGGTAAGATCCCTCCCAAGTGGCGAGGGTGCATGGACTGACAGTATTAGTGGCCATGACGCGGCCGAAACGGCATCTGTGCATCTGCGGTGACTCGGAGACGATTAGCAAGTGAGTGCCCCTCTCGTAGTCAGCATTTACTTTGTAGGCAAATCGTTGACGTTGACTGTTCTCCACAGGGGCAGTGGGTTCCTTAAGCGATGGATGGGATTCCTGGAGGAGCATGCTGATTTGCGGTATCCGGACGCTGGCGATCTGTTGTGATCATACCTAGATAGACTAGCTACGAAGTATCCTCGGACGTTGCTTGGGCCATGAGTGTCACCGATGGGAGGTCCTGCAATCTAGATGCAGTGTCGTGCAACGTCTGCAGCAGACGGTCCCTTGCAGGAGAACAACCGACTCAAACAAAACATACGCGCAAGGGATAGCATTGGAGGCAATTCAGACACGCGATGAAAGAATTGCCCAGAGAGTAAATAGTGTTGGCATGGGCGCATTTCCCTGTCACGTCAACCATCCACATTCCATATCTTAGCGAGAAATCTTAGATTGTCCATGTGGCTTGCTCGATGGAATTCCGGGAACCCCTCCCTTGGAGACGCCAAAGAAGAGGGGGGAAAGGAAGATCATGCGTCATGGCGTAGTGAAGTGTGCAGGATCTAGAATCCCACGAGCGGGACAGTCAGCCTCGCTTCTGTCCACCGCATAGATAGATACTCAAATAGATACTACTGGTGATTCGCTGAATGAATGAATGAGGATTGTGTCCGACCGCGACCGAGGGGGACGGAGAAGGAGGGAGGGCCCGTCAGCGAAAAGCGAACGGTTCCGAGCGTCTGATGGGCCAACTTAATCGGTTGTGGACGGGAGCGGATGGGGGGTTAGAGGGGAGAGGGAGGCCACTTGGCGTGTTTCAGCATGGGGGATTGCCATCGTGGTCCAATGATGAGAGAAAAGAAAAGAGGAGTTGAAGCAGTGAGTGAGTGAGTGAGTGAGTGAGTGGAGGAAGGAAGAGTTGGGAATGGGGCCGAAGGAGTGAGGGAGGAAAGATTCGGTTGTGTGAGGGAGTCAGTCACTGGGTGTGTGTGCATGGATGGTAGTGATGAGTTGGCGCGGCACAGGTTGAAATTAAATTAAATCTTGCATATGCTGTATGCAGTAATTAGTAGTAGGATGGAATTTTACCCTTTCTTTTAAAATGGATGAAAATATACCTTGGGAATATTCAGCAAGTAAATAGTAAAATAGTAAAAAAGTTTTAACTCGAACAATGGAATTTTCCTCAGCAATGAATCATCATATTTACTAGTTAACTAGTTAGTTAGTTTTTAGTGGTGATAAAATAAATATTTTGGAACTAAAAATACACCCCCTGACACACGCCGCGAGTGTTTCGAAATTCCACTCCGCTTCTTCTTCTTCTTCTTCTTCTCCATCCACCAGCAGCTCAGCTCCACTTTTGCTATGCGCTTCTCTCTTTTAGTTCTCTTTCCTTCGTCTCTGCCTGCTGCTGCTACTGCTGCTGCTGCTTCTGCTTTCCCCCCGGTCTTCTCTTCCTCTTCTCTTGCAGCTTCCTTCCATTCCTTCGTCTCTAATGCCAATTTGATTGATTACTTCCTGGTTGGGGTCCAACTCTATACTTTGGTGATTCTCCCCCGATATTATTATCAGGGCGAATAATCCATTCCTTCTGTTATTCTCCTCCCTTCTGTCTCTCTCTCTCTCTCTCTTCACCTTCTCTGCTTCTCTCTTCTTCACTCACTTCCACTCCTTCTCCATCGCCAATCCCGGGATATTCTTCCTGGATCCTCCCTGTTGGTGTTTGATAAGCTCGACGATTTCCCGTATTCTGCTCCATCCTCGCCGATCCCGCCCGCTTCTTCTGAATCTTCTGAGACTCTCTTCCCTGTTGCTCGTGTCGGGGACTAGTGAATCTTCGTCTCCAATTGCCCCCAAAGTCTTGGGTTTCCCTCCCCCCATTTCATGACTCTGTAGTGTCTCTCTCTACCAACTCGTCCATTAACTCTGATTTACTTTCCCTACTATTATTACTCCATTTTATTTTTATTTTATTCTGCCACCTTCTTCTTCCCACTCTCGACTACTTCCTCTCTCCCCCCCCCTCCTGCTGACTCCTTGGCTTCATTCCTTCCGACACTCTATTCTATTTTCTTCTTCCAACCTATCGATCATGATTTGAGCCCTTTTGCCAAGGTCAGCTTCCCCCTCTGACATCCATCCTTCCAATGTGGATTCCCTGCTGATGCTGGTGCCCGCAGCCTCACTCCTTTAGATTCCCCTCCGCTTTTCAGCTGGTGGCTCTGCGCCTTGGCGTATATCCAATCGTTCCTTGTCCCTGTCTTCGTATCTGTCCTTACCGATCGCTTCGACTGTCTTCCCACCCCCTTGCGCTTTTGTATGCCATTGGACCGGTCTGCAGCGTGCATGTTTCATGTGTTGTCTATCCCTCTAAAGCCCAAGTTCCGACATGTCTGGTGCCAGTACAAGTACCACGCGAAGTGACTCCGCCCACAGTCGCATAGCTGACTCTCCAACTTCGGACCCTGCAGCTGCAGACGCTTGCTTTGATACTGCATTACCGCCCATGAGTTCCAAACAGATGGTCGTCTCCACGCGTCGTCCACCCCGTGCTTCCGAATCCTCCCTGATCGCTACTAACCTCCGCAACACCAATCGCGCCGTCGCTACCCTGCCATACACCCCCGGAACGACCACCCTTGCTCGCGGGCCCAGCACACATCGTCGTACCGGCAGCACCCTCAAGACCGTCATGCGGAAGATCTTCACCCGCAAAAGCCGCGGGCAGGAGGACGACGATTCCGCTGATTGTCGGTTCGGCAACCACAGTCCGCGATCGAATCAATCGCTTGACAAGCCGCAGCCGCTCTCCGGTTCGTGGAACGCCAAATCCACCAGTCCGTTGCAACAGGAACACGGGCCCGTCACCTCGTGGGAAGAGGCCCTGCGCAAGCTCGAACCGCAACCCCGCCGCCGACGGGCCACGCTGCCGAGCTTGATCTTTTCGGACGACGAATCTCGCGGTGCCCTGGAAGCGGTCGTGCATTCGGGCCGACCGACCAGTAGACGGGACAACAGTCCGCATGCTAACAGTGATCCGGATGAGGTCCGCCTCCGAGAGATGCGCCAGATCAAGCGTCGCTCCCGCAGCGCGACCGCCCTGCGCAGCATGGCCAAAGATCACCTGATGTCTCCCATTCAATGGCGTCGCCGCAGTCTGGAGTCGTACGCCGGATCGACTACCTTTGGCGCGGTCTCCGAGGCAGATGCATCGGAACGACCCCCAACTCGGACTACGGTCGCCAGTGCCCCCAAACCCACCACGGAGCCGTCCTTCCTGGATGGGCCGGATGAGGACGACGAGGAAGACGCACCAGAGGAGCCCATGCCCCAAATGGTGGGGACGCTAGTCAACTCATTACAACACGATGAGAATGTGACGCTGGAACAGCGACTGACCACCTTGGAGGTAAAATTGATCGACTTGGAATGTGCGATCGCACGCATACAGTCTGGGCGCAGTGAAACGCCGACCGAGCCGTCGGGACAGAGGAAACCGTCACCCCCGACGACACGGCACAAGCGCAAGCAATCGTCGGCCCAGTCGCCGTCGGGTAGTGATGAAACCCCGGGCGCCAAGTCGCCCGGCGGCGCCGATCGCCCGTCTAGCACGAGCACACTGCGCCCGAACCATCTCCACCGCTCGCGTACATTGCAGGCCCCGTCCTCCACGTCGCTGCACGAATGCAATACCATCTCCGTCGAACAGTATAGCGCACTCGTGATGTTGCTGCGCCGGGAGCAGTCTGCGCGACGCAATCTCGAGGAACAGGTGTCCAGTCTGCGGAGCGATGTCGAGCAACTCACGCGCGTGGCACGCGAATCCATGGGCATGGGTCCGATTTATCCCATCCCAATTGACGCGCATGATATTATGCGCATGCGGCAGACCCTGGGGCCGTCTCCAACCAACTCGAGGCCGCCGACGGAAAAGATCTCCCCGGACAGTGATTCCGAGGAGCGTCCGGAGCTCCCTCCGAAGGGAGACCTGTATAATCCGCGGTGGCCGTCGGCGCGACGCGTCGAAGTTGGCGGGATGATATGATGCCAACATTTATTCTTACTCTTCTATTCCCCTTCTCACCCTCCCTCTTCTCCTCTCTTATGACCATATCTGCTTCATACCCTCATTGGTTATTATTATTATTTTTTTTTTTTTTTTTTTTTTTTTTGAAAATGTTCTGCTTGTGGTTATGATATCCTGCATAAGATTGCGTGCATGAGTGATACTGTACATACCAATTGCTTTCATCTACGGACTGGCTGCCGGGCTGCAGCAATAGACTTATAGATCAATTGAAGGAAAAAAAAGTCATAAATATACAAACACCCACTAAGAAGAACATTAACAATTAAATCAATTAAGATATACTAAAACAGCTATACACGAAGCAACAACAACACCTGGATATCTACCCCCACAACCCAAACCATGCAATATGATAAACAACCTCCCTAATCAACCTTTTTAACATCCTCCCCCTCCTCAAACCTCACCCTCTTCCCAAACAACACCGACCTCCCCAACACCGAACCTAGCACAAAACCCACATACGCCCCGGTCAACAACGTAATCGGATACGCCTGCCACGGCCGATCCCTACACAATCCACCATTAGTACATACATCCCCAAACCACCCCTCCGGGAAAAGAAAGGAAGAAACATACCAATCCAGCGGCACCGGCACCGCCCCAAGCCACGCACCCACACAAGTCCCCAACGCCCCACCCCAAACAACATCCCCAGGCCTTTTGGCCCCCCACACCTCCTTCCAAACATTCCCATCGACACCATGAACATACACCAGCGCCAAGGACGAGAGAATAGCCATATGCGCCGCGCAGAGCACCGTCTGGGCATGGTGAGTCGTGAACGGCGCGCCGAAGAGAATGAGGAGGATGCTGAGGACGGGGGTGGCGAGGAGGGTTGTCAGAGTTAAGGACAGTAATGAAGCCTATTCATTCCATTGGTCAATATTTCGTTAGGATGAGAAATTTATATAGAGGTGGGGGGAGGGGGGGGAAGGACGTACAACAACCCGTCCACGAATAGCCGATGCAGTGGACGACGAGGACGAGGACGAGTCCTTTGTGCGGCGCCGGCCGACGCGGCCGGGACGGAGGATCACGTTTCCGTTCGTTCTTGATCCAGTGGTCGTGGCCGTGGTTGTGGACGATGCGCTGGAGGTAGCAGCAGTAGGGGTGGATGGGGATGTTGGTGTAGCTGCTGCGGTGGCGGCAGAGTCGGTGCCAGCGGCGGGAAGACAGATCATCACGTAGGCGACGTGCGCGAGAGCGAGGAAGGGCAATTGCTGGGCCATTTCGGAGACCGGGTCATTGACCAGCGCAGGGAATCGCGCGGCGAAGGCGGAGAGAAGCGCTGCTGGGTGGATGTAGGAGTAGGTGGTTGCGAGTTGGGTTGGGAGGATGTTCACCGGGGGTGCGGCGGGTTTGTTGGAGGTGTCCGGGGGCGCGGAGGCGGCGCTGTTGGTTGTGAGGGGGGAGGGGGGTGGAGAGGCCATTTTGATGGAGGGGCGATGGGCCTGAGGAGGGGAAGAGAGGGAGGGGAGAAGGAATTGGGGAGGTGGTGAGGTTGATTAGGAGCTGTGGAACGAAGAGATGCTTCGGAGGTGACGGAAGTGGAAGAGGAAGATTGGTTTTGTTTGGTTTGTTTGCATGGGTTAGTCTGGGGTCGTTAGTGCCTGAGGTGTCAGGGGATGTTACAGGTTTACTTTTGAAGATAGGCCATACAAGTCGGAAAACTCTACTATTCTGCAATAGTGTCATGTACCATACATAATCTACACCTATTTAAAACACATGGCACGCCATCCCACAAGCAATACATACATCATTCGTGACCCATAAGTGCATCAACGACAATCCTCATGGCAGCCTCAAGCCACCTGTGCGTGAATCATGTCGTCCATTTCCATATCCTAAACCACTTGACAAAGGAAAAAAATCAGAATTCTTCATCTATGACGGTACAGCAGGTCCTGGTCCAGCGTCCGTTCCCTCCGTCTCTACTGGTGGAGAGGCCACGGGCACGGCCATAGGCTCCTGCTTCTGCTCTAAACCAGGCACCGCAACAGGACTCTCTGGTGTCCGTGGTTCTTCAGGAATCGCCGGAGGCAGTCCTGAACCCGGCAGCGGAGAGACCGGTGAACTTAATTGCCCCTCTTTAGGATAGCTAGTCACGTCGATCGGAGCAGGTCGGTTTCGTAGACTATCCTTGCCAGATGGTGACAGCGTGTGGCTCGACACAGACAGGTCGGCTTCCGAATTTACAGGGCTTCGCGTCCGATCCCGCTCGGTGGACTCCTTCACACCATCTCGCACCTGTGCAACCTTGGCTTTGAACTTGCCAAACAGGCTGCGCTTCTCGGGTTCAACGAAAGAAGCGTCCTTGGCGGCCCCGTTGTTGCTGACTTCCGCGTCGAGACTCAGAGGTTGATAGGACGGATCGCTCGCAAATTGCTGCAGATCCGAGGGCGAGCTTCTGCTCGAGTGATGCCAACTGCCAATCGAGCTGGTGCTTCGGTCGGCACCGGGTGTGGTGGCCATGAGCGGTGGCGACGCAAGTCCCAAGCCAATGTGCTCGTTGCTGCGTTTGGACGAGCGCGGGAACCGCCAGCTGCGGCGATGCTCCTTGCGCTCCGCTCGCGCCGCATCATCAATAGGGTCAGCATCTGAGTAATCGGTGAACGATGATCGAGAGTTCATCGATGGAGTCCGTGAGCCATAAGGCCGCAGCGATGTGTCGCCCGCCTGCTGTCCACCTTCGTGCGGCAACAGCTGCTTCTCCGGCCTGCCTTCTCGTGGCGGGCTCAGATCATCAGAACTCCTAGTGTTAGGAGCTCGTGGCGTCGCTCCTCCAGCATCATTGTTGACCTCCGCGTGTCGGGAAGTATGCAGGATCGCTGCTAATCCAGTATCAGATGTCGCAGCCTGCAGCGACTGAGACGAGCTTTGCGCACTTTCACTCGCGCTGCCAGGGATTCGCTTCTTCTTCAAGCGGTTCGGCTGTCGCGGCTCTTTATGCTCACCACTTGGTGGTGGTGACTTGGAGAACAGACTCGAAAGCTTGCGTTCCCGCGTCGGCGTCACCACCGCCGGCGGGGGTGAAGCAGCTATGGGTGGCAGTCCTTCCCGCAGGATAGGCCTGTCACCGACAAGCTTCTCTGTACTCCCCTGTTCAGGGTGTGGGATAGGCCTTTCTGCCATCAGCCTCTCCGCAATGGGCGCCTGAGCGGGCTTTTGAGCGATGGGCTGCTGAACAACTGGCCTTTCGATAGTCGGCTGTACAACAGCTGGCTTCTCCACACTGGGGTGTGCCGTAGGCTTCCCCGTATCGCCAACCTCATTCCCATTTTCAAGCGCACTCTTTGGTACGGGCCCGTGTGTGGACGAGTGGACATAGACAATCCCAGTCCCTGGCTCTACCACCTCTGTTATGGAGCCTTGACCATTTGTGGGTGGCGGAGTGCCCTGAGCAGCCTGGTTAGGTGCAGGGCTCACCTGAACATTGGTCTGAGGCAACTCAGGTTGAGGTTGGGCGGCAATCTGGGTTCGGGGTGTAACCGGGGCTTCAGGAACCTGAGCCTGAGGCTGAGGAGCAACTTGGGGCTGAGGAGCAGGCTGATTTTGGGGAGCTTGGGGCTGAGTTTGAGGGGCAATCTGTGGTTGAGGAGCAGGCTGAGGTTGAGTAGGCTGGGGCTGAGGTTTAGGAGGCCGAGGAGTGTCCTCAGCAGGCGCAGGCGCACGGCTGGACGCCCGCGAGTGTTGCGCAGACGTGTGTGCCGATGAGTTGACCCCTGTGTTCTCCACCGCTCGTCCATATCGTGATGGAGGAATCACGGGCGTCATCTTGGACGGTAAAGTATTGCTGCGATGTACCCCAACACCGCCCAATGAGGTCGGTGTTGCAGGGCTTGCAGCATTGGAATTGCGCGAATTCTTCGATGAGACAGACACATTCCGGCGCAAACTTCCATACTTTCGGAAGCTCTCCGCACCGCCACTGGCACTCGACACCGAGCGTCGAACATTGGAATGAGTGGTGGGCCGGCGGGCCAGACCTCCTTCGACCTCCTTGACCGTCTGCTCATCGGCGGCGGTGCCGTTCATACCAAACAAAAAGTGGTCCTGGTTCTCAATCAGAAAAATGAGGACATCCTGACTCAACTTGTATTCGTCTGGAGACATGTCGTGCTGCGGATGCGACAACAATCCTGGTTGGAAGATGGCAGACAGATTGGCCGACGTCATGCGATTCTGATCCGACTTGGACGCAAAGACAGCCAGCAGGTCGAGAATGTAGAGCAACAGTTGTTTGTTCAACGGGGGCAGCTCGCGGATCAACTGCTGGTAAGCCGCGACCGCTTTAGCATGGTCGAAGGCCTCCGTTTCCGCGGGCGGGGCGTTGTTCTGAATTTGTTCCTGGACCTGTCGTTGATACGTGCGTAGGGGTTCGCGAAACCGTTCATAAAAGTCGAGCGGGACAATGGGTTCGGGCAGCTGGTTCAAATAGCGCCGAAGAACGTTCGCAGCATCATGCACAGTGTAGCCAGTCCAATCCAAGCCCTTTCCATACCGTTCGGGGGAGTCGAAGATTTCCTGAAGATCTTTGATGCGCTTTGCAGAGCCACTCAGACGGAAGATGCCCTCAACGTCGGTCGCTAGCGAGATATACGTTAGCACCGATCTTATCGCACGGCCAGCATGGTCGATATACCTTTCTCTTTTAGATAAACTCCACATTTTGCGACCACGATGGGGACGTATCCGTAGATGAAGCTCTCGCCGTTGTCGTTGGTGAGGGAAATGGCGACGTTGGCGTACTTAATGCTGACGTTGAGGGGGATGCCGAATATACCCTGGGGTTTCTCTGCATTTCGTTAGCATGTGTTGAAAGTAGAGTCCATCAAGCGCAACATTCAAGTAGCTAAGGAACTGCATGCTGCAAAAGGCGACTGGCGTCGATGCGATGGGATCCCACGGACGCCCCACGATCGCATCGCCGCCGACCTTCCCCGCAGCGCAGCAAACCCAACCCAAGATCCTAGTATACCACCACACATACCTTTTGGTTCCTCCTTTCTGGTATTTCTCTTGAATTGTCTCCACCAGGAAGCCAAATCACGTTTCGACGGCGGCGAGGTTGCGATAGTCTCAGGGGGGGCAGCGGTGGGTGGAAGCCGGTGCAGGGGATCGACACCCGGGTGCGACTTGCCGGTGGTAACCATAGTGGGCAGTGCGCGATGAAAATGAGGGTTCCAGACGAGATGCGACGTGCCTGCGAAGGTATAGAAATATAGCGACCGGACCAGACCCTGCTAATCCGAGGCCTCCGTCACCGCCCTTGTTGTTGGCGCGAGAAATTCCGGGGCTGGGAGGCGTGATCCCAAAATAGCACGAGGACTAGTCAGGCAGCGGATTTTAAGTGCCGCGCCGTCCGAAACACGTACAGTAGCAGGGAACCGGTAAAACAGACACTGGGAATTTTTCCGACGGTGGAGAGAAGAGATGGAAGACAGCGAAGGTGGGACAACGCACGAAGGAGGAAGACAGGGGAGATAGGGAGGGATGGAGTGAGAAATGAAAGGAGGTTAACAAGGGAACGCAGGAAGCCAGAGTAGATGTAGGAGAGAGAGGGGGGGGAAGATGGGGGCAGGCAGGCAGCGCTGGCAAGAACGAGACGAAGCAGGACAGGACACGAGCAAATCAACGAATGCCGGACTGTCCGTCAACGATGAACGGTTCGGTGGGGGGGAGAAGATGGTTGTGGTAAATGATGAGCAACAATAAGGACAATAAGGGAGTCTAGCAATCAGGAATGAACCTCAGGCTGAGAGGCTGATTTGGGGCCCTCCGACAGGGCGGATGGGACTGTGGTTGCGTGGGTGAGCAGCAGCAGAGATGCTTCTTGGCTGGTCTGGGGGTGAAACCAATGACCATCATCTGAACCAAGGAAATGCGAGAGCTGCAGTCAGATCGATAGATACTTCGGAGAGTTGGTCGTTGTCGTTGTAGATGGTGACGATGGTGGTGGTTGCTATGCGTGATGATGGGGGAGGTGGAGGGATGAATGAAGATGATTGTGGAGGAGACAGGAGAGACAGGAGGGAAATAATGGAAAGGATGGAGCAACCGACGGACAGCCAACCAGCCAAACTGCGTGACAACCGGACGAACAGGCTTGGAGGCGTGGTGCTGTAGGCGGGACCCAAAGGGGAAGACAGAGAGGTAAAAGAACAAGAAGAGGAATGACCAGTTCAGTCACCAGTTCATTCACCAGTCAGACTATGTATTTCTTCCTAGCAGCACCAGAACGAGGCAGTCAGAAGTAAAGGAAGGAATGAATGAATCCAAGATACGTAGTTAGAATAGAAATAGGATAGATGTGTCAATCAGAAATGGGAACGAGAAGGGGGAGAAAATGGGAAATTGAAAACACCCCCCGCCAAGCATGGAGATGGATTTGTTGCTCTTTTGGGAATTGAAGTTCTGGCAAGTGGCCCTGCTTGGGACCAGACCCCAGGGTTCCAGGGTTGATGGTTTGACCTCGACCAAACAGGTCCCTTTTTTTTTTGTGCCCTTTTTCCCTTATTTCCTTTGCTTATTTTCTCTTGTTATTTTTTAGAAACCCTTATTACGGAGTATTATCTACTAATTTTGCTTATTTTTAACCGCAATTCCCAATTCTTGTTTTTATTTCTTTTTTTTTTCTTTTGGGACTTGGTTCCTTCTCTGCTTATTATTTTTCCAGTTCCCTTCGGTTCTGGCCCTGGTTCTAGTCGACCCTCCGGCACACTAGCATGGGACACTAACTGGACCATTCTTCAATCATTCCGCTACGCTGGTTAGATTGCCCCAGTTCTAGCCAATTGCGTCAAGGCCCCTCTGAGACATGAGGCTATCCGGAGACCACACTCAAATGGACTCGCTCTCCATCCGGATAAGGATTCTCGAATGCAGAATACCCTCTCTCTCTCTCTCTCTCTCCCTCTTTGCCGACCGGGGATCCCCTCACTGGATGTGTGAATGAGTGACCCTTATTCCTGTTGACTCACTGTCGCCTCCTCATGACCGATCAGAAAACTATAAATTGAGAAGGGGAAAGATACTCTCCATTCCTCCAAGGCTGCTACTACTACGTTTACAACAAGGTATATAGGCTGCCTGTCGACCCGTCGGCTGCTCGTGGTTCTAGCTAAAAATATGGTCATGGACCCCCTGATGCAACCCTCACGGCGCTTCCCCTTGAAGCAGCGATGCCGCACCATCAGGGTCTTACCGCGGTTCTCCAACCATCAACTGATGTGGCTGTCATCCCAAACGGCCCGAGAGAAATGCTGACCCCGCGTCTAGTGGTTTAGTTCGGTCGTGGTGCGAGATTCGCTTGCCCGAACTAGTCCGTCAGCTGCCGATCTCAGGAGTGCAGTTCCAGGTGGCCACTCATCTATCTACAACAGCTTACCCACCAGGCTGTTGGGCTGGATCCCTCGCCAGGTTAATCGTAGGGCCGACTCTTCAGTAGCTCGACTTTGCACATACCGAATATAGGAACGTCCGGTGTGATGGTGAAATGAGGGGAAGCTTATGCCATTGATTGAATCATCACATTCAGTCTCAAACAACCAAGACTAAGCTTACTCTATGCACATATAACACATGGAATGTCCCCTGTTGGAGTGCGCGTAAGTCCCAAGACATGTATATACAGCTCTAGCTCAAGCGTGGTGTTAGATAAATGGGTCAATTTACGTAGGTATAAAAACAACAACCAACCAGAGATACTGCTATATGTTCACGACTATCATTGGAAGACAACATGCCCCTATCCGAGTGGCTGGTACCACATAATTTCTTGAGATAGGTGGCTTACTGGTCTGCTGATCTCGGTGGCACATCTTCCACGCAATCACCTACGGGACAGCAATATAGTTTTGTATACTGGGTCCGCTAGAAGTCAGCTAACAACTTGGCCAGCTCCATTCCAACAACCGACCCGTGCAAGCTCTGAGCATGATACACCGCAAAAGCAATGAAATCACCCCGACCACGATCCCACTAAGCTCCGGATTGGAATGTGGGATGGTTCTCCTCAGAACAAAACTTCCTAGATCCTTCGATCGAAGCCGGCTAAGACCTGTCGATTTCCTTAGAAGAATCCTCCAACAAGCACCAAAGGTGGCTCCTGCCCGAGTCATTGCGGTGGGAATCTAAAGAAGATCTTTGTCCTTCTGGGTTGCTTCTCGACGTTAATGGACCTCCGGTTGTGGACGGCGAACCATGGTTCTGGCGAATGGAAGTCTGGGGCCAGCTGGCCGTTGTGCTTTTTTTAACTTGCCCAAAGAATGGAACTGCGCCAGTTAGATTGTCCTGCTGTTTGCCGTTTTGGGATTGCCCTCGGTTTCGGCACTGGATGAGTCAGCACATTCACTCGCGGTCCGGTTCCGGTCACCTGATCGGAGTTGCATTGCGCACGTGATCATATCAGAGCCTGCGGTCCGTTGAGCAGCTCCGGAGCTACGGTCGTCATCACGACCCAGGCCTCTTGTTATCAACACTACCCTTTTTGATCAACCTAGCTTCAGCCCAATCACATCACAATGGAATCGTAAGCAGCTCACTTTGTCATCCCTTCTATCATAGGTTCCCCCGACGTGTACTGATAAGTCCCAGCCTCAACGCCTCTGAGCAGCGTGAGCTCGCCTCTCGCATGGAGAGACGCCAGATGAAGGAATTCATGACCGTACGTGAGACCTGAAATAAACAGACATCCTTTCGCGTCGAACTCGGATCCAACCTACACACCGTTCATACCTCCCTGACCTATCCAATTCCTCCCTCCGTCTATTATCATCCATCATCCATCATCCATCATCCATCATCCATCATCCATCTATATCATCCCTAGCTGGCCTTTTCAATTCTAATCTCATCTCCATAGATGTACTCCAAGCTCGTCCAGCGCTGCTTCGATGACTGCGTCAACGACTTCACCACCAAGTCCCTGATCAACCGCGAAGAGGGCTGTGTCCTGCGTTGTGTCGACAAGTTCATGAAGGGATCGGCTCGCCTGAACGAGCGGTTCCAGGAACAGAACCAGGCCATGATGATGCAGGGACAACAGCGGTAAACGGGAATTCAGCATGGGGTTCGGTTGCTTTGCTTTGCCTTGACTTTGGCGGTTTCTGTATAAAATATTAGAATTTTTGCAATGATGACATCCCCTAATGGCCGGCGATGGGCTCCGCTCGCTCTTGAGGAGCAGGTTTGGTTGCCGAGATCACAGTATGGAGGTATACTGTTGCTGCCGTGATTGTAATATATGGAATGAAATAGCATTGAGTAAACTGCTGATTAAAATGTATATGGGTAATTGTAGCATGTATCAGGAATAATGGATATGACTTTCACAGATAAGACAGTGGTGTAAACCTTATGAAGTCATCGTTTCTGCTTTCTCCGATTGTCCTTCTTCTCCAAAAGACGTGAGGGGATCACTCTCCAAGAATACTTCTACTGGAAGTCTAGCTACGAGCCTTGATGTAAGTAGTGACTGGAGCTGTGTTGATACAACGAGAATCAAACTTACCCGATCGGGACGCCGACAGTCAGCCGTCGGGTCTCTTGGCGTGCACGGGCCAAGAGAGCCGGAAAACATTACCTAACCGGGTTATGCCTGAGTCATCGCATCAAGTGTCCCAATGGAGTCATTCTGTACGCCAGACGAGTGACTATCTACATAGTTATCTTTCTCTACTAGAGGGATATCAAAAGAATGGAGCTCCCTTACGTGCCCTTGAATGCATTGAGACTACTTTGGCGGAGATTGACCCTCCATGATAGATAACGTATCCAGTAGCTCCAGTCATGGCCCACTGCAAACCGACAATACCGGGACCGAACCCTGCCCGCCACCCTCATACACAATCATGCGGAGGCATGAGGGGATGAATGGTTAGTGTATGCGAGATAAATGATGCAAGACGGAGGAATTGATGGTATCGGGATGTGTACCCGAAACCCGGGCATCTAGAATGTGCCCAGCAAACAGAGCAAAACAGAACAAAAAGGGAATGCCCCTCATGGCGCCCCTCTTCTACCCCCCTCGTGCTCCCCTCATCGGCCAACTCCACCGTCTTTGCCGACCCGACCACTCTGCTGCCAATTTATTGCTGGCTCAACCTCGAGCTTCATTCTTCCTCTTCTTTCATCCTTTCTTCCTTTTTCTCATCCTTTTTATTCCCTTGATTCCCTCTTCCGGTTCCTTCCGGTTCAGTGATTGCCACCATCTTTGCCTGATTCATCATGGCCAGCACTGTCGGACAGGTGAGTTTGTTTGTTCCAGCTCTAGCAACGACCAGCATTGACGTGTGTTTTGGCTAACTGTTCTAGACCATCACCTGCAAGGTAAGAAAGCACTCGAACAGTGACCTTTGCGATCCAGTATACCAACCAGTTTGTAGGCTGCCGTCGCCTGGGGCGCCGGAGAGCCTCTCTCCGTTGAGGACGTCGAAGTTGCTCCTCCCAAGGCCCACGAGGTCCGCATCCAGGTCCTTCACACTGGTGTTTGCCACACAGGTTGGTGATATGAAACAGCGGAATTGAAGCAAGGCTGACCGAGCCAGATGCCTACACTCTCTCCGGAAAGGACCCCGAAGGTGCTTTCCCCGTCGTTCTGGGTCACGAGGGTGCCGGTATCGTCGAGTCCGTCGGCGAGGGCGTCACCTCCGTGAAGCCCGGTGACTATGTCGTTGCTCTCTAGTAAGGAATACCATTTTGCAGTTGCAGACTGCGATTGCTAACGTTTGCAGCACCCCCGAGTGCCGTGAGTGCAAGTTCTGCAAGTCCGGCAAGACCAACCTCTGCGGTAAGATTCGTGCCACCCAGGGCAAGGGTGTGATGCCCGACGGCACCTCTCGCTTCAAGGCCCGCGGCAAGGATCTGCTGCACTTCATGGGTACCTCCACCTTCTCCCAGTACACCGTCGTGGCCGACATCTCCGTTGTCGCTGTGACCCCCAAGATCCCCACGGACCGTTCCTGCCTGCTTGGCTGCGGTATCACCACCGGTTACGGTGCGGCCGTTGTCACCGCCAAGGTGGAGGAGGGCTCCAACATTGCCGTCTTCGGTGCCGGCTGTGTCGGTCTCTCGGTCATCCAGGGCGCGGTGAAGAACAAGGCTGGCCGCATCATCGTGGTCGATGTCAACGACGGCAAGGAGGCGTGGGCCCGCAAGTTCGGCGCCACGGACTTTGTCAACCCCACCAAGCTGGGTGGCAAGACCATCCAGGAGCAGCTGATTGAGATGACGGACGGCGGTTGCGACTACACTTTCGACTGCACTGGTAACGTGGGTGTGATGCGGGCTGCCCTGGAGGCGTGCCACAAGGGATGGGGTGAGAGTATCATCATCGGTGTTGCTGCTGCTGGCCAGGAGATCTCCACTCGCCGTGAGTTTTTTCAGTGTCTAAAAAATGGCACCATGCTAACTGATTGCAGCATTCCAACTGGTCACTGGCCGTGTGTGGAAGGGATGCGCCTTTGGTGGTATCAAGGGCCGCACGCAGCTTCCGGGATTGGTTGACGACTACCTGAACGGACAGCTGAAGGTGGACGAGTTCATTACGCACCGCGAGAAGCTGTCCGAGATTAACAAGGCGTTTGAGCAGATGAAGGCGGGCGACTGTGTTCGCTGCGTTGTTGACCTGTCATAATTCTGTCATAATGTACACTGATGATAATCAACGAAAAAAAATTCACGAGTTAGCTGTTAAGTGTATAAATATATGTAGCAGTCTCAAAGGTCTATATATAGGCAGTAAGTAGTCTCCAAGGTCCTCATTGTAGAATATTAGGACCTTGCGGTTTACAATGCACAACATTGTTTGCAGCAAGTTAACACCACTGCAAGTACGGAGGTACACGGGAAAGACGAAACACGCTGATCATAACCCCTCACCTCACTACTACACTACTAGCCACCTACTTGTCCTTGACTACTCTTAGTATATGTACTACGACAGCTCCACAACAGATACCCCCTATCTAATCAGTAAGTACCACTATCACTATCAGTATCACGATATCGGAGGACCATCCGCTAGTCAGACACATACCAAGATAATCTTATCGTCGCCCGCGATAATCACCTCATCCAAACAAATACAGTAGTTTAAATCATACTACCTATACTGCATGCAGTACGGGCAACTTCCGAGCAAAGAGACGCTTAAACTCGGCAATTAATGCCATCAGAAGAGGGGTAAATGAGTAGATCGGCCTCCGGGATCGGATTGCTCCTTATAGGTACCTACTATCTAGTGCTAGTAAGTACCGTGTATATATATACTTCCGTTACCACCGCCACCACTACCATCTACTTCCACCATCTCAAATAAACTCAAATAACCTACTTGAACACTGTCAACCCACTACTACTCAAAATGACCATCCAAACCCCAACCAAAGACCCCTCTCCCTCCCACCCCCCTTCAGCACCATCCCCCGCCACCAACTAACCTTCGGCCCATCCCCGATCCACGCCCTCCCACTAATCACCGCGGCCCTAACCCCCCCAACACCTCAGAGTACCACAATGATCTACGCCAAACGCGACGACCTCTCCTCCCCCCTGGCATCCGGCGGGGGCAACAAGACCCGCAAACTGGAATACCTCATCCCGGACGCCCTGTCCCAAAACTCCACAACCCTCATCTCGATCGGGGGAATCCAATCCAACCATACCCGCCAAGTAGCCGCAGCCGCCACCGTGACCGGGCTAAAATGCCGAGTAATCCAAGAAGACTGGGTGCCCTGGAGTGATCCCCACTACAGCAAAGTGGGCAACATCCAGCTCTCGCGCCTCATGGGCGCGGACGTACGGCTTGACCCATCTGGATTCGGGATCGAGCATAAATCCACTCTGAAGAAGTTGGAAGAGGAGTGTATCGCGAACGGGGAGAAGCCGTATTACATCCCTGCGGGGGCGTCGGATCACCCGTTGGGTGGGCTGGGGTTCGCGCGGTGGGCGTTTGAGGTGCGGGCGCAGGAGAAGGAGATCGGGGTGGAGTTTGGGACGGTGGTGGTTTGTGCGGTGACGGGGAGTACGATGGCCGGGATGGTGGCGGGGTTTAAGTTGTTGGAGAAGTTGGATCGGGAGAGTGGCAGTGGGAGGGGGAGGACGAGGGTGGTGGGGATTGATGCGAGTGCGAAGCCGAAGGAGACGAGGGAGCAGGTGTTGAGGATTGCGAAGGAGACGGCGGAGAGGATTGGATTGGGGAGGGAGGGGGTGACGGAGGAGGATGTCGAGTTGTGGGAGGAGTGGCATGGGGGTGTTTATGGCGTGCCGGATAAGAGGACGTGGGAGGCAATTGAGTTTGCGGCGAAGACGGAGGCGTTTATTACGGATCCGGTGTATGAGGGCAAGAGTTTTGCGGGGATGATGGATTTGGTGAAGAGGGGGGAGATTCAGGGGAATATCCTGTTTGCGCATTTGGGTGGGCAGTTGGCGTTGAATGCGTATTCGGATTTGGGGAAGACGCAGTAGATAACTCTTACGGGGTGAGAGATATACGAGTGCCAGTTGTCATACAACGATAGTGTGAAGAAGGATATAGTACGAATGATAACTATTGATATTCAAAGAGTGACTGTAGTTGGCTAACAATGGTAAAGGTGGTCAACGCCTAGCATTACGGCTAAGCACGTACTAGGGTTGGTCTAGAACAGCTTGTGCTCCAGGGTCATCTCCGATTCAGGCTGCAGTCCAACACACGCCCGGAAGATGTTGGTCAGGGCACTGCGCTGCTTGGTGAGCGAGTTGACCACCGGAGTGCCCGGAGGAGTCAGAGGAGCCTTGAGCATGTAGCTCAGCACGCTGAGCACGCTGTGGAAGCCCTTGTACTCGGCCGCCTCGTCCGCCTTCCAGCTGATGCGAGTCATCATCTCGGCAATCAGCACCAGGTCAATGATCAAGGGCGACGCCAGCAGAGAGTCCTCGCAGATGTTGAACAGACTGATGGTCTGGTGGCCACCCATGAAGATCTCCGCGTAGTACTCGTCGAGCGCGCGCTTGTTGTCGCCCACCGCAGGCATGTACTTGATCACCACGGTGTGGTCGGGGTGCTCGTCCTTGGCGTAGAGGATCTGGTTGGCCGCGACCATGTCGTCCACCACGTTGGACTTGGAGATCTCCTTGGACCGGAACTGCTTCTGGGAGCTCAAGTTCTTGCCGTCGTTGTTACCCAAGTGGTTGTAGCTGGCAATCGAGGTGAGCTTGATACCGGCGTTGATCAAAAAGTCAACCAGAGCCGACTTCATCTTGGTCTGGCCCGACTTGAAGTCGTCTCCGCCAATGAAG